CCGACGTGCCTTGCGTGCCTGCGACACTACCATACCCTTGACAGAGTGAAACATCACTTACGCACGTCGCACGCGTGCCTGTGGCGTTTGGCCTACACTCTTGAGCCACTGGATGTCATGTCACGTGCAGAGATAGAGCGGGCCGATCGTGCCAGCGCGGCTAAGGTGAGGAAGGGCGCCTGGGCCAATTTCAGGGCTACGCGGCCCTGGCTGCAAGCCAGTGGGCCGCTCCTCCCTCTGCCGGAGGATCGACTGCAGTATGCTGGAGAGGACCTGATGTTGGATGCCCTTGCGCGCATACACAGGCCATCGCCCGTCGTCCTCTTGTGGGTCTCCCGATATGTGCAAGCCAGTTGTGGGGAGCCTTCACTGCGTGAAGCCGTTGCCTCCCTTTGGCTGGCTCCCCGCTGCAGCACCTTGTGTCCATCCTTCCCGCACGCACTCGCTGCTTTGAGGGCATGGGATCCACAGGCGAATATGAGTGCTGCTCGCAAGTGCAAGTGCAGATTGACCTCGCGACCCTTGATGCGTCTTGGGCGGCAGAAGCGTGGGCCAAGCTTCAGACAGTCTTGCCGCCGCCGGTCGAATTTGCCCTGCCCCTGGAGGTCCACTTCACACTGCGGCCTCCTCGACGCCGGCATGCACAGCTCAAGCCTGCTCAGGCGCTCATGTTGTGGGAATTCCTCTTTCGGTTCGTAGACAGGTGGGCCGCTAACCCACAAGTCATTCAGTTTTGTTGGGAGGGCTTTCCAGCCGATGCTCCCTGGTCTCTCCTTGTACAAAGGGGCTGGTTTACGCCTAAGCGAGAGACTCTTGAATTTATTGCATGAATTTTGGGCTACATCCAATTTGGATTTGAACCGCCAGACAAAGACAAAGAAAGATCGAAGAATCCAAGAGGTATGAGCGAGTGCTGCGAATGTGCAAGCATCCACAGAGAGTGGAAGCATGGCATGGTTCTGGGACTGGCGTGGAGAAGGCCGGTGGTACATTTGGTACGTGTCCATCACATCTCTCAGCAAGACAACCTCCGCCTTTTGCTGGCTGGCCCAGGGCTCCTTGTATCTACTAGACTAGTAGTTACATATTGCAATGTCGGGGCTTGAGCTGCTGACCACCCACGCCGCTGCTGCCAGAAGCGACCACCAGCGCATCAAATGAAAGACTGCTCAAGTCCTGACCAACTGTGGTCAGCTCCCCCGGAGTCCAACGCAAACAACGCGAATTGAAATCTTGGAGTCGCACCTCCTCCGAGGCATTCAATGAAACCTCTGCGCATGTTGTGCTTCTGGACTCTGGATGTGCCCTTGTCCGATCTCAAATTTTCTACACATCGCCTGCCGGCGTCGCCAATCGACCTCGCAGGCCTGGGTCACAACCGCGAAGGAACAAAGGGACTCCGACATGCTTCAATAACTTTGCCGTTCCAAACTGTTGTCTTCAGGCGCGAGCCCTGCTCCGGAGGTGCTGAACAGATGTATCCTTCAGCTTCTGTGAGCTTCTGTGCATTTTCCTAAGTTTCTGCAGCACACCCGAGTCCTTGAGCAGCTCCCGATATGTGGGGGCCTTGGTGTTTGCCCCGCTTCTTGTGCTTTCAACGCTCCCGAAATCTTAACGCGCAAGCAGTCTCCACAACATGTTCTTCATCCACTGCGATTAAAGAATCTCCTCTCTCTCTCTCTCTCCCGTTTTCTCTCTTTCTCGTTCTTTCTCTCTTCTCGCGCTCTTTCTTTCTTTCTTGCTTTCTTTCTTTCTTTCTCTTCTTCTTCTTCTTCTTCTTCTTCTTCTTCTTCTTCTACGGGGGCTTCAGGGGCCCAAAGACCACCCGCGCGCTGGGCGCGCCCAGATCAAGTCCTGTCTCTTTGAAACTGCTCAGCAGGTCCGGATTCAGCTTGTTGGAGTTCCCCCGCTGCTCCCCGAAAACGAAACACACCTGAACAGAAACCCCCATCATCCCTTCCCAGCTCGCTTGGGGCATCTCCTGAGCTGCAGCCCTGCCATTGCCCCGCTGGTGACACAGCCGAGCCCTTTGTTTACATGCTCACTATCTTTCTTTCTCTCTCGCTCTCACAATTTTTTCCTTTCTTTCTTGGGGAGTGCCAAGCCCCCGAGCGTCCGCGCCCTCTCTTCCTCTCCGCCTCTCCGCCTCTCCGCCTCTCCGCCTCTCCGCCTCTCTGCCTCTCTGCCTCTCTGCCTCTCTTCCTCTCTTCCTCTCTTCCTCTCTTCCTCTCTTCCTCTCTTCCTCTCTTCCTCTCTTCCTCTCTTGCCTGCTTGCTTGCTTGCTTGCTTGCTTGCTAGCTAGGCGTATGAAACCCAAGGGGGCCGCCCCAAGGGGCACGCACGACAGAGTTAGTCGGAGTGAGAATGGTGTTGGTGGGATTTGGCCGTTCACATGAGGGGGAGGGGGGAGGACTCGGGGAGGACTGACAAAGAAGGGGTGGAAGGTGAGAAGTAGTGTGGTGTTTACCGGCCCATGGAACCTTCCCACACGAGTGCATTGACTCGAACACCGTTGGTCAGTTGGTCACCCCTCCACAACGCTGTCGACTTGCTTGCTTTGGCTTGCCAGCATCTCAGTGGGCAACTAGTGATAAGGAGTAAAGATGGGTCTCCCTCGCAAGCCTGATTGTGGGCTGTTCAGGGCGGAAATTGGTGTGCTACTTTTCAGGTTAATCCACCTGTGCCGCTCACAATTGGGGTAAGGACCGAAACAGCTTGTCATACTTTGGGGTTGGGGCAGTGGGAATTGTATGGGGCAGTTGGACTTTCCCCTCCCTCCGATTCAGGGTTGGATCGAATCCCTGTGCACTGTGTTTGGAATCAACACCGGTTCTCCCCGAGTGCACTGAGGAAGTACTTGGTAACGTTGAAGCCCTATCGGAGAAACGTGATCCATCAGGGAGCATAGCATCTACAGCTTGTCAATCATTTGGGGGAAAACGCGGCTCCCGGACTCTTTCGGCGTGTTAAGGCGTTGTTCAGGGTAACTATGGTCCACAGCTTGCCAACTTTTGGGCGGGACAATACCAGGGGCTGATTACAACTGTTGAGGCGCTACCCGTTTTGGCACACGGGTTGTACCATAGTGCATTCCTCACCACTCCCGACTAGGAAACAACGCAGAAGTTCAAGGTCTAGAGCAGAGGGTTTGGGGGGCGAGAACGAAATGTGGTGGGAATGACAACTCTGATGTGATACTCCCTCTGTGGCTTTCTTGCCATCGTGCCCTCGTCGCCGTCGGTGGTCGGGCAACCGGGAGGGCGTCCTTGTTGTGGGGCTCCGGGGTCATCATGTCGTGGGTCAGGTTGTGTGCGTGGTGGCCAGGGTGCTGTGGAAGGGGTTCCCTGACTCTCTTGCCCGGTTCGTTGTTCCTATGCCTCGTGGAGTGTTTCGTGTGTCTCTGCTTATCACTTCCCGCCACGAAGACTGTCAAGAAGGATAAGAAAGGAGAATGAAGGTGAATGAAGGGAATGACAAATTAGGAAAACCTGTTCCTTCTTGCCGAGTTTGCTCGCAAACAGAAAGTCGCTTGATGTATTCTGCACATGTCTGTGCACCTGCCCTGACTCCGTACCCTATTGACGTATTCATGGACTTCATTCTGCGAACCTCCGGCTGGGCTTGGCACGAACTCGTCCAACTCCACCACCCCTGTTGCATAGTCAATTAGCAGTGGCCTGAGCTTGATACGTGATGATACGTGTGCCATCATACAACATTGGTAGCAAGCACACGCACGCGCAACCCGGTCAACGTATTTCAAGCAAGATGCAGGAACACGTATCTATCCTTTGGATCGATCAGTTTCACCTGAGAATAGCTGCAAGTTCCCGGAGTCATCGAAAATGCAAGACAGTGCAAGAGATAGTAGAATCTCCACAGCGTGCCTCTGGTCTAGACTTCCAAGGCATCTGGTCCAAGCGCAATGCAAGGTTCAAGCCTCAAAGTTCTATCAAGACTACGAAGCTCGTGGTCGACATGATGAAGTAACAAGTCATGCAGGCCCACACAAAGGGCCACATTGGGCCAACGCAGCGGGCGAGACCCTGAAAAATGCTACGGGGTTGTGGCAGGCCCGCCTGCCAAGCCACCACCAACAACTACAATCTGCTTGCCTCATTCTGTTGCAAGCTCGGTCATGGCTGCTGGTGGACGAGTTGACGAGAAGTCTGGCTGAGGGCGAGACCGGCCCGCCTGCTTGAGTGCGGCTGGCGCCCTCGAGCCTGTGAACTGGATGCTTACAGGCATAACATGACATATGTGGAATATCAGAGACAAGCGTGGAGGCACAAGGCCCCGCCAGGACCCCACCTTTGCAAGGGAGGCAGCGGCACCTCCCAAGCAAAAAGCAGAGACGTGGGTCACTCTCAAGTACTGCGGCTGCACCTGTCAGAGCTGCAGCCAAATAGGCCGAGTGCCTTGACTTCCAGTTTGGTCCACATCGAGCCCTAGCATCCTTCATTCAGGATACTACCACGTAGCCTCCGGGCTCCATGTGGCCGCTTGCTAGTGGAGACTGCTCTGACCTGGTCTCAGGAGAGTAGAGTTGGGAGTAGCGGGCTGAAGCAGGCCGGATGTGCCTGACTGTGCAAACCACAGTCTGGTACCTTACACGAGGGCTGAGACAAAATTCGACAAGGTGTGTTGGCCGACCGAATGCACAAGGAGATTGACACGACATGACACGACAAGGTGCGCTCTGAAGCAGCGTGCTGGGAGCAGCAAAGCATGCCATGATCTGTGTCAAACGATAGTGATAGTCGATGCTTGCTCATACTCTGTTGTCACAAGCCTGCCATCGTGAACTCGATTCTCTAAGACGGGGTATGTTTGGTACCGGGCACCTCGCCTGAACTATGGATTTAAGAAGGTTGCATCGGCATATTCGTCATGACGCTCACTTGCTGAAGGTCGCTTCTTTGGAGCCAGGTGTAGAGGCCGCAGGGTCGATTTGCTAACTCTGATCGGGCACCATGCGAAAAGGACAGGTCCAAACGGGCCTTTCGATCAGGTTGCCCGCGACGCCCGTTGCCGCGCGCGCTCCGTACCTCAAACGCAGCCCTTAACATTTGTGCATGCCGCTCTAGGTTAGCAGGCTGTGATGCAGCGCAAACCGGGGCTCCAGCACACCCAAGGCCAGGGCAGTGAGGCCACCAACCAGGACTGTCATCTTTGATCTGTCCTGCAGTATGTGAGAAACATCCACAAACATCCAGAGTCCACAAATGCCAAAGCCCTTGTATGAGTCCCAATGCTCCTCGAGAAGAGTCCGTGTTCCAGCTCCAAGGCCGGCAAAAACCGCCTGACTCACGGAACAGCGACGCAGTGGAGCTCCGCTGGATCTGACTGTCTCACCATGCAGAGCTACGAGAGATGCGGCCTGGATTTGCTCTAGGCGGGTCTTTCTTTCTTCGGCCATTCTCGCCCGCATTTCTCGGAGACGGACCTGGCACGTCCAGTGATGCCGGCTTACCTTGTCTGCGATAAACTGCGTCCCTTCCCAACAAGACTGCCAGACGGTCCTCTACGTTTTCTCTCTCCTGCTCAATCCTGCAACTGGAAATTGCATCGTAGAAGGATTGGAGATGTTTGGTGCAAGCAGCAAGTGCAACACTTTTACTTCAATGCACAAGTCGCCACAATGTGATCCTGTGGCATCGGGTCGCACCTACTTAGAGAGGCGTTGCCGAGTGTGTGTGTGTGTGTGTGTGTGCGCGTCTTGTCACCTCGGCCCAAGGATGCATCCCAGACTATGCGGCATACTGCGCAGTGCAGCGCTGCTGTTTTTCTTCGGCATTCCGATTCGGAGCCTCCCCGAAGTTTTAACCATCAACTAATCCGAATGCAAGCTTGCGAACAAAGTTCGAGGATTGGATTGGATTCATTCAAAGTTGCAGAAGGCATCTGCCAAATCCGCACATCCCTCGCAACCTCTGCGAAAAGTCAAGAAAGCCGGTTCGCAACCCAGGCCGGAGCCAGAAGCGGAAAGTAGCTGTGACCAAAGCCCAGAAACCATTCTAGCACAACCGTGACAATGAAAAGGGCCGAAGTGTACTTTTCGGTCCAGAGCTTGAATGCCCAAGTTAGTTCAGCCAGATTAAGCTACGTCTACATCTGCGTGGAGACCCCAACAGCATCGCGGTTGGGAGAAAAAGGCTGGACAAATGGCAAACGGGACCGCATCTTTCTGCAGCCAGTGATCGCACACGCGCCGATCTGACGCTTCAGATGTGCAATGAGTTGATGACTCGGCTGTCTGTCTCCTCTGCCTCCCAGGAGAACCTAAGCTTCCCAATCATTTTGGCACAATAGTTGTGCAACTGTGAAGGAACAGAAGGTTCAGGGCTTGGGTGTGGACTCCCGTGAGATGGACAGGCTGATGTCCGTATTGTACGTGAGATGACCCCAGTCCGTGGGCACCTTGGCACACTGCAATACCCTTCCCAACCACAACTAAGCTTGGTTTGACTTTATCCCAACTGCGTGCAAAGAAGGCTTGGTGACAGCATGTCGCACGTTTGAACCCCCTCCTCCTTCAGGATCGGCTTTGTGCCGCACTGCTGAGTGGTATAGTGCATGGCCAGTGCTGTTGTAACGTTGTCAGGATGAGGGAGTGGTGTCGTCGGCGATTTTCGTTCTGGTACAAGGCTTGGGTTCCTGGTGAAATGGTTGCATTTCAGTTACCTTGGGGAGGTGGTTCACTGCGGCCATTGGCTGGGTGTCTCTGCCAAGCCTAGCCTCATGCTGATATAATGGCACGTTGCTTCTAGAGACTGCTCAAACCCTGAGGATGCCGCATACACGATGTCTCCAGGTCCCTGATGCTTCGAGAGGTCAGACACTAAGCAAAAGATGCCACGCATTGCTGGCCTGCTCACAGTAAAGTGGGTGCTGGCTCTTTCGAGCAACAGCTTCCTGCAGGGTCTTCACAGACCTGCTGAGCAGAAGCAGCACTTTGTGCCATGCATTTGACTCTGTTTGCTTGCGGTGCTTTTGGTCCCGACCTCCACTCTTGCCTTTGCAGCTGATCCTGTCGCATTGCCTGGATGGCCTTTCAGCTGAATCTGCGCTCGCTTTCCAACAGCAATTCGTCTCCGGAGATTCTCCGAGCTGCCAGCATGCTGTCGCGAAAGGGAAGATGTTGGAGGCGGATAAAACCTCAGTGCCGGGTGATGGTTTGGTTGGACTTGGTGAAGAGTTCGATGCCACAAGAATCCGGCAGCCACTGTTTTCTTCCTCTGAAGGGACATAAGATTGGATTGCGCCGGGTCTTAGATATATGTCGGCTCAGGGTCTCTGAAGAGAGAGAGAGAGAGAGAGAGATAGAGTGAGAGAGCGAGAGAGCGAGAGAGATAGAGAGAGCGAGAGAGAGAAAGAGAGCAAGAGAGAGAGAGAGAGAGACAGAGCGCGAGAGACAGAGCAGATCTCAAACAATCTCACCCCGTTTGAGTCCTCTGAAGAGTGTAGCATACGCATGTGTGTGGTAGTGCCTGGCTCTGCCCAATCGGTGGCACTGGACTGGACAGCGTGGTGATGCACAACCGAACTGAGAAGACACGCTCAGCATCCACACAGAGCAGATGGCGTGCAGATGCCCTGACTATTGTTCAAGAATGTCGGGCATACTGGGGTGCTCCCGAGCCAGGCGGCCCCAATCCAAACTGGATGTTCCCGAGGCGATAGCGGAGCTTTCCAGACTCCTTGACGATAGCTGCAACACCAAGGACTCCATACTAATAGGATGCAAGAGCCTGCATCCAGGAAGGATGCGGTGTGGCATCTTTCTGAACTAGGCCCAACAGCTTCTTGAACCTTGGCTGACAAAGGTAGCTCACATCAACAACGGCATCCATTATACGATGCTGGGTGGACCACGTAGGGTCCTCCTGCTCCACAACTGAGAACACGTACAACCTCAAAGGCTTGCCACTCTCACCATCGTACTTTCCTGCAGTACCTCGAAAACATCAAAAGCTCCCCTGCTACATCCAAGCGCTTGACGGGGTCCCGGATGACGAGTTGACCTTTCCCATAACGTCAGTGACATACCTTGAAGCATCAACATGTTTGCCATCCACTTGAGTGCCTAAATCGTGAGCGAGTTGCTCTTTCAAAGGGAGACGGCGTGCATCTTTGGCATCAACGTCTCCAAAGTCTTCTGGGTAAGGAATGGTCACGGCCTCGACCGTCAAACTAGCATCTGGCCTGCAACACCTGAAAAAAAGAAACATGCTACAGCCATTGACTTACTCAGTCCGAAGCTGACATCGGTGTCTCACCGACCTTGCATTCAGTTGCTGGCAGGGGACTTGCTCATGCGCATTGCCGGGTAGCCAAGCGCAGTACCTTTCGCATCAAATAGCGCAAAGACCAACGCTCGAAGGCAGGCATTTGCTTGGCACCGCCGCCTCAGGTGAGGCATGTGTGGCAAATCCCATGCTGCACTCACTCAGATCAAGTTGCAAGTTCTAAGCCATGTATGCAGTGTGGCTAGCTTCGGCGATGATCGTGACATGTACCAGATGTGTGCATGATGATGCACGAACACGTGTTCCACAGTCACGGCATCTGTGTTGGACCCTGCAGTGCATAAAGCCCAAGACGTACAGGTGCGCATTCTTGCGACAGAACGTATATGGCCCATGGTTCCAGCAGACTCAGCCCAGCACGAACCAACAGAGGACGCCGAAGTGAGAGGTAGTCGTCGACAAATGCGTCTGCAGAGAGCTCCTGTCGCTTCTTATCTGTAACGGGCAGCAGGGCATCTGAAAGGGGGGCATCTGGCAGGGTGAGCATTTGGGAGAGGGGCAGGGAGGCAGCTGTCCTCCGATTTCATCACGGCAATCTCGCACGTTTGGGTGTCTGCCCCGCCCTAGCGTTCAGACGAGAGACTGCTCATCCCATGCTTGCCACTAAATAGGTCCCTCCGGTCAAGGGGACACAAGCCATGTGGGAAGAATCTTGCCCAAGAAGTCTGATCTGCAACCTTGAACCTCGAGCCACCAGACCCTGAAACCACAATGACACAGCGAGCGGAAGAATTGAAGTTGCTTAGCTTTTATCATTGCTGCATATTTTGGGAGAGATGGGAGAGTTTCGAAGTTCAATGTATGTAGTGGTCGTGTCAATGTTTGTGCTCGTGCAGAACACATCTGGTTTCTTGAGTGCGCTTGACGTGCAGCCTCCCGTTTCTATTTAACCCTAGACCCAGACGTCAGAGTCAAGGCGCCGAAGTGGTTGTGTCTGAGGCTGTAGCCCAATCAGGAAGGTGCCCTTGTTGCCAGTGATGATGCCAGCCTGCTCTACAATTCAAGACTTGAATCTGAATCCCAATAGTGGCTCCTACATTCGGGCAAGATACTCTAAGTGACACCATGCTTCTCAGGAGCCTGCTGGCAGCAATTCAGGAAGGTGTACAAAGCGTAGTGGCATCTGCAGCAAGCTGGGGCACAGCACGGCAAGGCAGCTTCCCTGACTTCGCAAGAGCTCGCATGCCTCGCTTTCCACATCTCCGGCCTCGTGTTCTTCTGGCTCTGGCAGTGCAGACTGGCTTGTCGTTCTGAGTGTGCGGCCGGGCAGCTGCCATGGCATGTGACGAGCTGCATTTGCTGCTGCCCCTTCATATGGCTCCACGATTCTCCGCCCGTGTAGCATGTTTTCCGCAGTATCCAGTGGTGGCACTGTCAGCACCTCGGCCCAGCCCAGCTTCTTGACCAAATCCATGGCTGTGCGGCCTGGCATATAGAGGTCCACATCTATGAACTGCTTGGAAAGCAGGCATGTGGTATTTGTGATGCTGCTGCTTTGAAGGTGCAGTAGCTTGATTCCAGCAGACCTGCAGAACAGATCTTACCGCGATGGTTCCGCGGCGTAGTTGATACCAGTTGGGCTCGAGTTTGTGGCCGTCCAAATTAATTGCACCAGGATTTTTGTTTGTTTAGTGGGTCTCTTTACCGTGCTGTAGTATCTGTTGGTCGGCTCGGCACTGGCAATGGAGTGGCGTAACGGCTTAACATCTGGCGTCTCTTTTCCTTGTGTTTCGAGATGCTGCACGATTGGCAATGTAGCGCCACGTCATGCTTCTAGAAAGGACTTCGAGCTGCTTTCGCTTTCTTCCGGGCTACCCTGCTGACAGGCAAAAGACGCAAGAACCGATTCAAACCTGCAGCGTTGCGGCCACTATAGAAAACTTGCCTTATCAAATTATGGTCGCTGCAAACTAGCAGCCACTGCTAGCATTAGGCTTCGTACTGGTGCGGCCAAGGGCTTCCAAGGCCTCTTCGAAAAGAGCCTGTTCGTTTTTGTCGTGGTAGGCATTGCATATCTGTGGCTTGTCTGAGACCGCCAGTGCCTGTAGGTGTTCCTAATTTGTTGAATACATATGTAAGGAAGCTACTGCATGCTGTACACTGAGCTACAAAAACGCGGCATCTCTCTCCTGCAGAATCCAGGGCCGATGTGCGTGCCCCGGAGTCCAACAGCGCGCGCAACACCTTGGAAGTCTTTTGGAACCCTCCGATGGGCTGAGCTGTGGATAGGTGTGGGGCATGTGCGGTTTGCTGGGCTCCTTGCGCCCAGGGAACGGTGGACCACGGCTTGGTGCAAAGGCGTCCTCTCTACTCTTGCGCCATCTTGTGCTCTGCTTTTAGCTGAGTTTTTTGCCCGGCCTCCGCAAGGGCCTGCTTGCTGTCTCAGGGTTCGCCTTGGCAGCCAGCAGCACCTGCTACATCTGCCAGATTGTCGGCGCCGATATGTCGGGCTGGAAAATGGGCGAATGACGTGGTGTCAAAGCTTTCAGGAACTGCCTCGGCCATCACCGAGAGTCCATGCTCCGCACCTTAACTAGGAGCGAATGAAGCAGCACAGTCGGCGTTTTTAGAGGAGAAGTGAGTAGAGTGAACCTCACCTGGCAACAGTGTCATAATTGGCATCACATCCAAGCTAGGAACAATGGTGCAAGGGCGTCTTGCCTCGGGGTGGTCATCATGTTTTCGGATGTTTTCCCACAGCTTCGTCCCTTCGCATTTGGGAGCTGGACCGCTTTGTTTGCTTTGTGCAAAGCTGGGGTCCTTGGCAACAGCCAGAACCCAGTGCAAAAGATGCAGGTGTCGTGCTGAAAAACAGAGTGAAACACATAAACATGCCAGCACAATGCCAGGAGGATGGAGTATGGAAGAAACTCCCTGCTGCTCAGTCGCTGCACGCGCCTTGAGCAGGCTCTCGGCAACAAGGATGGCCTGGTGATTCCATCCATGCGCAACTTGCAGAGCTGCAATTACTGAGATTGCCAGTGTGATCCTCTTTGTGTTTTTCATTGCTGGAAACTGTCCCTCCGCAGCCTTGCCATTCACCATGCGCAGGGTGTCTTCAAATGACATGCTTTGGAAGGTCCTTACAGTAGGACAGGTGCAGTGTGCGCTGACAGAGTTGGATTGTGTGGAAACGACGGAAGGGTCACGGCGGGCTGAGAAGCTTTGCCTCAGACTCCTGGCAGACCATGCCAACCCTTCTGCCAAAACAGTGCTGTGATCTATTCCGACTTAATCGACAGAGCAAGCAATCGCAGGCAGCACAATGTCGAAGCCGTAGTAGTCCCGAAAGAGGCGGCCTGCAAGGAAAGCTTACGCAATGACGGCATCAGACGTGCGATCGACCTCAAGCCGACAGCCTGCCATTCGGGGCTGCTGAAGCAAGGCGCGGTTCAAGCCTGGCGAAGGACTGTGGACACAAGCTGACCATCACGAAAGGAATATAAGGAATCGATGAGTCGATGCTGCTGCTGCTGAGGTGATTGCGGTGCTTCAGCTGACCGATGCCCAGCACCACTGCGATTAAGGCACCTTGAGGAGGCGCTCCCTCTAAGCACTCTCACACTACATGAGACTTTTGCTGAACAAATTCTTGTTCTTGGCAGAACTTGCGAGATCTGTAAGTGCCTCGCGACTGGCTGCCTTGGAGAATCCGCTTTCTGTCTTCACAAGCCCCATCTTGAGCAGCACCTCCACCTCAGTCATGCGGAGTCCTGCGGAGTCATGCGTGCTCTTTTTCGAGTATTTTGCAATGCCTCTTGCGGTCACGTTGTTTCCCCTTCCAGGATCGTGGCCATGGAGGAGTCCAGGAAGTAAGCAGCACGCGCCAGGTCAGCCCCTTCCTCTGTGCTGGACATGCATCGGCTTGACACGCGTGATCAATTCTGGACTTGGGGGCGGCTTCATCCCCTGCCTCCTGTGACTTCTCTGTCGCTTGCGCACCGCTTGCTGCAACGACTTCGAGGGTTCGGGCCATATCTGGCACCTGTCAGCGAGCTCAGCGCACAATTTCCCGGACAAGCACAGGCCAGGTTTGGACTTGCAAGCACCAATCCTGGCAAACCGGGCCGAGAGGGGGTGGGCGTTCCTCTATCAGTTGGGCAGGGCCGTCGGCTTTGACCGGATATCCCCGGCTTGCGAATTGCAGATTGTTCACGCCACCACCCTCTCCTCATCAGTTGACAGGATTGAGTCGAACTTAGAAGCCCGCCCACGAAAAACAGCGAGGAGCACATCGAAGCATCTGCCAGAGCCTCGGGGCTTGAGGGCGATGGCTTCTTTGCCACGGAGATCTTCTTCTGTGCTTCGTGCAAGTAGGCCGGCATCTTGAAGCCTTCACATCCCAGTCCCAAACCCTCTTGAGGCTCTCAAACCTTCAGGGCTTAGGGCTTAGGGTTGTGCTCTGAAGGCAGGGCCAGCCTGTTCCCAGCATGATCAGCATGGAGCTGCGCCGCACTGCCAACTCCACGATCGAGCCGAGCTTCACCGGCGCATCACCCATAAATGCCGTGATCTCACCGGGCCAAGTGACTGCACCTTCTTTGACGAGCAGTTCGGCAGCATAAGCATCGCCAATGTACGTCGCCACTGTCAGGGAGCTGAAGCCGAACTCGTCCTGTCCCCATCAATGTCCCAAACCTCCACTCTCTACCCTGGATGTGATTATGGGCTGCCTGCGCCATTCAGGGTTGAAAGGCTTGCGCCCCCCAAACAAAAGCCGACAAGACAATGCAGGGACCCCAAAGGCGGTATTTGCAGCACATGGCTAGGGAAAAGCTGGCAGGCCTTGCATGACTGGGAAAAGCAAAGCCCTAAAGTTCCAAACCCAACGGCTCGTCCTTCTCACTCAGCAAGCTTCTGGCATTTGCGCTGGAAGACAGGTGGCTCTTCAGCACAGTTGCCCCACGAGCTGTTGCGACAAGGAGGTCTTTCAAGTCGCTGGCTCTGGCGTGGATCAAGCAAGCCAGGAGAAGCTGTGCCAGAAGCGCACGTGCCCGAGCACGGACCATCATGGCCATCTCTCAGTTGTTTGTACATGCTGGTACTCGTTTCTGTTGTGACACACGGCTCTTTCACAAAGTCTTGGCACAGTCGCACTTGCCTAAAGCGCACTTACATTCACACTTGCAGAGCACCTTTGCCATGTGAGCGTTCTGCAATGCCTGCTAGAGGGTTAACGGTTAGCCATCTTCACAGAGGCATTGAAAAAACAGCTGCAAAGCTGCGCTTGCACGCACGCACAAGGACCGCCATCGAGACATGTCCATTGGACAGTGACAGTACACCGCAAGAGCAGTTTTCAACAACAAGAAAGCACTCCTGCCCTGCGCCTCGGCTCTTGCTCTGGCCTTGGGCGGGATGTGGAGCTCAACTCGAGCCCACTTGCACAGCCAACACAGGTACAATTACGCTTTGGCCCCGGTGCGAAGATCCTACTGTTGGTTTGCTAACTTCAACAGATCGGGAGAGATCACTCGCTAGGATTTCGCTAGGACTTGCTCTCCTTATTTCGAGGTTCTAGCATTTTGCGATGCAAAAACTTCCCTATGCCTATGCTTGTGTGCACACGCATTTTGGAGGCCTCGCAGCACTCCACATCCTAAATCGCAGCTGTGCAGCTGTTGTTTTGACTTGGTTTCAAGTCACTGGGGGACATTATCGTTGGCACTGCCTTGAAATCTGCAGTGCGGAAAATTCTGGCACGTGAAGTGACAGATGGTCTTGCCATGGTGGTTTCACTTCAGTCCTCGAGCGGCCCCATTCGCTTCCAGCCAAGCTGCCTGAGTGTGCCGGGAGTTTTGCTCCAGGCTCCAGGGGTTTCCACAGGTGCAACGGCAGTCTCAGCTCGAGGCCGTGTCGGCGTGACCCTGGTCCAGAGCCAGATCCAGGGCTGTCGCTCCGTCTCCGCGTTGAAGGTTCAGATCACAACCCGCAGACTTCAGGAACTCAAGTGCCTGTGCAGCTACAACAGCTATGGAGCAACTGCAACACCTGTCAGCGTGTTCAAGACAAGGTCACGATTCTACCAATCCCGCACCACACCTGCGTCTGGCCGAAGGATGCCGCTACAAGGGTCGGAGTGAGGCCTAATGACACATCACCATCCGGCGATAATGAGAAGGCAGGAGCTGTTGTTGCCTTACCGAAGGCAAACACGTTTTCTGTGGCCCATTTGCAATCTGATCCGCATGAGAACAACGCAGGTGCTTGGATGCAGCAAGGATTCGTTGATGTCAGCTCCGTTGTCGTGAAGCCACTTCAAATTCCTCGTAGGCAGTTGCCATCAGGGCCATCACAAGCTGCTGCCAAGAGGTGTGTAACAGTGGAAAGGTCCCATGCCAACGCCAAGACTCTGAAGGTGGCCAGCTTCTGCAGCATGATGGGTTGCCCTTTCTCCTCCAACTGCTGCTCTGTGGATCTCAGCTACAGCCCAAGACATACGAGCCGAGAATGCGTGTGCACTTGGTTCGCACGCGGTTTTTGCGTTGACCGTGGCAACCACGACATGGGGTCCTGTGTCACGCAGAGGTGCCTGCCATTGTTCCGGTTGCACATGCATGCGTGCTTCTATGGATGTGCATGGGCTGAAGGTCTTAATACCAGCCAGGTCACATCTATCACACCTAGAATCTTCTCAGTCTCACGCAGCATGTCGCAAAACCTTGGCAGTCCGACATGCGCGTTTTGAATGTTGGTCCCTTTTTGGGGCACCCAAGTACAAATGAATGAGAAGGGGCACCATCATGAAAAAAAGGACCGCGCAGGTAAGCGGAGCATGCTTGGAGCATGGCACTGTCTACTGAGACACGGACCGTTTCCAAGCCTCTAAAGTCTCTTTATCGCCTTCCTTGCACGCAGGTACATGGTAGGGTCAAACTCCTTGCTACAGGTCCGAGGGGTCCGAGTCGCCGAAGAGTTGACAAACAGGAAGTGAAATTTTTCCACTACCTGTGCAAGCATCGCGTGCAAGATCCGGACCCACCTTGCATGGCCTTTGACGGCCGTGGTGAACAAGCACTGCGCCTCTGGTGTCAAGTCTTCGCCGAAGAGTCGGCCGGAACCATCCTGACTGCATGATTCTTCCGTTCGGAGTCCTACCTTGCATACTTCATCATACTTCCGATTGCTTCCGGCTCCTGCCTTCGCTGCCTTTGACTGTGCTTCGGCTGCATTGGCTGCTTCACAGAATCTCAGTTGTCATGGATGCGTTTGGACAAGACCTCCTTTGCAGAGCACTCTGGCTGGATGTGGGCATCCCGGGTATCGAGGTTGTTTGAGGGCAATATTGTGGGACCATTGGAAGCATGCAAGAGCTGACCTCAGCTTTCTAATTCCGGCTTTTGCCAGAGCCCGGTGATTTATGGTTTGGCTTTCGTTTTTGTTGTTTGGTTTTTGCTGTGGCCGAAAGTACATGCATCTTCCCCAGGAGCCTGTGCAGCTAGCTTCCATTGCTCTGCAACACAAGCCGAAGCCAGACTGTCAAGATGACCAATCATCGCCATCGAAGGGGACGCCGACAGCAGTCCAGATTCAATACTGAGGCCAGAACTTTGTGAACTTAGGATCGTCATAGAAGGGTCGCCCTGCCCACTACCCAAAAAAGGATGCTTAGCTGTAGTTCAAGAGCTGTCACAGGACACTGGAGCTGCCGTGGCCTTGTATGGTCTCACCATGCTCCAGGCGCCACTTTGCGAGCTGGAGCTGCTCTGTGGATAGCTTTGAAGCCATCGTAGCCTTGTTTGTGTAGAAGATCAATGTGATGCTGTTGGAAGGAGCTGTAATCACTTTAGCCATGCTGCGGCAAGTCGCCAACAGCAGCAAACCGGACTTGGGCAAATGCCTGTCAGGCCTGTGGGCTTAGGGCCAGGCGATGCCGAACTCCCTCCGGCACGCTTGCTGGATCTACAACTTGAAGAAAAACGATGCGGCGAAACCACTGAGCCTAATTACACATGTCCCTTGGAGCCCGCATGGTGGGCCAGTAGGCTGTGATACAGTACGATGTGGACATTTCGTGCACAGGGATTCTGGCAACGGCTGCTTCTCGGTCAAGACGTGCTTGCTCTTGCAGTGTCCGTCGCTTCTCCTGTTCACAAGCACTAGACCGATGCAATGCCATGAGGTGACTAACATGGTGTACTCATGGTGTCCTCCTCCAATTCGAGGTTATTCCGCTTTCTCATGTCCTCTTGACGGAGGAACTGTTCGTGCCTTATAGCAAGCCATATGCAGGGAATCGCTTGGGCCTTTGCTGCAAGTTGATTCTCGATCCCATGCGTGAGCAGGTGGCCACAACATGCCACCACACATTCGAGGGCGTTGCTGCATCTGCAACTGTTGATCAATCTGCTTCTGTTGATCCTGACAGCTCGGCAACTCATCGGCACATCCTGAGATCGTGTTGCTAATGAGGCTCAATTCAGAGTTTTCCGGTCCTCCAGCTTGTTCTGGTAAAGCTCGCTGTCCAACCGGGCCTGGTGCGGGTGGCGAGCATCCCATTTGCAGCTCTCGGACCAGGGTATGAAAAAGGACACGGCAATCAGGTGGCCAATTTGGCCAACCCCTTCTTGGAGCCGTTTTGCTGGATTCTGGATGTCCGAAGCTTTTCTATCCTGCTGTGATGCTCTGAGGCTCTGAGGCTCTTTTGTTTTCGTTTTGGGCAAAAAATCGTCTTCGCTACCGAAGCTCTGTTTTGGCATGCCCGTCTTCCAATGACACCTGAACAATTGAACACGAGGTCTCCTCTCTGATCTCCCGATGATCTTGAAACCGTCGTAGCCGGATGGCTGGAGCTCATCTCTTGCCCTGAAGCTCGTTTTTGACGCTCTGTTTTTTTGAAGCCGTTCCAGGCAAAAAAACCGTCTTCGACGAAGCACCGTAGCGGGCTCTCTCATTCAAAAACCGTCTTCAACACTCCTCTTCGTGTCATAATTCGTCTTCGCCCCCGGCCGGACAGGCCCGAAAATCGTCTTCAACAGCCACTTGTCTTCACCCTAACATCGTCTTCGCAAATGTACATGGTCTTGACCCTGCAAGCCATTCCAGGAAAATCGTCTTTGCCCCTCTTCAGCCCCAAGGAATGCTGGGGAATCTTGGGTTGCCTCCCCCTCCTGGACCGCCCTAGGGCCTAGGGATCCTCTGGGCTAGCGAAGTCCCTAAGTCATTCACACAATCAGGTACGATGCACCTTGTACTCGGCTGTCCTTCTTTCCTGTTCCTGCTGATGCGAGATTGTCTTCCTGCGACATTGGAGAACGTGGGCTGGTCACTGCACTCTCAGCCTAACCGAAAGTCACATTCAATGGGCCTCTTCTCCTCTGCGTCCATCTGGTTTCGCTGAAGCATGGCCTCAACGCTGCAGATGTGCCACTCGTTGGCCACTTCTATTTTGTCGCACAAGCTGACAGTCAAAGCCACTCTCTGTCCAGGCCTGCTGGCGCATTGTCTGTTGCTGCTCGATCTCCTTCTGCAGCTCCTTGTTTGGAGTTGGCTACACGAGGCAAGCGTTTCGGTTTCTCAACGCTGTAGAAATCTGGGTTCCTGATTCTCAAACACGTTAATTTACAAAGCGTGGAGCACACACAGACATCCAGCCGAGGCCAACAACGAAAACAACATGCAACCGGCTGAGAAGCCACACAGAAAGGAAGTCACATGGTCACGCGCTGGTGTGTGGTCATCCAACTCGCTGGCGTTTGGTCATCCAATGACTTGCTGATGCTTGATCATGAGAAGTCGTCTTTGCGTGACAATGCAGTAGCAGTTGCCCCTGACAGCGCCTGCGCACTTTGCCAAAATCTAGAATCTTCAATTTCAGGTTTTCAAACGTTCAAAACGTTCAAGACACGCTGAGAACTTGAGGTTGACAAGATCTCAACTCGAAAACGGAAGCAGAAGATGTCGCAAACGCTTTGCGGTGGATCTTCGAACTGGGAGCACTAAGAAATCACGTATTCAAATGCGCATGCTTCCCGGAATTCCAAGTAGTAGACTTGCTGTAGACGCCCAATGAGCCAAACACGGTTATGTAGTAGACGCCCGAATGCGCAAGATCTTACTATTTACAAGAGCCCCCGCAAGTGAAGCAGTTCTAGAGGCGTCGACACCCGCGATGTTCAAGAGCATATCTCATCGCAACATGACACGCCCAAAGACATGACAAATCGGTACAAGTTGTACCGGATGACGTTTCCAAGATTCAAGATCCAAGAACGCAGAGAAGCCTTCCAAAGGAATCTTGGAAACACGAGCTGGAATCGTGTTTCCAAGATTCCTGGGAGACCTCGCAGCAACCTTGGATCTTGGATCTTGGAAACATGAGACTCGCACCGATTTGTACCGGTTTGTACTGTGCGACTCATATGGAAAACACGACCCAAATTGTTGGGGATGGAACCGCACCACAAATAGACCCGCAAACAATCGAAAGAAGAATAAATGAGCCAACAAACGTGGATAACTGGGGGGAAGGACTACATATTTATACACACATACACAACTTGCCAACTATGCACCATTGACAACACACCTAGAGAAGAAGAGCCCTACTTAGCTTGATGGAATAAGTTGAGCAAAGCCGATGCTTGCTACACGTAGTGAGAGGAAGACTAAGAAGGTGGGTGGGGGGCTCCACTTAAGGAAGCTGCCCACTCACCTTCCTTAGAGCTTTGTGTGCCCCGTATCTACGGCCCTTGCTGATAGCTGCAGAAGAACGCAGACAGGAGCTGTGTGTTGGTCCTGTTGCTTCGTTTGCTCCGCCATCTTGGTGAGCTCAAAGGCCTATCAGTCTCACATCTACTGAGTAAGTCAGTCAAGTCATTAGAACGGTCCCCAAATGACACAGGTGGAGCCTTTGCAGCATTCGGAGAGGTGTCCAATTCTCGGAGCGCCTTTTTGCGAGAGCAGATCTAAGATGAATCACCCTCGAAGCATCAAACTGGCACCTTCACAGCCCTAACGTGACGCAGCTGAGGGATGCACTGCCGCTCCCCTCTCCAAGGCAGAAGGGTCGAACTTCCCCGTGATGGACTCTGCCTTATGCAGACACTTCTGCAATGTCTTTTACTTGCATGGCTTCTCACAAACTCTATCACCCGTGGACTGCGGACTAATGCATTGTTCTGCTCGGGTCCAGCCTTCTTTTCATCTTTGCCAGAGCTGCTAGAACTCTTCGACGGATAGATCCTTCTATGAGAATGCTTGGAGCAAAGGTCAGCTACTGCATCGAATGATGTAACAGGCCGGCTTGGCATGGCAACCAGCTATGCGCCGCAAGTGCTGCTCAAATGGAGTAGCTGCTGGATTTTAATCTTGTCGTGAGAGCTAAACTGGTGAAGTCGTCATCATCACCATCATCATCTCAGCCACCAGTTCGACATGTCTGCCTGGCTGCCTTGGGTTTGGTTGTGCTCAATGCTTGAGTCAGATGCGTCGACGCGGAGATTCTTGGCTTGAGGCGAACAAGATGCTTTGGAAAGGTGCAGGTGGCGATTCGGCGAATCTTCTTTGCACTGACTGCCGGGAAACATGTCGGGGAATCATGTCCCGGCTCGATTGATCTCTTTCACCAACCGAATGTCCGGGTGCTAGCTACATGCCGTGGACACCTGGTCAGCAATTCAGGATAGGAAGCGTAATACAGCTAGGAGCTGGGACAGCTTCAACCAATTATGAGAGTGCGATGCCAACAGGCAAAGTGCCAACTTGTGAAACGCTTGGCGGCGTGTTGCTACGTCATAATGTTGCATAAACAAGGTGAAGCACTTTATCTACATGGTCTCATTTTGCCTCGAGGTTCAAAGTGGAATAGCACTATGTAGATGCAGGATCGTACAAAGCAACCATTTGGTGAGGCGATCTGCTTTGCAGGCCGCCAGCAGCCAGAGGCAATCCGCATTGAGCTGGTCACTCACACAGCTCCACCAAGGCACACTGCAACCTTGTTTGTGTACGAAGTAGAGTACGGTACATGCTTGACGACATCGCCCTTGGATTGGGCTGCTTCAACAGTTGAAAGAATATTGCCACTAGTCTCGGACATTTTCAGCCGCTCTAAGAGCTGGCGGACCGTAGGCGGTCCTTAGAACACCCAAACCGCTCACAGAAACCTGCGTAAAAAATAGTCTGAGTGCTTCTGAGAAGATGTTCTGAGTACTCAACGGCACGCTAATCTTGTATTCTTGCCACCGTGGGTGCCTGCAAAGGCAAGACGCCCCCAAGCAAGGCGAAGCAAAGGCGAGATGGGTATCCTGGCCTGCTTGCGTTCGCCTGGGAGCTTTGCCTTCATGCTTTGCACCGCCTGTCCAGTGACCCACAAGGGGCGACTACCAACTACTCCGAGGTACTCTCCAAACATTCATTTCAGGCACTGGCAAGGAAAGCTCCGCTCGACGCAGTTATCGAGATACCGGGGGGCGCCTCCGAGTTCTTGGTGTTCAAGTCATGAAGTCGTCGAGTCTGCTCGGACTCGGCCTGGCGAGTACAGAGGGAATCTAGGATATTGAAACATCCCTTGAGTCTTTGTCCTTCTACCGAAAACATGCTCCGGGCTGCACAAGAAAGTACAAGTGCATGTGTTAGCTGCTAGCCATTCCGTTCTGTCGGTATCAAACTGCGACTGCAGCATCGTATCCAGAAAGAAGACAGGCGAACGTAGCACATCATCTTCACATGTTCCGTTTTGGTATATTGGTCAGTTGGCAATTCACAGGTCTTTGTTCCCATACAGTATTGAACACAGTGGGCTATTTTCCGAGACCTACATCGGAACCCCGTTCCTTGCAAAACTTTTACATCCATGTTCCGAGCAAACATGAAAGCTCAGCACAGGAGTTGCATTTCACGTCCCAGCTCTCTCTTGAAGCGTCATTGCTGAAGAGCCCGGGCGGCCCGTCTGGTGAGGGCCACGGGTCCCCGCCTCGTGTCCACCTGGATGCGGCTCGCCATCCATAGAATCTGCGGACCATGGGCCTTTGTACGCAGAGCCATCTGCGTAGACGTACCTCGTGTGGACTCCACAGGTCAAGTGCCATCCATTGAGAATTTCAGAAGGCTTAGCAGCGTTGCTTGAAACTTGGTTGGGTCACATGCCGTCGCCCTCCTTTCGCCCTGCTTGCAGACCACCTATGTACTTGTCGCCGTTTGCGAAGAGGACAATTGATTTGCCTGAGCCATGAAGAGGCCACAGCACATTGACATATTGTGCTGATTCAAGCTAGTTAGCTGCATTGGCTCCCTTCAGCAACACTCATTCCATCTAAGCAGCACCTGTGGGATGTGACTATGTATGTCATGTAGCGCACTACCAAAATACATGTACGCCATCTACGCTTCAAGTGTCTTGGTCGGCGGCACTCTCCGGCGCCACCCAACGATTCCGTTAGCCTTAGCAGTGGCATGTAGTGAGGATGTGAATGATGGGATGAGCAGATCGCGCTGCGCCAAGTGCACTCTGCGTGCTGCACTCGCACAGCCACTCAGCCATGAGTAGCACGTTTTGATGCCTTGATTCTCGCTTTGCGCATAGAACTCGAAAACACCGACGGATCGATCCACTTGGCCACCGTACTTCATGGCGTTCAAGCCCCGATCCAAGATACGGTCAGGGATGCACTGCTTCTCGAAGTGGGCTTGTGAGGCTTGTGAGGCTTGTGATGGCTGCGCAGCTGGCGCCATGGCTTTCCAAAAGCTGTCTAGGAAGATTGTCTGGCCTCGCCCTTCCATGCGCCATGGGTCTGTGGCGATGACCGTGGCTCCGCTCCTGGCAGCCGTGCCGAGATGCCTCCCAAGAGCTTCGGCAAGTGCTTCTTCGTAAAACGAGTCTGACGCCACAACAATGTCTGGCTTCATCTCTAGCAGACGCTCTGGAGAATCCAACAATATGTCGAACACTCGCGTCGAAATCTCACCACCAGGCTGCATCTGCGCGGCCGTGAGGACGAGCCGATGTGCCAGGAGTGAGACATCCGTGCACGTGACGCGGGCCGAGCAGCGATGGGCGGCAAGAGAGGGCAGGCCTGTCCCACTCGCTAGTTCCACGACATGCACATCTCCTTGGGGGCATGGGCAGAGTGCGTTTGTTTAGAATGGCTCTACTCAAGCCACCAGCCCTCTCAATGCAAGCCGTGTTCTGATGGGTCGGCCAGTGGCCCTCTTGGCTAGTGCCCGAAGAACAGCGCAAGCTGCTAAGAAAGACGCGGGCCAGAACAAGCCACTGTACCTGAGCATCAGCAGCAACTAGCAAAGGAAGAGCCGATGCGGTTCGGGACTTCCAGCAGTCCAGAGTAGCAACCCCCTTCTCCTTCCCTGACCCGTCCTGCTATAGTCTGAGTAAGTTGCAGCATACCAGTATACATTGAGGCTCGCATCTCCAGGCCAGAGGCACTCATGGCGCTTGCACTTGCCGGACTTGCTGCCGGAGTGTATTGAAGCGTGACATACTGCAGCAAGGACAGGAGCAACCCTGTGTCATCCAGACCATCAAGCTGGACGACAGCCACCGGTTCTCGCAGAAGTTCTGGGTCGAAAAGGACCGTGAAGCTCTCAACCTCCAAAGATCTGCAAGGCTGCATGGCCTACTTCGACGTATCACATACCACACATTACCGTACCGAGGCCTTTGGGACGAAATGATACTCGCCATACCGTGGTGGGTTGGTCGTCGACTCGAACACGCCGAGGCCGCGAAGTGCAGAAAGCAGCCAGAGTGGCACCTGCCCATATTTGCTGTGACGTCTCGCGCGAGCTTCCTGCCTGGTCGAATGGCCTGTGGCAGCATATCTCGCAGTCCCGAGAAGCCACGCCAGAAGCGTTGCCTCGCTGACATGATCACCGCCCATTCAGATGCAGCAGGCGGTAAAATCTCTCCAGCCTGGAGCTCGTTCGGAGGTAGACCTCTCGTTTCACGTAGAACCGCTGCAGCCTTCCTGCGTGAGGTGTCTGTGACAGATTCTGACTCTATGACCGTGACTCCAATCGTTCACATCGGTGCCTTTCCCGGCCCCCTGGTCCTTCCAAAAAACTGAATGGGTCATTCTCCCGCAGCACCAGAAAGTCATCATCCACATAGCTAACAGTTCTTAGCAAGAGATGCAGAGCCACAAATCATCACGTGGAGGCAAAATGAAGTCCGGAGTCGGGTCATGCCTCCCCGGAGCCAAGGCACACCCGCGTAGAATTTGCGGATAAAGTTCGGAGATCCAATTGCAGAGGCATGCGCGCGGTCCTCGGAAGTGGTGTTTCTGAAGCATGGCTTCCACATGTCTTAACAAGTGCTTTTTTCCGTATGTTTCTAAGCGTGAAAAGTGAGTTTCGGCGCTGCTGTAGATTCCTTTGAAGCTCATGCTCCAGGTGCTGAGCACTCAGGGAAGCTGAGCTGCTTGCCAAGTCTTTGCGTTGCCTGCTGCGTCGCCGACATCTGCCTGACACTTCAGCTCGAGGTTTTTGGAGATGTTCAGGCAGACCTCGGGCAACGAGATGCGGTGGGTCTGCGGATCAGTTTGCCTGATCTCCTGCAAAGGCTTGTGTCTCTCGTGTCATCACCGTTTTGGTCGTACTCACCGTGTTCACTTGTTGCATCTCGTTGCTCTCAGGCCGCTGAACGTAGGGCTTGGCCTTGCAACGACGCTCCGAAGCAGGCGGCGACCCTCGGTCTATGGCCAAGATGACAGGCGGTCATTCAATGGTGCTTAGTGAGAGTGCTTCAGGAACTGCTGACGGGGTTCAATGCCGGAGGACGGGAGCCTTCGGTGTCTCCTTGCCAGGGGGCGTGGGTTCCTATGGTCTTACACCTTCATGAGAACGGCCTGCGGCAGAAATGCAGGCCTATCAGCGTCCAGTGACCAGGCACAAGGTCTCCAGGAGCTTGCACTTTCAAGCCTTCCAGGTGGCCAATCTGCGCCACTACATCCTCCAGGTTGCCAGAACCAGCAAAGCAGCCGAAATAACCAAGCAGCTTGGCCTTTGCATCCGCTGACTCGCGCCGTGATCTCAGGGCGATCCTCCTGGCGCTCACTTGCCAGTTCCTCCGTGGCTGGCGCAGAGAAAGTAAGCCGTTTCTGCTCCACCCATAGTGTCCGTAGCCGGTCAAGGTGCCACCAGCTTGGACTGTGCTTGCGGCTGAACCGTAGTCAACACCACATCGGTTGGCAAGCCATCTTTCAGGGCATCGACACCTCCAGCTTTGCCTGCTGAGTCTTTGGCACGGCAACCGAAAGTCCGGATGCTTGCCGCCAAGCTTGTACACAGGGTGTAGCATAGCTGCATGGCTCTTAAACGGCTTGGCAGCAACTTGACGCTAAGCCGACGCAAGAGCAACAGCGCACTTACATTCTCAGGGTGCTTGCTAAACGGGGTGACTCAACAGGATGAAGGAATTCCTTGTGAACTCTTATGCTGGCTCATGCTGAGATTGCTACGTTTGCGGAATCGCATCCGGCCGCCTGGATGCCACGAAGACTCTCCTGGGACGGTCGCTCTGATCTATCACGCAGAGGAATGCGCTCATTTCTTCACTCGACTCATACCGAACCGTGCAGTTGAGCTTCATACTCAACGGTGAAATACCGTCAGATATGGTGCAAGTACTAGGACTAAGGAGCATGAGCCCATGTCGGGAAGGCTGAGCTGCACGTGAGGCCTTCGTTGTTTGGTGCTGAATAACTACATGGAGATCTAATTTCGAGAGCCTCGGATTCTAGGGGGGAGGACCTCAAGTTGAAGCCCAAACCCTAGCAACCCTGAACCCTAGCCCGAAAAGTTGTAGATTTGTTGACAGATGTTGACAGTGGCTTGGGTTTGGTATGTTCAGTCGGTTTATTCGGTTGGGGTCAGGTCAATTCTTAGTGTGGCTGACTTTAATCAGCAGCCTTTCCTTTCTTGGTCAACGGCGACCTGCGTTGGGATGATAGTGATGAGCAAAACTGACTTCAAATTATTGTTTTGCCGAGCAGCTGCTCGGATGGACCACGGGGATCCACCTGCTCAAGAACAAATCTCTCCATGTTCTCTCATTGTTGACCCAGCCAGAGTTGCGACACAAAGCAGCCTCTGCAGCGGACACGATCATCTCTATCAGCTCCTCTTCTAGCCTGCCAGCTGCCACTGCCAGAGGCTACCAGAGCAAGTCTCAGTTCAAGTACAGAGCATTTTCCCTCAAGCTTTGTGGCACCTGCCCTTGTTCCACACGCCAACTACCCGCGTTCCACTGGGGTCGGTGAGGACGCCACGGCCATGCTCCTGCCCATGTGCATTTTCGACTTTTTTACTTGGGTGTGAGTCATTGAGGGAGTCGATTTTGTGTATGGCTGGGGGGTGGCTTGCAATGACTGGAGGCGATCTGTAATCGCCAAGCTGACGATTTCTGATCTGACATGATTGGGTGGTCAACAGGATGCTGCCAGCGCGCTCACAGAAACAAGAACAACGCATCAGCACCTGCATTGGATCCATCTAAATGCAGACAAAGGCCACGCATGCATTTGCTTTGGCTAGTGAGAATGCACACTGCCAACAAAAACATGCATGGAGCGGTCTTTCATCGCTGGTATCATTTTATGTCCTTCAGCCTGGGCATCCTTGGACCACCCATTCGATCGCAAGTGCGGAGGGCAGTACAGTGGATCCCCGAGCCCTACGCACCTGCGCAAATACGACCTGGGTGGTAAGCTTGCCTGTCGCTTCCAGGGTGCTCCTGTCCTGCAAAGACAACCCCGACGCCTCCTTGGGAAAAGCGTCGGTCTTGTACCACTCAGTAGTAAAGGACCGGACAAAGGGCATCATGTGCCGGCACAGCAGGTGGGTATGTTCCTCGATCTTCCGTGCAAGCCACAACACAGGTTGATCAACGCCCGAAGGGAAGCAAGGCTACTTAGCAACGCTTGACCGTAACGGCACACGCCAAGCTTGACTTCGTGCCATCCTTCTCCGCTTGATGTGTACACAAGTCGTCCAATTTTGTCGTCCCAAAGAGTGCCAACGCATAAGGTGTTGGAGCATCAAGCAAGTGCATCAAGCTTCATCACCCGACCAATAAGTGGCTTAGGTTGCTTCCTTTCTGCTTTTGCATGAAGAGCTCAGGTGCAGGGAAAGTCCAATGACGGTAGCTCAGCAAGGCTTCGATCAGCGGTCTTTGCGCATCGGTGGGTCTCGGATATGGACACAAGATGATCGGATTTGCAAATCATGCAGCCTTGAAATTGGCGAGGCTCTACACCCTAGTTTCCAGTGTAGCAATTGTCAACACCCATCGTTCTTTTTTTGTGGCACACTTCGTACGTCGGGGGAGCTTCAGGATCCCTGCTGTTTATAACGGTCTGAGTCCTGCTGCACTTTGTCGGAGTATAAGCAAAGGGTGCAACATGGGAAAAGATAGCTTCGCATGTGTGTGGGTACGTGTGCAAGCTTAGGCCAATATGTAGCAGTCACGCTTCTCACATCTGTCCCGAAACTTTACAACACGCAAACTGCCCTACTTGTTACGAGCTGGGGTGATCTGATATGATTTGGTCTGATCTGCGAGCGCCGAGCTGGCAAGTTCGACAGACTTAAATTGATCTAGTATGATTTGGAGTGCTCTTTGATGGCACCGTGTACAATTTCAGGCAGAGACGGCAGAGAAAGTCAATTGTTCAAGTCCTCGCCGGCTGGCGAGGGAGCATCCTCCTCAACCTCCGCGTCTGTGGATGCGTCGACGGTGCCGGCCACGGGGGCGGGAAATCGACTGGCGCACTTGACGGTCTTCTTGCCGCTCTGACCTTTTGATGCTCTTGACCTTCTGACTTGACCTTCTTGACCTCAGGCTCCAGAGAACAGAGGGTCAAGGTGGTCAAGACGGTCAAGGGGTCCGGGCTGACCCTCCTAACATTCCTCGCTCTTGACCTTCCTGACGCTCTTGTACTTCAAAATGGTCAAGACGGTCACTCATCACGGCGACAACTGAAACAGCTATAGACAGCTGGAAATTCCATCCCTTGTGCCATCTTGCGTCATTCCTTGCACCGTGCTTGCACGGAGCTTGGAAGCGAATGGTCTTTTAGCAAGGTTTTGCTAAATTTCAGTTTCGCTGATAAACTGTAGACGATGGTTTTCGGACAACCCGCATATGACACTGTATGACACTGTCTTTCGAGGGTTGTCCCATTGCGAGAAAGAAACAGCAAGGAACTTGCATCCGGCTTTGTGGCGGGTGGCTTTGTCGCAGCGTGAGGCTTCGGGGAAATCTTCGTAGGCTTGGCGACTGGCATGGCGATGGAAAGTGCGGCAAGCGCCTCCACGTGTGGTTTCTTCTCGGGCACGCTCATGGCTTCTTTATGTTAGCTGCAAACGGCAGCTCAGGTACTGCAAGGGCACTGCTGGTTGGGGCACGTTGCGCTCCTCGCGCTCGACTAGGTTGAATGCGAACATGAAGTGCACAAAGACCAGTCTTGCACGACCAGCGCCCAGGCAAGGAGCCGGAGCTCTATGGCCCTTTACAGCACGACGGCCACCCGACTGCTCGTAGACTGCGCCCAGACGGTTGTGGGTGCACTCGCCCAACTCTGCTGAGGCCATTGCTGCATGCTGCTCAGCTTACAAAAAAGGTTGCAACCCTTGTCAGGTCTCCTGGTCTTCCAAGAGCTCCCCGACGTACATCAGACCATTGGTGTACGTCTTCTTTCCGACCTGAGCCGGCCACTCAGACCATCCACAAAAAAAATGCCATGTTCTCCTCCGCCAGACGATTCCCAAAAAAACACCATGTTCCCTCTAACGAAGGCCCTGAGGGCGCCGGCCTTGCTGCAAACGTTGTTTTCAAAGACTCCTGTGAGCGTGACGCCCGAAGACCACCTGAAATACAGAGTCACAGAATGCCCATAGGGTCGCTACAGGTATTTGAGCTCCAGACGTGTAGCAGCCCAGGCCATTAAATAGAGAGTCCTTCAAAACACAGCATCGCTGCAGCACGCAAGGTTCTGAAAGCACCTCTCACAAATAATGCTCAGAGCTCAGAGTCAAGGGTAGTCTAGGACTAGGAGTCTGCCTTGAATTCGCCGGTGTACTGGTCGTTGGTGATGAAAGTGATCGTGCCACGGCCCTGTCTTTACAAGTCATGGCAAACTGTGCTTCCACAAAATAATGACGAAAGCTTCATCCCACATGGACGCATGCACGAAAAATGAAGCCTCCCTGAAGGGCATGCCTCCATGTTGCCAGCATGGAACTCGCCCGAATAAATGGAGCCGCAACTGGTTGTCAAGGTTCCCTCATCGCACATGCAATAGGAAGTGTGGGAACAGGTCGTTTTTTCACAGACTGGTCAAGTGTTACTTGTAGTGGCATGAACCACTGGATGCATTCAGACAGCCTGGCCGCTCATCTCTCCGAATTGCCACTGGCCACGGTAGATATTTGCCTGGCAATCTTCTGCCATCCAACTGCCCAAGTTAGCACTCACAATCGACGAGTAAACTTAGAAAGTTCAAAAGCCTTGTCTGGCCACTCGAAGGTGCCTTCACCATGGTACAAGCCGTTGAAGAACCTTCCCAGGCACTACGATATTGCTATTTTTCTTTCTAAACATGAACATCGCTCCGTTCCCTGAGCAAGGGGCTCACCGACGTATCTGGCCTCTGCTATCAGCTATCAAAAGCACTGGTGTGAACAAGTGGGCATATCGACATGTCCATGATTGGCCTTCACGGACCATTCCAGTACTCCGTGGCCCTGGAACACGTTGTGCTCGAAGGAACCCTGCGCATCAGAAAGCTTCTCACCATGGGCCCTTTGGGAGATATCACCTTCTCCTGCTCCGTGCAAGTGGGAAGCATCAAGGGTTCATAGAAAACAGCTCTTAACCCTAAACCCCTATTAAATTAAACCCCCCCCAACCCAGTCCTTGTACCGACACACGCCAAAGTCATCGGTCCAGCAAAGCATGCCCTCGCCGTGCATCATCTCATCCTTCAGGGGTCACGTATGCAGTTGTCACATCAATAATATGCAACAAACATGTATCATATATACTATAGCACGCATTGTAGAATTTTAGAAGATGTTAAAGATTGTCTTGAAGTGTCCTGGAACTGGCCAATGTAGCGCCGTCCGTCGGGCCATTGGAACACGCCGTACCTCCGAGGCGCATTGCGTCAGCTTCTGTCACCTTCTGATCGTTGCAGTACTCGCATGCCCTGCACTGGAGCGCACTTGTGAATGCTGTTGTTCAGGAGCGTGCCTGAAGCAAAAGAAACGACCAGACACCGGGTGGACATCCCGAAAAAATCCTGAAAAGTTCCGAGCCTGTGTATGTGCATCCATTAGCCCATTTCTTGGTGCCCTGAGCGCGATGGAGACAGGAAAGAAGGTAACATGCCACGTCTTGGCCAATTCGCCTCACCGGTAGCTCCGTGATTTTCGAAGACTCCGGTGATCATGGTGCCATTGGGGAACCTGCCACGATGCGCAACTCGCATAGGAGACCACACCGGTCATACATTCGTGCCTGGAAAATGTCGATGCCTTGATCCTACTATTGGCTCTAAGCTGATGTTTTGGAAGTTGGACGTGTCTGTTGAATGCATGATCATTCATGTCATGTGTTTCACCTTGGCGCAATCGAATGATATGGACGTTTTGCCCCAAAAGCGCAAGGCTTTTCGCGGCTACCTTCGCGAGGCCTATTTCCTTCTCCTTAAAGAGCTTCGCGCACCACTACAAAGTACCTTTTGTACAACCATCTTCTCGATCTGCTTTAAGAATCATGGCATCAGCTTCGGCGGCAGTTTGCCGATGTCGCACAGGAGTTGTGTGAACTGCACGGTTTGGGGCTGGGCTCTGCGTTGTCAACTCGTGTGGGCTCAAATCAAAACCGACGCGAAAAAAAACGAGTCTCACAGAAACGCCGATTCCAGCACCGAGCTAGTACTACAAGTCAATGAAAACCCAGCTGGCTCACAGAAACGTCGATTCCAGTGCTGAGCTTGTACGACAGACCAATGGAAAAATCCAGCCGTTTCAAGGAAACATCGATTCCAGTACTGGGCTTGTGCTACAAATCAATGGAAACCCAACTGGCTCACAGAAACGTCGATTCCAGTACTGAGCTTGCATGACAAATCAATGACAACCCACCCCGCTCACGAAACGTCCACTCCAGTACTATGCTTCGCCCCAAGGAAACGCAGCTTCGGTCGACTTCCTAAAAAGCTTCCCTGCAGTGTTTCGCCTTGCCGCGAGACAAAAGGTCAACTGTCCGTGTTGCGTGTAATGGCTTGATTTGGGCTTTGAAGCTCTGAAACACTTCTGAAACCGACCGCCGCCTCCACACGCTTGCTTTGCTGAAGGGGGGTACATGACACTAAATGCGCCTGTGACAGCCAGGACCCACGATCTCGCTGTTGTGCCAGAGGCCCTCAAACTCAGTACCTCGCAGCCAGGCAGTAAATTTACAGGCATGTGCAAGCAGAGCTGTTTACAATATTGTAGAATGCACAGCTCCTTTGCGATTGAAAACAGTGCTGGCAGGCGGACCATCAGGCCAATGGAAGGTGCCGCGCCCCTCCAGCTCACTATCGTGAAATTGCCCCTGCGCGACATGGACGCTTTGTGGGCTTCACACATGTCGACGCCCAAGAAACACAGCAATAGAATGCACGCCGGTCAGGAGGGCACCCGAAAAGGCGGAAGCGGATCAACCAGCCTCGAACCAAGAGCCATCTGGCAAAGTTTTCTTGCCCTTGCCCTCTATGCAGTTGTGCTGGAAGTCTCCTGGCCAAGAGCCATGAGCAGAACATGAACCATGGGAACCATATGGGCCGCTGGTCCACACCTTTGTAGCAAGATCCATCGGCCCAGGTCAGCTTGCCCTTGCCCTCTCGGATGCCGTCCTGGCATCACCGGGGCTCCTTTCATGTCACCAATTCTAGCATGCTCCAATCCAGCCTTCCACTCGCCATCGTACTCAATGCCGTTAGGCCACTTCACCTGCACAAGTCCAGCCACCCTTCTGCTTCAATCTTGGAACCTGTACTCGTTATCCTTTGTGGGCAAGCACGGGGCCATCTCCTACTGAACCTACCTCACCTTCGGCGCAACCTCTGATCAGTGTTCCGTGCTTGCGAAAGGGGGGGCGGGGTGGGTGGTACAGCTTCAGTCATCTCGCACAGGTGCGCCTTTCCCCGGCCATTCCTCGGTATGAATCGAAGGATTCCACAGGACAGTTCGATCTGCGGGTTGCGTTTTCTATCACCTGCAGTCTAAATCTTTGCTTGCCCATGTCGGAAACTGCCCGAAAGGGGTTGATCGTGCGTCAGCACCAGTCATGAGCCATGAATGCCACAGAGGCACATCCGATTCTGGAGCCACTGGCCGCTGTACACCCAGCCCTCCTCTGCACTTTCGAAGATGCCCTGTCAATGTCCAGGGGGCACGATTAAACACAGCGTAGAAAGAAGCAAACTGCAGGGGCCCACCTCGCCCTCCTGCATACCATGCTTGAAATTCCCGGCGTAGCGATCTCCGTTTGGCCAGGTGCGAGTTCCCTGGCGAGTCACTGCAAAGACTCGCGCTCTTGCACAGGGGTTGGCAAACCTGGCCTTGCCATGGAACACACCCTTCTTCAGGGTGCCTATGTACTCCTGTGAGCAACCGGGGAAGCAATGATGGGTCAGGCAGGAATCTTTCAAGGCGCCTCTCCGGACGGCCAGGTCATCTTGCCGTCGCCCCACATCTGGTCCTTCAGAATAGTCTGTGAAGACTCGTGAGCTGTGGCGTCCTCCACGGGTCCTTCCGCCACTCACCATCGTATGTACGACCAGTGGGCCAAGTCTTCTTGCCATTGCCCCACATGTAGCCCTGCATATCCAAACTGATTCGGAAGTAATGGCATGGCAGCCCGGGGGGGGAGGGAGGACGGGTTCTGAGCTTCTTGCTGCTCTGGACTTAGAGGAAACAGTGCAGACCAGACATCTTTGTCTTGCCTCATGAAACTCGCCGAAGTACTCGCTGCCATCGCTCCAAATGTAATGGCCCTAGCAAGACATCTATGTGGAAAACGGAAGAATCGTTGCAGCGCTCAAAGCTGCTGCCTCGCCATGCATTCGGCCATTGAGCCATGTGCCAACCTCATGTTATCAAAGGCGGCATGTGTTCAACATTGTTCCTGCACAATTCTGCAAAATGATATCACAGGTGTGAGCGTAGGAGTTGCCGTTGGAGAAGATTCTCTGATCCTGGAAGCGACGCAGGCAGATGTAGGCACTCGAAGCTACGAGTAAGATGGCAAAGCCGCAAAGACACTTGCTGCCACTCGCTCGCTTCGAGCCTTGACAACTCTGTTGGCCGTCAGCTTGTCGCTGTCTGGCTTCCTGGGAGTGACCTTCGAGAAACATCTGAAGAGAAATGTGCTGAGGATGCACTTGAAGCACCGCAGAGAACCGCGTGGTGCTCCACTGCCACTGAGCTGAAGGCAACACCGTGATCAAGCCCTGACCGCTTCTCAGATATGAAATGCTCGATGTTCAATGTGTTGTCCTGGCAGCACTTTCTGCGAAAGAGTCACAACCTCTGTGAAATCTGACCGGCAGCAGAAGCCACTCTGTGGCCTTGCGATTGACGTGCTCGTCTGGTAACCTGCTGGGCACCTTGGTCTTCTGCTGGAGACAAGCCCAAGCCCCCTGATCCCATGTCATGGCTCAATCGCTGGGGCGGGCACCTGTTGTCTACCTGGACGAGCCTCGCGCAAAGGAAGTCGGGTTCCATTGTAGCCATCTGCCTCACTGATTTTGTACGATGCACGAGGTGCAGCACGTGCATGTGCCAATGGCTGGCATAGGCGTAAGAAGCAAGCTCGCGCAACTGTGGCCATCTTGGCTGCCTTGGATGTTATACTCTGACGAAAAGCATACACAAAAGCCTTGACAAAGCAGTCGAGCGGCAGGGCGTCGGGCAGTCTGCTACCCAGAAACTGTTCGCAGTTGGGGCCAAAAATAGGATCGTGTGGCAGATTGCAAAGCTCATATTGCTGCTGCAGCCTCGGAGCAAGTCTCTTTCAAACTTTCGACCGACTTAGAGATATCCTTCTCCTTTGTATCGGCATCTGTTGTGCGGGCTTGCAGGCTATTGCTGCGGCGCTGCCTTCGGCAGAAGTGGATCTACAATGATCTAGCTGCACAATGGTGAAACCTGCCCCCATCACGTACTGAGATGGCAACCTTCTGATGAGTCTCCCAGCGATCCAGGCTGGGCTAGACGGGCCCAAGGCAGCGCATGAACGCGTTCAGGTGTCGGAGCCTTGACCAGGCACATGCAAAATCTTGCAACATCTTGCAACCATCACAACCCGAGCGCTCGGAGCCCTCTCAGAGTTTGCAAGGCTCTAGCCCGACAGGCAGGCGTCGCACAGGAGTGTAAAGTTGTGGAGGCACCCTTGTATACCTCAACGCGGGCAAGTGTGCGACGTCCAAGTAGTGGTGGCGCCAAGGCTGCTGCCGCTTGGCGCATCGGCCCAGCAAGAATCTACAAAGCCAGAGCAGAAGTGGAATGAAGCAGGTGACCTCAAATTGCAAGGTCCACTGATAACTGAAGGTGCAAGCCTCAGTGCGACTTCTGGTCTTCTGAGTGCACGACCCGCAAGAGCTCATTCGAAAAACAATCCTGCGCCAGCCGACGATGGCTTCTGCTCCATCTTCTCACTTGGCCATGTGCACACACACAATTCACACTGAATCTGCCCAGAACCCTGCTTTGCACCGGCCCTTCCATATCAACTGCAACTGGCAGAGCCCATCAAAGCCCGGTCCTCCATCCACTCCAAATCGAAGATAGGTGGGACGTATGTGATGATCTGGGCAGGTGCTCATAGCAAGACTGAATTCCCCACAAGCCCCTCGCCGAGGCGCCCGCAACCAACCAAGAAAACAGAGCCAAGCTGGCAACATCAGCCAGATTCTCCTGCGAGTCGGAAGATTCGCTGCAGACACAGAACATACGACACGCCATGCATCACCATGCATCAAGGCACCAATGTGGGCAACTTCTTGCAGAAGAAACCAGCCAGTTTCGTCAACAGGCCCATTTTGATGAGCTTCTCCTTCAGAGATGCGCGCCGAGTTGCAACAGGCAAAGTCTTGGCCCTTGCTGGATCCTCCTTCAGCGATCCGAAGTAGCCCAAAGCCACAGCCAGAATGAGCGCCATACCGGCCTGGCCAGGATGGCCAAAGCTCATCTTACACCGACTCCTGGAGGGCTCCCAAGCCTGGGAGAAGTTGATGATTGTGCTGATGTGCAAGACCAGCTCGGCATGGCAGAGCGCGCAGTGCGAGCACCTAAGAGCATTGTTCCCACGCACAGCAATTTCGGAACGGCCACGGATCTGATGACAACCTCTTGGCCCCCCTCGTGCATTCTTGGGTGCTCTCAGGTTGATTTCCCCTGGCCCACGGAGATAACTTTTTGAAGCATGCAGAGATCAGTAACTGCTGTAGAGAGCAATTCCGAATTGCCTGCACACGCTTCCGCCGCACTGGACAATGCGCGTCCGCAGCCCCGGCATACACTGCACAGGCTGCAAAGTGGATGGGATGAGGTATGACAGGTCCATAACAAAAACCTCCGCCTGCTCAAAGCACGTGCAAGTGGACCACTGGCCGACGGTCCATGCAGGCGCGTCGCCGTTCACCACCTACGACAAGTCCCGAGAATTCGAGAATTCCCGGGATCTTCGAGACTCTTCGGGGCTCTGTGTGCTCGGGCCTGAAGTTGCCTCGGAGATGCCGGCAAGGAGGGGTCCCAGATGGCCTCAGTGCTTCAAAACAGAGCTGCAGAGCCACCGCGGAGCCTTGTCTTAGCTCTGACAGCTCTGAAATGCTCTGAGATGCTCTGAGCCTTCTACCTTTTCCTCCTCTTGCCAGGATGGTGTCTTGCAAGGGAGGTCTTCCCTTTCCCTGGGACGCCCGTGCCAAAAACTTCAATGTCAACACTTCCACACCTTGCAACCTGCCTGCCGACAAGCACTACCTAAAACGTGCCAGGATGCGTCGAAGCCAGCAGGTCCAGTCGCCTGCCTGCGCAGGCCACTGATGACTCTTGGACATCTGCGATTTTGAGGTGAAACCGAGTGGGCGGCTCCTTATAAGCCTCGTTTCATTCTCCCCCGCGCACAGCTCTACAGCTAGAAAACATGCCCCCGATCCACCTATCAAGCCTTGCCAGCCATTAAGGAGGCGTGAGCATTCTCCACCCTCCATTTCGAACCCACTTCAGGCAGCTGGCAGTCAACCAACTCCACTAGATAGCAACTGGCAGCTTGTCTTCGTGGCCTGTGGAGTTGCACCAGCCTGACCCGTCGAAGCGCGTCAGAGCACGTGCGCTGCGGTGCTGGAACGCAATTCAGATGGGATCGGGGTCGCAGTGCTCAGGTCGTAGCTAGGCGTGGTGGCATACTGGCCGCACCCATCATTCCTGAATGCGCATCGTACGTCTCAAACGTGACACCTACTCTTTGCTGGAGTTGTGCCGTTGGATAACAACGACGTGCCTTTGAGGCATCAAACTGGGTTTGCTGCAGGAGACGTGCACCACACACGCTGTCGATCTCCGCCTGCACCTCCAACTTGATGCTTGCCCTAAATCTAAATTCATCGGAAACATACTCTGTAGAAAACGTGTGGTATCATGCATAGGAGATGGCACCGTAGGGTTGATCTCGCTCAGCAGGCCCGAGCATGGACATGATACCTCCAGTGCCGTCCTTGGCTCGGCGAAGGCTTGGCGATCAGAACAAGCTAGACCTGACAGACCTGTGCTTCGTATGGCTAGGTGCCCTGACGACTTGTAACCGTGAACGTTCGTGCAGTTGTTGCCGCCATTTTCGAGGTCCGGCAAGAGGTATAGCTCAGCCATGGACCGTGCTTGCGCGTTTGGACGTGCGAAGACTTGCAGGCAAGCCCCTGTATACCCCTGTTCCCAGCTGAGCTTAGAACCGCATTGGCTAGGACGCGGCAGCTCAGAACCTTGCAGTCCTGCAGCAGGAACAAGGAGTTCATCGGAAAGACCAGACATCATGCAAAAAACTCGCTCTCAGCCTCGTTCACTGCTAGCGCCGCATCACTGTTGCGAGTGTAGATGAGGTGAATAGCATCAACCTGTCTCACACGGGCACTCGTCAATCAAACACATTGAATCTGGGGTCCCGGCAGGACTGGTAGCAAACTTCATCATGTTCAGGCACTCCTGAGGCCGAAGGTCGCTCCGGCCGAGGACACATGTACATGCAACCAAAGTTCCCTTGGGCAACCTCAGTGCCCCACCACTAAAGCCCACAGGAAACAGAGCAAAGAGCGAGCGAAAGCGAGCCGGAGCGAGCAAGAGAGAGAGAGAGAGACAGAGCGAGAGAGAGAGAGAGAGAGAGAACGAGTGGCTCTGGTTGAGTCGTTCCAAAGCAAGTGCTTTTGCTGAGGGCTGAGGACCGTGTTTTGCAGAGAGTTTTGGCTGGCCTTGTTGCAAAACCCGTCTTTCCGATTCGAGACGAGATGTCCTATTCGAGATGAGGTGTGCCACTGATCCCCCCCAGGTACACGTATGAGTGGGGGTAACAGGCAAATCAGCCAAGCATAACTCAGCAAACAGGAGTGCAAATCAGAAAACACGGCGGTGCAAATCAGAAAACACCAAGGCACGAATCAGAAACCAAAGTCAGCAAGAGTGGGCGCACTGTTTGTTGTAACCTAAAAGCCCTAAGCCCTACACCCTAAGAACCCCTGAGCCCTAAACCCAAAAAAACCTAAACCCTGAAAACCTCTCAACTTCAAACCCCGAAAACTCTAAATCCTAAAAACCCCTAAGCCCTAAACCCTAATAAATCCGAACCGTAGAAAACCCTAAACCCTAAGCGCTAAACCCCTAAACATAGGCATGTTTTTTCTCACCCATCATGCGAGCATTGTGTTTGCAAATGGGGCGGGCTGCCCCCCCCCCCCCCCCCCCCCCCCCCCCCCCCCCCCCCCCCCCCCCCGCTTTATTCTTTATCGAACCCATCATGCGAGTGTTGCGTTTGCAAATGGGAAGGGTGGCGAAAAGTCCTGAAACCCTAAACCTCAAAGAAACCCTAAACCCCCAAAAGCCCGTCAACCCTAAAAAACCCTAAGCCCTATGAACCCTAAAACCTAAACCCTAAACCCTAAAGGCCCCCTACACCCTAAGAACCCCTGAGCCCTAAACCGAAAAAACCTAAACCCTTCAAACCCAGGGTTTTTTAGGGTTTAGGAGTTAAGGTTTTTGCGGGGTTTTTGTGGGGGTTTAGAGTGTAGGGGTTTTTGGGGTTTAGGCCTTTTTTGGTTTAGGCCTCAAGGTTTCTTAGGCTTGAGGGGGTTTTAGGGTTTAGGGTTGGGCTTTTGGGGTTTAGGGCTTCGGGGTTTGTAGGGCTTCGAGGTTTTTAGGGCTTTGGGGTTTCTCGGCTTTAGGGGTTTAGGGGTTTAGGGGTTTAGGGGTTTAGGGGTTTAGGGGTTTAGGGGTTTAGGGGGGGTTTAGGGATTCTTTGCCCCACATCCCATTTGCAAACGCAACACTCGCATGATGGGTTCGAACAAAAAAGAAGCGGGGGGGTTGAGGGCCCCTAAAGCCTCAAGCCCTCAAGCCCTCAACCCAAAACATAACCTGAGCCCTAAACCGAAAATAGCGCTAAACCCTAAAACCCCCTAAGCCCCAAGCCCTAAACCCTAAACCCTAAACACCCCTTATTCAAATAAAGCAAACCTTGCTGCTCGAGCGCAAATGATAAATTTGTTATCATAGGGGTCTGTATAGGACGCCTATCATAAGGGGGGGGGGGGTACTTAGTAGACCTATCTTCAATAAATGTGTCTTGGGGGAGATCCCTAAACCTAAACCCTGCAAGCACACCCTTCAACCTATCATGTTTGCTTAGGTTAGGTTAGGTTAGGTTACGTTGGTTAGGTTAGGTTAGGTTCGGCTAGGCTAGGCTAGGTTAGGTTAGGCTAGGTTAGGTTAGGCCAGGTTAGGTTAGGTTAGGGGCCTGGCCTCTTGCATTGCAGATTAGGTTAGGGTTGGTTCCGTCAGGTTAGGTTAGGTTGGGTTGGGCTGGGCTGGGGTTGGGGTGGGTTGGTTTGGCTTGGGCTGGGGTTGGGCTCTTCGGTACTTGTTCGCCCACTCCAGGCGAAGGCGATGGCCCGCCAGTGAGAGAGACCGATGTAAATGCATGGCTGTCCATGCATGCTGATCCAAACCTCGCTGTTTTCTGATTCGTTCCTTGCGGTTTTCTGAACCATGGGTGCGTGATTCATGGTCTTGTTTTCCGATTTAGGTAGCATCCCGTATGAGTGCCGATTGTGGACATTCAGCAATATTCAGAAGCATTGCATGCATTCCTGTGACAGGGAGGATACCATACTGTTGCACATACACTTTGCCACTGCGCGATGCTACCGCTTATCACCGTCAACATGGAGATGGCTGGTGGGGCAGAGCACTTCTGGGAAGTGCCCTTCGCCAGCACATCCAAGTGCCAGTCCTGGTTCAGTGAGGCTCCCACGAAGGCCTGGCGCGCCGGCAGAATACTGACGCCACAATGTGTCTAGGAGTCTAGCATCCGAATGCCTGGTTGTACGATTTCTTCGGCGTGTTGGCCTCCTGAAGGCTGATTTCATCGAAGTTATGGCGCGTACGGCTAGACAGTAAAGGGTTCAATGTCCTTGATCCAGGTAAGGTTCATTGCACCTGAGCTTGTGGTCCCCCCGTCAGAGATGCGTGGATCCTTGAGCCTGACCTGCTCCCTGCCGAGGCACCGTTGAAACATCTGGTTGATGTGCAAAGAAGTAGCATGTCTGGACAGTCTTCAGTACAGTCTGTCCTGGCAGGCTTGACGCTGAATTATCTTGACTATGATGCGAACCACGTCCCGCGGTACAGATGGAAGCTCGACTGAAAACAAGGCCCTGGCCCATTTCTTCGCACCTGTCCAAATTTGTCAACTTTATTGTTGCAGTTGTGGGGGCAGACTCGCGTCCGGTTGTCATACGTGCGTCTTGCACTTTTGGCATGCGAGATTAGAAATGCATCTGTCGCGCGCGCGCGCGCGCGCCTACTCGCACACACCTCTGAGCCCTAACACTTGTAGTCCTGGAGAGTTTGCAATGTCTGTGGATGTCAGTACTCAACTTGGGATTGACCGTCGAGGGGGGGTGAGCTTCTGACTCAGTTCACGATTGAACGGATTAGGGTCCAAAACGCTGCATCGATTCAGCGCGCGGCCTTGCAAAATGCAGACTCTATCTCCGGCAAGCTCGTTGCCTGCAGAATGCCTTAACGAAGTCGGACTGCATCCGTCTCTCGAATCTCCCAACACAACTTTGATCTTGGCACTGGACCCGTTGCCAAGTAGAACAGGCATGCCCTCCATCAGCAAAACGCGCACACACACACACATATCCTGAAGGCTTCAGCAAGGCATTTGGAACTCTCAGTGCATGGCCACAGGAAGTAACCAGCAGTGTCTGGCACCAGAATGAACTGGCAATGTCGGAAAATGCCCAACACATGCTTGAGCTTCCCAGATTCCTACATCTGTTGCATTATTAAGCCCTGCTGTGTCGTCTACAGCGCCGCGTGCAATGAAGCAGTGCGTGGGCAAATGGCTGCCTTCACGATTCCGCTGATCCTCCTGCGCTGGACGAGCCGGGGAGCTATGTCAGGCAAGGACCCCGAAATTGCGAATAGACATGGATCGTGAACCATTTGGGAAAGAATGTCAAGTGGAGACCTTGTAATCGAAAGGAATGATGCCAAGTGTAGATGACAAGGAAACCGATCAAAAAGTTCCCTGCCCCCTTGGAACAGCGATTGTGAGGTCCAGCGTACACAACACAGCAAATACTAGACGAATGTGTAGCGTTGGCGCTTCCCTGCCCTATACTGAAAATCTACTTCTCTTGTCCTTCGTTGAATGCCTCTTTTCTGCCAGCACAGGACATAAAATGTTAAAGAGAAATGTACACCCCTCTGTCCTGACAGCGGCCGATTTGGGCTTCTTCCCATCGTCCTGGTGCACTCGCAATGCTCCCAATGTCAGGACAACAAGGCGGCACGTCCCTGGCAACATTCGACACTTTGCGTTAAAGTCCTGCTGCATCCTCTTTGATTCTCTTTGGACATGGAGAACGACAAACAGAACAGTATAGTGCCTGCTGATGCATTGTAGAGTCGCAAGTATGCACATACTTATGGTTGTGTAAACACAGCTCTACTCAAGCACTTCGCCCTGCAGGAACACCTCTAGATTTGACAACTTTGGCATGCCATGGGCCATCTCTTTTGAGATGAATGCTGCAGTTCACGTGGTTCCGTGGTTGTTGCCATATACCTGCTTCCAAGATTAAACGCTCCTCGGGGCTCGTGAGCTCTACTCTCCTTGGCAAGCGTAGCAGGCGTAGCTTCAGCTTGTGGCTCTTGCCGATGCACATTCGATGACGGGAATCAGGTCAACGAATTTTGATCTCGGATGTCTCCAGTGATGAGAGGTGAAGCACAAATGGCTCTGCAAGCTCAGGCGAATTCGCTGTCAGATTTGGGCTGAAAGCTAGGAATTGAAGAGGAAGTCCAGGCCGTGGCTGGGACAATGCCGATTACCAGCTCAAGGTAGCGCAGTACTGGGATTGAGGGAAGCGTGCCAGCATTTTGGACCCTCGACGTGCTATAATCCCCACTCAAGTATGGGCTTTAAGAGATGCTTTGGGGCTGGGCCCAAGCGAGCATCATCGGACCTTCTTTTGTGCAAACGCAGACGTAACGACAAGGACTGGGGCATGGGGAGCAGGGGCCTTCTACAAAGGCCGAACTGTGCTTTTCTTTGGCTTCTGGCTGCCGTTTTGTTCAAAAACCTTCTCCGTCCGAATCGTACTCGGGAGGAGAAAAGGTGCAAGAGAGGAGGTTCGGGGTTGGCAGATCCTTGTGGAGCGTAGCAAACGTGCAGGATCCGGCTGCACAGGGAACGCCTCAGAGCTGTGAGCGTAACGCCCGAGAGCGCAAGTGTTCTGCTCGATGGCGAGATACACGTGTGCTACTCATTGCTGCTCAGCACCAAAGCGGTCATAAAATTGAAAGCACGCAGTCCATCTTATATGTGGGCAGACCTTCAATAGTGGGGAACCTAGTTGAGCAAGCATGCCATCGATCTCGCCAAGATCATAACACCTCCTGGAAAAGAAGGCCAGCATGTTGGGGAATTCGCACCATGCGATTGCGCCATTACTGCACAGAGATTGAGCTCGAAGGCCAACACGTTTGGAATTATGAATGTGAAGGCATGCTTCGTTGGGGCATGACGGGGCATCATGGAGGGGACGGGGGGGTGAGGGGGGGTGTGGGGTATCCGTAAGACTGCGCTTAGGTTCCGATTCCCTGCAGCCAAGGCTTTCGGTCAAAATTTTTCCACACGACACGAGCTTTTCGACGAGTGCAATTCTCAGGCTGCGGTTGAAGCGCCACAACTATGGAAGCAGTAGCCTACAGTGCTTGATCCCCGTGTCTTTGTGGACCCTTACTCAACCCTCGGCTCAAGCAGCCAGCATCTACTGCTGTGCATCTTCTCATGTCTTCTCCACAATCTCCGCCTCCAAATGTAAGGTTGGAGACGCAGAGGCCATGTTGACGCAGTACTGTGCAACGCACACGCTGTACCGTGCAGAAGCTTGAACAGCCGTCGTGGAAGAAGGGAGGCATGCCCAAGCCGAATCAGAAGCCCTGGCACTCTTCGTGAAGAGTGAAAGCATCGGGGGAACTGTAGGTTTTTTGCTACTGTTGCTCATCTGCGTCCTCCAAATACTACCTCCATTGCACCACATAGATGCCATTGGCGTCCTCGTTGTCCTTCAAGCTCAAGCGACGTCCACGCAGCGATCCTCTGCGCAGCAGCTTGAACCGGCATTGCCAAGCTTGGCGAGGTGGTCGACACAGCCGACAGCATTTCCGTCAGATCATCACGTGCTCGTTGCTGCCAACAATTCAGCTCAGTGTCTGATATGTCTTCGAGTTGCTGCTCAAGGGTGTCTCTAGTGCATGGTCTGCCCAGGTCGCAGAGGGACTGCAGCACACGACTCTCTGCTAAGGTCTCTGCAAAGTTGCCCTGGAATTCTTCAAGTGCCGGCACTCGGACGCGCGTCCGTGTCACCGAAAGTCCGCCCAAATGGAGAAGTCCATAACCTTCCAAGGCATCCAGGCCTCCAGTTGAGGCGGCATGTGCCCGGTTTGCTGCGGGACCTCCCCCTATTCTGCAGGCGAAGAGCAGTTGCTTGCTGGTGTGTAGCAGAAGCTGCTGGAGAAGCGCCAAGGCCGCTTTCGGGTTACTGGCGGTCTCAGCTGCCGTGACAGCACAAGAGAGCCCAATTGAGTCCACAGCTTTGTGGCGAAGGACTGTTAAGGCTTCTGTCCAACGAGCGCTGTGTCTGCATGAGGTGAGAAAGGCACCATACCCAACAGAACCAAGCTCCCAGCTGTACTTTCCGGAAAGGAGGTGCAATGCAAGTTCCCAGCGTGAGGCCTTCTCACAGGCACTTAGTGCCGTGTTACAGGTCACTGGGTCAGCTTGCCCTTGCATGAAAGCCAGGGTGAGGAGGCGCAGCGCCCTGGCCCAGTCGTTGGACTTCTCACCTGGGTGTCCAAGAATAAAAGCCTACAAAGTGCGAAAAGCAAAACAGATGTACTACTTTCTGCATCTACTTCAAGAACAGTGCTCACAATTTTGCTCCTTCTAAGTCCTCTGCAGGCGCTGATGCAAGCGCTGAAGGCAATCGCATCCAAATGGAGAGCCATGCTGGCCATGGTTTCCATCAACTGGGAGGCCTCACGACTCCGCCCACCCTTCTCGCAAGCGGTGATAGCCTTGCTCTGCCATTGAGTCTCATTCGGGCTCAGGGGCCAGCGTTGATACATGTTGATACTATGCTGCAACCACAAGACACGCCCTTACAGTCTACGGTAAGATGCTGACAATGCTGAAGCTTGCAATGTCCGGTCTTGTTGCACCTCGTTCGACAAGAGTCTCCAAGAGATGTTCGCTCGGGCATTGGCAGGATTCCACCCCCCGCTCCCTCCCCTTATTCTTCAGACGTGTCTCTGGCTGCCAGCATTGCAGAAAGCAGCCTCAAAGTACTTTGCCATTGGGCGGCTCGAGCGCACGCAGCAAGAGCTGCATTGTGGTTTACCACGTCCTTGCTTGCGCCGCTCCCGTAAACAGCCCGCAGATGTCACGACTCGATTTCAGCAGTGAAGCTCAGCGGCTGCGCGGGTCCTCAGCTCATTCAGCTCATGGCCCGCATCGAGAACCCGAAGGGCCTCCTCCCACCTCCGGAAGCAAACGTGAAAGAAACCACATGAGAAAGCATGAGATTCAACACATGATTGCCGCATGACTCCTGCGGTCAAGGTCAGGCCTGGCAGCCTCTGTACAGGCTGAGATCACAGCATTCAATGCCGCACCATCAAATTTGGCGACGTGCAGCACGTCATCGGCACGATTTGCGCCCGGCGCCACGCCCACGTGGTGGGAAGCAGACATTACAGCACAGGCGTGCCTGTGTTCAGGATCGACAAGAGGCAAGCTTGCAGGCAAGACCGAAGGCAAGCTGTGCTTCACATCTTCATGGCTGAGCTGCTTCCACTGGCCAGCTTTCGCCAACACGCCCAAGATGTCGAGTAGCCTGCAATCAAGATGCTCCAAAGTGATACGAGTACAAGGGGAACACGCTTCCCACACCAATCTACGCAGAACGTACTAAGCTGGTGAAGTCAATCCCCTTCATCAACGGGTGATGGAGCGATCCGAGTGGCAGTTGGGATGCATCTTTCACTGAGGAGCAGGTGGTGTGAAGGAGCGTCAGCGCCCTCCTCTCAACGACTCTCAGTGAAAGTAAGGTGTCACAAGGTCATGGCACCCAGCCCTACAAGTACACAGGTGCACAAGCAAGCAAGCAGTTTTAAGGGTTCGCGGCGTGGCGCCTCTGATGCCTCTGCTGTTCAGGCGGCCAAAACGAGAGAAACGTCACAAAAGGTGCGCGCTCAAAGCAGCAGCCCCAGGGTGCCTCCAGTGTGCGGCCCGCCCCAATGCCCGAGCTGCGGCTGCAAAGCAGCCAGCGTCGCCGATATCATTGTCTGGTAGTAAGAGCAGAGCCTCACAGCAAAGTGGGGAACATTGGGGAACCATTCCGCATCAACGTGAATTAGGGTATCCGTGTCGGAGATGAGCCCCCAGCTCTCTGCCAGAGACTGGCCTGCCCAGCGATTCAGAGCTACGGGATGCTACAGGCATGTTTCATCATGTTTCATCTTAAGCATAGCTGCCGTGCACAGCGGTACCGGGCCTTCAAGCATGCGTCCATGGCTGCGCGAAGCGTGGGCAAGATGGAGGACTGCATCTCATCTTCTGCCCTCGCAGTAGTTAACAAGTGTCAGTCCGCAGATGGAAAGCACGGTCTGCCTTTGTAAGATGGCCAATGCTCCAACCCAGTGGCTTCCGGCTGCACCTGGGTACGCTGCCAAAAACTGGACCATGCCGAACCCCAAGAGTTCGACGAGTTATCGTGCGAAAGGACTCATGGCAAGCCAAACCGCCGCAGAACTGCTACCTACCTCGGTTTAACACCGCGCGTCTAACGATGTCCAAGTTTGACTGCAAGTTGTCCCGGTGTGAAGGTGCATCACTTGTGCAGCCCGATCCCTTTGACATTCTGACTCTGATCTGCCGTGACCCTAGTCCAGCTCAAGTAGTCCCAGGCACACGCCGCTGCACAGGCATTCCAGGCCACTGCATCCGGCAACAGCGTTGCTGTGGGAAGCTCTTCAATCAAGGCCGACAGGGCCCTGGATGGTAGCAGCTGGTAGCACTCTGGGAGCACTCTTTTTGCACACGTCTCTCAAACTTGCCACTGTTACTGTTCAAGGAAGGGCCTGGACCAGCGACTGGCACGGATCAGTGCCGAGGCCACAACCGTGAAGTCCTTCGTGCTGTGAAGCCACTGGCGCCTTAGAGCAGAGCTTCTCCAGTGCTTCACTGCTTCCTCAGAGTGTCACAAGAGTCACAAAAAAGCACCCATGAAGTCCGAAAGCCTCGAATGCCCTCGGAATTTTGGAGCCCCTCCCTGCCTGCTGAGCTCGTCAGCTGCCTGGACCACGGTGGCCCGATGCGCCGCATCTTTCCAGCGCCTCTTCCCCTCGCCCTCAAGGCCAAAACCCTGGAGCTGGAAGAACAAGGCCTCCCTGGCCTCCCTGGCCTCCCTGGCCTCCCTGGCCTCCCTGGCCTCCCTGGCCTTCCTTTGACCCTCGTTGGGATCCTTGCGACGCGGTTTCCGTGCTTTCTGCACTTCTGGGCATTGTGATTCTTGCGCTTCTCGTGTCGCCTCTCGCGTCTTTCCGCCCCAGGTGCTGCTGGAAGCACTTGTCCGCGTAAACACCGGAGTCCGCAACGGGAACCGTCGGGACCGTGCCGACCGCCACATTCTCTGCTATCCATCCTGTCCCAGACACTGAAGGCGGCGCTTCGACAAGCGTAGAAAGCCGCTTGCGTCGGGCTCGTGCCTGGTTCTGAGCGCACCCACCTGCTACAATGTGAGACCACACATGGTGAACAGAGCCGGGCAGGCAGCTGCAATGTTGAAGCTTGTGGCGTGCCATCTTGTTCTGTGTGATGGTGCCTCCATGTGCTACTACTGCAAGTTCCATGCGGCAGCCACCACCTTTTTCTCAAAATACGGAGGCATCCGAGTTGCCCGGATCACTGCGTCTTGCACTCGCCCTGATTTCGCGACAACCCATTTGCACTCACACCTTTAACCCCAAGCTACCTGTGATGCTCAGCATTGCTCAGCTCCACGCGGCATCTGACGCAGGAGGCTTGGGCTTCCTGTCACCACGGCGGGACTCACGGACTCACGGGGACTGTTGTGCAACTTACTGGACCAGGGCTTAAGGCTCGTACTCAGCGCCATCCTCTGAGGAGTCATCTGAAGCTTTCGAGCCTTTGCTAGGTCCTGGAGAGCGTGAGGACATCCGGATTCTTCCAGATGTGTCATGCTCTGAGCATGCTTGGCCACCGGGCTGGAAGTTTGTTGCGGCTGGTCAAAGGACGTTATGCCAAACAAGCTTGGAACCACAACCTTGGTGCAAGGATCTCTTCAGCTCATTGCAGACAGATGCCTGCAAGCAAAGAGCGAAGTGTCTCAAAGCAACAGCTCAAACATTCGGTCGCGTGCACCAGTTCCGGCCGGAGGTATTCGAGGAGCAGCGGCTGCATCCTGCCACGTTGCAATGCCATCGGCTTGTCTCAGTTCTGCAAGTTCTGTGTAGTTCTGCGCGAGCCTGCCTCCAAGTAGCAAGACAGAAAAAGGCCCAGGCCATTCTGTTGAAGTTCAAACGAATCGCATATGCTCGTTGCCCGAATGATTGAAACAGTCTTTCTTTCCCCCTGTGGCAGGGACTCACCACTCGCCCCAAGTTCAAAAGAGCAGATCAAACTAGGGTATTGCATGGACTGGTAGAACGAATCCGACGTATCCCCTCAAAAGGAGGTCTCCTTGCTTCTGCCCCTCTTTCCCTCTCCATGAAGCTCAAGCGAGCCGGGAGCTCTGTTCCCGGTCGTTCGGAACCACATGCAGCCTCCTCATGCCGAGGCCTTCACACGTCTTCACATCCAGCATGTGAGGGAGGGGTTGGACAGTTGGGGTGGGTCGTCAAAGCTGCTAGTGCAGGTCATGCTGGGGAATGCACGAACATCTGCACTGGGGACCCAACTCTGCAGGTTTCTCCTCCCCCAAGCGTTCCTCCAACCTAAGTTCATTTGTTTGAGATCAGTGTCATTGGCCCAAGATGCAAGCATCAGGTAACAAAAACAGCGGGGAGATAGAACTGAAAACGTGATCCTGTCGACTCGTTGAACTCGTTGAGATGCATGCGGGGTATCCAGTGATGGCCCAACGTGGCTCACATGCGGAAGGGGCACTGTGCAGACCTTGTGGAGCTTTCAATGACAATAAGCAAGAAGGCCAGTCCTGTCCTGGCTAGGCTGAAACGACCAACAGTTTCAACATCCCACAACCAGACATGCTTCGAGAGCAACGCTGAACCAAAGCAACCAAGAAGCACAGAGCAACGACACGACACTGCCCATCTGGCCAGTGAGTATGTGCCAGAGTACCCGCTGAGCGGCGCCGGTAGTTTCTTAAGCGGTAGCTCTACAAGTCAACTGCCGGAACAGCAAGCGAAACGACGAATAAAGACTTCCCCCCCATGGCATCCCCCACCTCCATGGTACCCCCTCCCCGAAACCCTCATGAAGCACACAAGTGAGAGAGCAACCCTTAAACCAAAACATTCAACCCTAAACCCTGATCGCGCCTTTAGCCCTGAACCCTAAACCCAGGGGGAGACGGGAAACCCTAAGCCTCAACCCGGGGTCCGTGAGTGCTGGCGCAGAAAAGGCACATTGTTGTAAAAACCTGAGAATGGGACATGCAGGTTGGCAGATTGACAATGGAGGTTGGGTCTGAAGGCAAAACATACCTTCATCTTCGGGCAGATCGAAAATGAGGTCCCAGTCGAAGGGTGCAGGCTTCTGAAAGTTGAATCCAGACGGGCCCCAGCACGGGCTAGGCTCCCGATCACGGCAAAAGTTGAGGTCAACCTGCCTGCATTTCCCCCGCACCCGAAACTTGCCTCCATTTTGCCTGCCTACATATTTCCTGCAGTATTCCTGCATGTCATCACGTTTTTGCGTGAAAATGCAGGAAACATTCAGGACAAAAGCGGTGGAACGCCCAGTCGAGAAATGCAGGCAACATGGAAGTCGCCCAGCCCTCAAGTTCCAGGCCTTGCCCGAGGCGCCCCAAACCCCCCCCCCCCCCGCCCGAGTCCTTCACCTCGCAGCCCTGGCCTTTCTTTCTGATTGCCCCACTCGACCCCCCCCTTCTGTAATTTTGAACTAAGTGCAGCCTCAGGCCTGGGTCTCGGCCTGGGCTCGCAAAAACGAGTGCAAGCCAACGTTCAGTTTGCATCCCTGATCCTAGGAGAGAAAGGGAGACAGAGAGAGAGGGGGAGAGAGAGTAACTGAGGATCCCAAGTATCCTGCATTTTCAGGTGCTTACAATTGTCTGATCTGTCCAAGAATGTGCTATAAGAAAACGTCGAACTACTTTTCAGGAGCCCTGTGCACAAAGCTGAGCTGAGATCGCAACTCTTCCTGCACATCTGTTTCGTACCTGAACCCCCGCACGTGCGCGCCTCCACATTCCCTTGCATTTCCACCAAACGTGCCAGCAGCTCTGCTCCCAGGCTTTCGCATCTGCATAGAACTTGGTCGGGTCGAGGTCATAGGCCTCCGTCACATGCGCTAAACGCTCTCCATGCTGAAGCAGCCCGATTGGGTGCTCGACAGCTCTGGTTGCTTCTGCTGTTGTTTCGGCTAGACCTTATAGACCTGATGGACCTGATAGGTTGGTTATGATTTGTGAATGTCCTCTTGCAAACAGGCTGTGCATGGCTGTGCCGTGGGGCTGAAGTTGAACTTGTAAGAATCATGATCATCATAACCACACAAAAAATATTCAAAATCGGAAATAGTTCATCCCTCAGTTCTTCCCTCCGACTCCCGGGCCTTGCATACTTTGGCATACAGCACTGCCTCCTTGCCTGTGTATTTCTCGAGCAATGCCTGGCAGTGAGGGCACGACCAGGTTCTTTCATTACTAAGTTAGCCTTCTTCGGTCTCACGAAAGGACACCCCCTAGACACCCTGACCGATATGTACAAGGAACCCTAGAACTTGTAATCGTCAAAAAACAACAGCAAAAAAACCTACTTCATCTGTCGTCATGCTTGAGTGATAGTTTTAGCCACTTGCGCTGAGAAGCAGCTAGCAAGTGTGTAGGATCTGTGTGAATATTGGGACATGGTACCAATACAGCGGGCAGCGGTTGCATTCCAGTCTGCGGCCTCGACATTGCTCAACTTGTGGGGGTTGCGTCGCCGATAGATCGCTTCTATCTGAGTCAAGCTTGAAACTGAGCACACATACGCACTCCATCCCACGTGTGCCAGGGTAGCAACCTGGCAACGCCAAAACGAAGTGGAATCCGTGACCTTGGCATGCGCACTGCACAACATGGCTGCGACGGGTCGTGACCGGCACGGCATTCCCTTCAACTGGGCCCTGAACCTTGGAGGATGTGGCGCAATCCGCCCCATCCTCCACATAAACACACAGGCAGAAAGCGTGTGGCTTCCCAACGCAGTCAAACCAGTCCTGACGAGAGATCCACTGAGAATGTCTCACAGTCCAGTACACAAGTGCTTTCTGAATCGGACGGGATTGAGAAGCTGGCATCCTCTTTCTGTTCCTGGCGCAAGCATGGGGGAGCGCATGCGAAAGCCTTCAAGCCCTCTACCAGTTGTTCGGGGTTCCGAATCTGCACCTGGGAGATCTGATCCGATGGGCGCTTCATGGCGATCTGAGAGGCGCTCTCAGGCTTCCCCTATTATGCATGCGACTTCTCTGCTTTGGTCTCAGAAACTCAACTCGTGAGGTGCAAGCTTATAAGCTTCGTTGGCTACACTGTGTAGAACAAGTTCAGGAGTCAGACATGTCAGACAAAGTGTGTCGAGGAAGCAATGTGAACAACTCCCCCAAGACCGTTGGATGAAAGCACGCTGCAGGGGGGCTGCACGCTTTCTAAACGTTGCCTCCAGGTTGCCTCCAAGCGGCCCAAGCATGTGCTGCGTTGGACATGCAATTTGCGATGCAATTCGAACGCACTGTACAAAGGTTCCCCCATTGGAGACCTTGGCTTGGGTCTTGCGATCAGATCTCCTGGCCTTGAGGTTTGGGGGCGCAGGCATCGCCCCACTCGTGCGAGCGTAGAAATCTAAATGCAACTGCAGTAACAGCTACAGTTAGCATTTCGCAGCTCTTATCTCAGCGTATCATGATGTGGGAGCAAGGTTGCGGCAAGGCTCCAAAACTCAAGCAACCATACAGAGGCAATCGAAATGAACAACGTCACACTCGTGCGCTCTGCGATGGGGCTACTATGAGAGTAAAGTCTACCCTACAAAGTAATACTGCAAGAGGCACATGCAACAGCTGCACGATGTGCACAACTCCCTGCTTCCGCATCAGTTGTTCCGACGCTTGCAGAGGTTTCACTCGATTGAAACTCCGTCTAGCTGAGTCTAGCTACCGTGGCCCGACGACTACAATAATGCGCAGCTTCATGTCCAGAGATGCCAGCATTAGGACAGTACTTGCAGGATGTGAGCCCATCGAACACAAGTCGCAAGTCCATCCGCGCACTGGTCGCACGTCTGCTTCCAGAGTACTCACCACGTGGGCCAATCGCCCACCGCAAGTGAGATGTGCTGGAGCGACTCTATTCTTCGAGGATGGAAAACTTGGACAGCAAAATGAAAATTCAAAATTAGGGAAGCAGCACTGCAACTTTATGGATCTTTATGGTGTGGTTCGCATGGCAACAGGGTGTCCTGCCTCACTCAGCAGGTGTGCCTCTAAATCCTGCCACACGCAGCAGCAGAACATCAATCACACCACTGCCAGCGCAACAGCAAGGAGAGGGACCTTGCAGCCAAGCGCCACAAGGAAGAAGTTATGGGTCCTCAGAGTGCCGAGCAACTTCTGGGACAGACTATTCTTGGCGCTGGTATACCTGGCTCCGGGCTTGATCTCTGCATCTGCCAAGCGCCTTCGCATTTGCGGCCTGCTTCCAAGGCACATGAGAAACATACACACAGACACTTCTTCATGTGCGCCACGAAACTTAGCCTTAGCTCAAGCCTGGATGGAAGAAGCTGCTCCAAGAGGTCCTTCGCCTGCATATCCGGATGGCTGCATGATGCTGCATGTGGTCGGACCAAGGCCACCACTAGACCTCATATCTTTACATAATACGAGTACCAGGACCAGCGGCCCGCGGGCTCCTTGCACTGACTGCAGATTGCGCCGCTGTAACCAGCATCTCTCCTCGCCCCTCAAGGATTTTCCACCCCCTGCTCCATGGGCCCCTGCATTCTGCCTCTACTCCAAGAACGCTTCAGACTCTGGGAATGAGGCTTGGGTGGCTTGGGAGAGGCTAGCGGCCATCCAACGCACCGGAAGTACTGCTCTCCACCCCAGGCATCAAAAAATCATCAGTACTTGTGGGAACAAACAGGCATCCAATGTGGAATAAAGGCTTCATGGTTTCAAGAGTTCAGATTGGGTCTTCCGACTTCAGGACTTCTGGGTCTTCTTCTCGCTATGGCTTGGGCCCCTGTGGCCATCCCAGCACGGCTGCAAGGCCTCAGGAAGAAGTCGGCCGCTCTGGCAGGAAGTCTCGAGGAGCTCGGTCTGCTCCGAGTCAGGCATCCTGGCTTACGAATCGCGCGAACTAAAACGGCTCCGTGCAAAGAGTAAGCGGCGTTTAGAGACTACGTACTCGCGAGACTACTGCTTGACGCCAGCTTGCAACTTGATTTTCCGTCTGGGAAACAGCCCAAGAGCGGTCAAGCAAGGCTATTGGCAAGAGGTTCAGCCTCCTTGGCAATATCCACCTCAACTCCAAAGGCAGCAAGGACTGCAGCCTAGGCAGCAAGATCTGAGGATGCCACAAATAGTCGCCCTGGCCATCTCCGTGCTCCAGATCAGCACAGTCTTCGCCCAAAAGCATTACATAGAGTGTCACGCCAAAGCTGTACCTGCGCATGCCGTTGATGCAAGAATCCAAAAGTCTGCGTGCTCGAGAGCACGCGTCTGTCTTGAAAGGATCGAAACGCGCATCTCGCAAAGGTCCTTGGGAGCATTCACGTGAATCCGAATGCTTTTGGCATGAAGTTTTCCTGCACCGCAATCTCCATCAGGGGCCCGTACCCTGCTCGATCGTCGACATCTCACTGTCTGACTCCTCGCCCAATACCAGCTCAGGAGCCAGGAACCTGCCAAGGGTGTGGAAGCACGGAACGCACGCGCCCCCACTCCTGCCACTGCTGCCGAGCAGAGGCGCTACTTCCCGCCTGGGCGTGCCTGCTATCGGCATGGAGTAGTTGGCCTTCAGTAGGCTCTACAACTCACCAAACGTTGCTGCTTGTTAACATGCGCACAGCCCACCAGCCTAAAAACTCTCGTCTCAAGCCCTCCCGCATTCTGAACAGAGGCGCATGAAGATCATGAAGCCGCAGGATCCGCAAATGCAATTTTGTTGCAGCTAAGTCTCGCTGAAGAAGTTGCCCCCCACATAGAGAGCGAGCCCGAAATCTGCTAGCTTCGCCTGGCACGCTGTTAGGGAAGCCACGGGAAGCGATGAAAAAGCCATGGGAAGCCATGGGAAGTTATGGGAAGCCACACCCAAAGTCTTGGCACCTCATCTTGCGCGGAAAGGAGTACGTTCTCCGGCTTTACATCCCGGTAGATGATTCCCAGAACCTGTGACTTGTGACGTTGCAGATGTTGCCGCTCTGCTTTCCTGTGGGTTGGGATTTCACGGACTTTCGCGCCCTGGACCAGGCCTCGTGAAGGTGAACCAAGGCCAGAAGCACTTGGCCCGCATACCTCGCAGCGCCTTGGCAGTGTCCAAGCGTCTCAAGCAAGCTGAGCCAAGTTCAACGCTGCCAAAAGCCGAAGTCGCTAAAAGAACTTGAGGCCGGCGCGGGTCACGGGCAAGCCCATGCGCCGGCCGCCCTCTTCGGTGTTGCACAAGAGCTGGTTGAGGTCCCCTTTGGGACAGAGCTCAAGGAGCAAGGCGTAGTAGTGAGGCGTCTGGAAGGCCTGCTCTAATCGCACGATGAAGGGATGCCCTGTCCTTCTAAGGGCTACCACCTCCGAATAGGCTTGCCAATCGAGATTGCGTTTGGACTGCAGCTTCATGGCAAAGCGGCGCGGCTCCAGGGGCAGATCGCTTGGAAACCTTGCAGCTACCGACAGTCTTGGCCGTATGAAGCCAGATCTGCTCGGAGATGCGATTAGGCCTCCATCGTCTAGCTCCACCTCGATCACTGTGCCCGAGGCCCCCTGGCCCAGCTCCCGCACTCGCCGCAAGGACTGCAACCATGCGGCCACTGGCGCCACACGGAGGAATGCCCGCCCAAAAGCGCCTGCACCGTGGCCAAAAACGAGTGCACTCACGGAGTGCAGCTCATGCAGTTGGGGGACATCTTCCTCCAAAGCATTCGGAAAGAGCCGCAGCAGGTGCCGGCTCATGGCCAAGTGGGTCCTCACATTGCGCCACCTGCCCGACCCCTGCTGCTCGTCGGCGTTTCTCCTGGTGCCTCTGTTGGGCTCCAAAAGCAAAACCAGCCGGCGTGCCTCATCCGGGCTAAGCCTGCGCGCAAACTTCGCGGAGGCCCGGAACAAGAAGGACGGCGATTGGGCAGGTTCGGCGGCTGACTCCACCACGACCCTGCCCGGCAAAGTCTCCGCAACTGTCAGGGCGGGCTCGTTGCGCAGTCCTGCCCCGGCCCCTCCAACACCCAACTTTCAACATATTCCAACATCATCGTCTACGTCTAGGCATTTGGGAGTGTCAGAGAAGGAAAGGTACAGCTCACTAGCACGAAGACATGCAATCGCGCGAAGATGTGCTAAAGACGTGTCAGGTGAGGCCGCTGGCCGTCGCCTGGATCCGGTGCCAGGTCCAGGCCTGCAGACTGGGCCGCCAAAGCACGAAGCTCCTGCGGCACTGCATGGCACTGCATTCCATTTCGCACTCTGTGACTCTTTCACACGGGACGGATGCGTATCACTGCTGTTCACGGGTCTTGACGAGGAGCACCAATTTGGCTCGGCACTCTTACTATGTCTGTTGCGAGTTGGAATACGAGGGCGACAAACCCAATATCAGCCAACACACCGCAGTGCCTCCCGGCAGCTGTGCAGGACCTGGAAAAGACAGAAGAAGAAACCCTGAGAGAGAGAGATAGGGACCTCGAACAACCGTCTTCGGTCAGTATAAACACGATACGGCATTCGCATGGGCACGCTGTGCAAATCAAAGGCTAACATGTTGTAACAAGCTCGAAGTGAGAAAAGAAAAAGAAGGGCCTAGACTACGTTGTGCCTGCAGGTGAACTGGAGAGGGTCTTCAAGGAGGCTGGGCATCCGCTTCCGCTGATAACTGGTGGGGTTTTGGTGTCCTTCTTTCTCCTGAAGAGGAGATAACCTCACTTTTGGGATGTAAGGGTTAGGGGTTCCGTGGTGCATGGTGTCTCGGCGTTCGGCAACAATGACAAGACTTGTGCCAATGGTGTCATCAATACGATGATTAAAAATTATTGGTACTCTGTGTGAGTCAAGCAGCACTGCTTTTGAAGCAATGATACTGAAGCATGGGAGCTTTACACAAGAACCTTTAGCGCTTGCAGGAATAACAGCGTCAATCCATCGTCCAATCAACAGATAGGACTCCAGGAAGGCTTCGTTTAAATGCGCAAGCCCCATGACCCGAAAAGATGAGGTTTGAAGCACCCATGTTGCACCAATTCAAGCGGCTGGGCAAGCCAAACCCCATTGGACATCGCGTTGCGCCTTAAGAACGGATACCCGAGAAAGTCCCTGATTCAGAAACTAACCCTCCACATCTAAGACAACGTAAAACATCATTTACAACCACCTCCAGCCACGGCCCCAAGCACATGCTCGGTGAAGGACAACCTGTGTTTGTGTGTGATGAAGTATGGCTGTTGGGCGGTCGCGCAAGGCCGCGCGAGGGCCGCTTGCCTATATGTGCTTCCGCCTGGGGTGGGCAGCGATCGACAACAAATCGTCACGACTTCGGTGGTTCACTGATGTTCACTGTACCATCCCTCAACACCCTGACCCGTGCCCTGAACTCTCAACCCCGCTTTGCTGCCAGACCTGTGCTGCACCTTGTTGGCGCACCAGAAACTCCAGCGCCTCTATGCGCAAGTTTGTACGAAAGGGCTCGATGTTTAGACGTTGCACTGCATGCGTTCGTGACAACTCATGAAGTGTTCAGGGCTCTGGACTTAGGGCTCCAGGCTTGTAGATCTTGTAGCGTTTTGGGCAACTCAGCTGTCGCTTGTCGGCTCTCGGCGGCTCTTGTCTCTTGGCTCTTGGCAACATCAACCCACATCGACGAAGCTACTCATGATACCCCATGCCTCAAGCTGCAGATGCCTCACCGCGTAATGGATGCAGGTCCTGAGCTTTTACAGACTTTTGAACGCGGCGGGACAGTGCAAAGGACTCATGATATTTTTGTGGGATGATACGGAGCCATTCAGCAGCCTCCAGGCTGAAAGCTCATCCAGAACATCACACGGGAGCATGGAAGAGGAGCTCTCATGTGACCCATTTCTGATTGAACCCTGATGATAACCAGATCTAATCAGTGCCCGGCGTCTCGCCCTTCGAGTCGCGTACATCTACCCGGCCTCCGCAGGACATGATCATCCGAAGCGCCTTCCAGAGAGGCTTCCAACAAGCATCTCGGGGGGCTAAGCTGCACTGAGCACTGAGTTCCATGTATGCGAACCAGCTTGCCATGCCCACCTCGATGAAGCCCTCCTCATGGGTCCCACAATCACGTGCTTTGACAACTTGATTCCGGCTCACTTACTTAAGCTCCCTGCACGAAGCAGAGCTGAATCTGCGCTGAGTTTGCAAGCCCTGGCTAGGCTCCTTTGCTGCCAGCATCCCAGCCGTGACTTGCTCTCTATCCTTGCAGAGCCAGAAGCAAAACGTACGGCAAAATATGCTGCGCATTGCCGGTGTACCCTGGGGCCTTCGTCGGCCCGTTGACATCCAAGGCTTCGCCCCCCAGGCCCGTGTCCAGAAGCTTTCGGACGCGAGAGATCTTGTTATTCAGAACCGCCGTGTGGAGATCGTCGCCGGTTGAAGCGATCATGGGTGTTAGCTTCAGAGCTTCGCTGAGCAGGAGCGATGCAGCAAGAGTGACGAGAATCGCCCAGCCACGCAGGTATGTCTGCAGATCCCTCCTGTCAGGGCTATCGAAGAAGAAAGCCAAACAAACTTCGGTATAAGCCTTAGCTGACCAACGGCGTCCTCTCCAGACGCTCCCCCCACCGAAACTCTGCATAAGCAGCGCCGCAGATCAGAAGAAGCTGCAGCTTCCGCCACCTGCAAGATTAGCACTTCCACTTCCGGGACACTTCGTGGACCCACACTGTCTGCACATGCAACTTGCGCCCAATGGCTTATAAAGCAATCAAGCCCTTCGAGCCCCTTCGAGCCCCTTCGAGCCCTCGAGCCCTTCGGACCCTCTCCCAGGCTCCCAGGCCCGTGCCTCCCCACAGCGAGGCTGATACGCCGCGCAGGGTAGCAGAAGCCAGGCCGATCCACGAACTTTGTCATGTCTGCGATCATGAAGCTCAGCCCCACAAAAATGTGGATTCCCCACCGTTCAGTTCGCGGCGAGTACCTCCTGAGGATGACCAAAGTGATGAGGAAGTCGAGCGCAAACAGGGAAGCCGAAGCAATTAGACCTGGTAACCGCAGCTCGAAGCCGGACACCACCATGCAGGCCGTCAATAGAGCGATCCTTGCGACCACTTCTGAGATGCGAAAGATGATGTGCACGGCAGGGTACAGGATCTGCAAGACACCAACACGTGAACCCCGACGCCGGAAATCCAGATGGTAGCGTTTCGCCACGAAGGCGGAGACTACAATATCAATGTCTACAACACATATGCTGATCACCAGGAGGGCCGAGAGGATTCCAGCTGCTAGAACATAGGTTTCAAGTTCGGACTTCGGCTCGCACCACCAGATCGAGGAAGGTTTCTCGCCGAAGGCATCCACATGCAGGCAGCGCTTGGTCAAAAAGGCATACATCGTGACAGGAACCTACGGCAGGCGTGCCAACAGCCAATGAAATCCAACAGATCTATCTCAAGACTGTGTGGGCGAGTAATAAAGGGAGCAGCAGGGCCTGGGCCTAAGAGATCCCAGTAGCCGGTGCTCGAAAACGGAAACAAGACGTTCAGAGCCTGTTTGCTACAGGCCAAAAAAGGAGAGCAGGCTGTTGCAGTTGAGTGGCGATGGAGAAGTTGGTGATGACGGCAACAGGATGCCCACGCTCGCCTCCCAGCACCGGCGTTGTCCACATGAAGTCCCGGTCGTCCAGGCTGTCAAGAACCTCGGCGCTCCGCAACTGACGGGCCCAGGCCCTCTTCACGTGGATCACCTGGCACAGACCAAGGATGAGAAAGGCCAGCAACCCGAAGAGGATTCGGCCACCGAGCGAAGAGTTCCTCAGCCGTCGCTGAACATCAGCATCCTTCCAGGTGATATGAACTGAGAGGAGCGCCCCCAACAGTTCGAAAGGCAGCTGCCACCCGACCAGCAGTAACTTGCGATGTTCAGCGAAGAAAACAATGCAATAGACGCGGAGGATGTTGTTGGCAAGCACAGCTGACGACACCACGAGGAACCGGATGCTGCTATGCCACTGCTCAGTTTGCTGATCACGTCCTGCCAGACGGTTCAACGATTCTCTTCACATCTCAATGTCTCGGAAACCTTCGGTGTAAAATCTTGGAAGACAGCGCTAGATGTCTTGGAGACCAATGTCATGACATTGGCGTAACATCTAGCTAGCCTTTCAATAGACAAGGAAACCGTCGGCAATGCGGATTTTGGGATCATGTGCGAAAGAACGGTTAAGATGAGTGTTTTCTCCCTTGTTTACTCCCCCGTTTGGCATCCCCCGCGTAGCTCCCTGGCGAGCCTCTCGTCAACTCCGAGTCGGCCCCGGCCACGAGGCTGCGGACAGCCAGCATCTCCTTGGGTTTGGAGCTCTGCTTCGCTCTTTGAGCAAAATTCATCTTCGCATGTCTTTGCATGTCTTCGCATATTCTTGCACCTCCTTGTGTACCTTTGCATGTCTTGCATATCCTTGCATAACGTGGTCAATGCTGCTGCCAAGCTGCAGAATCCGCCGACACCATCGACCATCGTGGGGACGGTTGCGAGGACTGGACCAGCGCCTAGCCATTCTTTTTTGCATTCGTGTCATTTGCTCCCGCTACACATGGACGACTTAGAGCAATACCACTCGTTTCTGGCCTCGCTCCGTTCTCTGAACGAGGACTGTCGGGAATCCAATGACTCCGAAACGGACATTTCGATTCCACTGGCCCTGTTGCTGGAACGGGAGGAGGCAGCGCTGGCCGGCAAAGACATAGCGCGACATCTGTGTGCGCTTAAAACGAGACCATGGACGTTGGGCTCTTAGTTGCATCTTACGCATCGGTTTCCGCATGCTTTGATGCAAAAGGATATATCTTCTTCGATATTCTGTTGAAGACGTGATGCAATGCATGCCGCTGAGACTGAGGAAGCTTTGAGCACAGCGTGGGCATGCATCACATACTTAAAAGTTGGACGCTGCCCGCACCTTTCCCGTCGTAATCCGCCGACCCCCTTTGTCGGCGTCAAGAAGCTGGACTCGTACCTTTCCCGCTGGACCCGCTAGTGCCCTTCCCCATGGACCCGCGCGGAACCCACCTCCATACTCCAACGTTTTGTGACCCATTTGGCTGTGGGTCTAAATAGGGGTATGTCGCGGTGTCCCGCCCCCCACCTGTGTTACATACGTATGTCGCGCCCATTTGTTTCATACGTATGTCGCGGGGTTTGTCGCGGCTGTTTCGCGCGTTGGTCTTGAAACCGAGCGCCCAATTTTTGGCTTGTCGCGGAGGCTTGTCGCGGACATGCTTGTCGCAACGAGAATGGCTTTGTTACAAGCCCTATGTCGCGGAAAGACGCCCGGGGGCCAGTTACATACCTAGACTTTTGACTCGCAGCCATTTCCCTACCCGCCCCCACCCTCCCCGCCCCCGCCCTTGCCCTTCTCTTCGCGGCCCCTTCCTCCCCGCCGCCCTACCCTTGTGTTGGCTGCACCCTACCCCCCCCGTACGCCCCCCCCTACCCCCCCTCAACCCCCTTCCCCCCCCCCCCCCTCCCGACCCCCTTCCCTCCCCCCCCTTTCTTCCCTACCCCCGCCCCCGACCCTGCCTGCCTAGCCCACCCCCCCACAGGACCGAAGTCACCGTGAAGTTTTGTGTTCGCCCCTTCCCCAACCCCCCCCCCACCCCTTCCCTGCGCCCTTCCCTACCCTGCCCCCGGCCCCCTGCACTGGAGAAGGACCAAAAACCAACCCCCCCCCCACCCCCTGCCTGCCCCCCGTACCCCCCTCAACTTCTTCCCCCCTACCCCCCTCACAGGCGGGGGGTGTGGGGGGTGTGGGGGGGGGGTAGCAGGCAAGGGGGAGGGGGGGGGGGTGGGGGGGGGTGGGGGGGGTGGGGGGCGGGGGGGTGGGGGGCGGGGGGGGGGGATGGGGCGGGGGGGGGGGGAATGGGGCTGGGGGGGGATGGGGCTCCACCCACCCCAAAGAAAAAAAAAAAAAAAACCTTTTTCGCGCCCCCTTCCCTGCCTAGCGGGCCCCCCCACAGGAGAAGGACCAAAAACAACCGAAGCGCCATTCAGGGCTGTATCGGGGGGGTAGGGTGCAGCCAACACAAAGTGGTTCCACCGCCTTCCAAACCAAAACAACAAATTCGATTATTTTGGGCAGGGCGGGGGGGAGGGGGGGGTGGGGGGGGTGGGGAGGGGGGGGGGGGGTGGGTGGTAGGGGGGGGGGGGTCGGGGGGGGGGGGGTGGGGGGGGGGGGTAGGGGGGGGGCTCACCCCCCCACCCCCACCCACCCCCCCACCCCCCCCTCCCTACCCCCTTGCCTGTTTTGTTAGCCCCCTTTCAGAAAAAGAAACTTGTTGGCTGCACCCTTTTTCGCGCCCCCCCACCCACCCCTCCCTGCCCCCTTCCCTACCCCCTTCGCCTGCCTAGCCGGCCCCCCCACAGGAGAAGGACCAAAAACAACCGAATTTGTTGTTTTGGAACAATTGTACTTCATCCGCAGCGCTTACCTCGGGGGTCGGCGGCAGCGGCGTCAGCCTTTAAATCGGGCAGCGCGAGGTCCCCAAGGACCGAGCATTGGCGGACCTTTTAGCCCGGGTCGTCCCGGGAATAGCCTTGCTGGCCTCTGGCCTTCTGCGAAGCAGAATTAGGCCGAACGCCAGTGCCGCCGACCTTTCGCGGCCCGGTCGGTTTTCGTGGGTTGAGGCACGAAAAATGGGACGGGCGCGGATGCCCCATGATGCCCCCCAAGGGGCGCGCATCATGAGCATCAGCGGGTTCAGCCCGGACCCCCAGGCGCGCATCAGGGGACCCCGGAGGCGCATCAGGAGCATCCCAAAGGGCGGGCATAGGACCCTAAACCCTAAACCCTAAACCCTTGACGGATCTGCTCGCCCCGCGCTTCTGGCCCATGGGCGCAGCCCCTTAAATATGCCCTCCCGTGACAAGCAGCGGCAAGGCCACACATGCCGCAGCGTTGCATTGGTAACCCAAAGTCCGACATGCGAAGGCGAGCCGGCTTCGGCACACGATTTGCTCCTGCGTGTTCTACGATCATTCAGTCGCGAGGGTCAATCACTGACCTGACGAGTTCGTACTGAGAATGGCGTGAGCCTGGGAGAGGCTCCCACACGATTCTTTAGGCTGAGTAAAGCTGCGCTCGGTTTAGCTCCAGTACCCACTGTGCAGGGTTTTGAAAAGAAATTCAGCCACCTGCGGAGAAGGTTGGAACGTCCCACGCGAAATTCCTGGGGAAGGGAACGCAAAACAGCCGAAGGCCAGAAGGCCTGGAGTCGTTGGACCGCCAAAGCTTGTGGAACTATCTTGCACGGGTGGTCCGGAAACATGCGCCGCCTGGAGGAGGTCTTTAGAATCAGAAGATCAGAAGGCCTGTCTGGAGCCCTTCAGCGTTAAAGCCTGAAGCGCCCTCAGCCCCAAAAGCTTAAGGCCTGAAGCCCGGGCCCCCCATAATCAAATTACTCAGCTTTTCTTGAGGACACGTTTGGGGGAGGGGGGCCCGCCTTCTGGTATCCCTCCCAACCACAACTTGTTGCCCTTAACCCTAAACCCACCACGAATCAAAAGGGAGAGAGGGGAAACCTAAACAAACCCTGAACCTAAACCCTCAACCCAATCCTAAACTCCACACCTTAAACCCCGAAGCCACGATGAACATCATGAAACACGCAGGAGGGGAGGGGGTGCAGATGATGCCATTACGGGGGAAGGGGGGGGGGGGGAAGGGGGCCAGCAAATGCTGGCGCACACATTTTTCGGATTGTGGTGTTAGGGTGGTCAGGGCGCTTAGGGCTTCAGGTTCAAGCATGACTGCTCATGGATCTTGCGATTTATGGCACAAGGGAGCCATTCAGGTACAACTTCAAGCCCTCACTTCAACCTGCAGCCAGCCGTGGCCCTCAAACCTGGCCTCAACGCCTACTTGTGCCATAGCCTTTCATGTCAACGATCTTCCAAAGTATCAGATGTTGGCCTGCAGTGTCTGCGCTTGTCAGGTTGTTGCGTGCGGCATTCGCCATGGTGCGAAAGCAACCTTTCTCTCGCCAACAACTCGATTGGCCGGGGCTCCACTAAGGCCACTAGGCTTGCAAGCAACGTGCAGAGGCGCTGCCTGGGAAAAAAAGGTTTATTCCCTGCATGGATGTCATCGGTGCCTGCTGTTGCAACAAGCTGGTAGGTGAGCGGGAGATGCTGGTCGGCCGGCAGGGAGTCTATGTAGAGTCTGAAGGCCAACTTGCACGGTCGACTCCAGTGAGTCACGCATAGGCCACTGCAGCAAATCGTCTTAGTCAGAGCCTGACAGCGCGGTAAGGAGTGCAAGCTTGTTGCCCTCGCCCTGGCTTATCCGAAGCAGACGTCGTCGGCGTCCAGCTTTAGCATGGGATACCGTCAGCCTTTTAGCTGCTGCACGCTAAGGCTATCTAAGCAATCTACGCCTCACTCATCAAAACAAGACCGCGGTGATGATCGCCCGAAGCACGCAAAAAGCTTCACGGATGTGATGATATTCCACTGCACAGCGGTGCTGGCATGCCAAGTAAGCACTGCCATGGGACATCCAGGTCCGCAGCAGATCCATGCCGAACATCCCGACGCGTATGGGAAGGAGCCAGGGCCGTGCAATGACAAAGGCCAAAGGGCGGCAAAGCTGGTAGGGGTTGAGTACCCCAAACTTCCAAAAACGCCGCAACAGAGGCCCATCCAACAACCAGCTGGGAGCATCTCGCGTATCGGAATGCAGGAGGGGAGCTTGGCACATGGACGTCAGGTTTGCTTGAAGCTGCTGCTGGACCAGGGTCCCAATCTCCATATCTTCCAGCGGGGCCATTCGAGAGAAGCTCGCAAAAGACTGCGGCGTTAAAGCTTCCACCAATGAACGGAGGAGGTGGCGCCGGAAGCGGCCGCAGCGCGCCCAGCACACAAGCTCTGCAGCTGCAATGCTCGGTGCCATTCTGCCCTTGCCCTCACCAAAGCCGAACCAAGCATCAAGCAGGTCGTCCAGAAGCCGTGGAAAGGGTTCCAGGGCCTCATCTCTAACCCAAGCTCACCAATGAACACTCGTACACTGTCGTACACTCGCAGACACTCACTTGATCACAAACAAGAGCAGCACAGAAGACAGAAGACGATGTTGCTTTCCCAGCGTGGGGCTGAGCAGACTTCCGAATTTAGTCGAGAGATGGGGCGCCTTAACCCATGAGTCGAAAAGTGACCCGGGGGACTGTCGCAGACGCGAAGCTGTGAATACAGCACATATTAAAATCAGCAAGTGAAGGCGTCACAGCCCGGAAAAAAAGAGGTCCCGGACCGATTTCTGACCCCCTCCCCTGCCCGTCACAATATTTGTCCCCGCAACAGAAAACGAAGATCCCTGACCAGGGAACGGCGTTGCTCAGCCAGGTGCTCTGACCACGGAACCCCTAAGGCAAGTGAAGGAGTGCGGCCAAGATCTTGATGCAAAATGCCCACGAGTGTGCCCTCAATCCCAGATGAACAAAACCTCATGTGATCACACTGCGTCGTGAGTTCGACCCCAACACCAGACCTAGCCGTTAGTTGGGGGAACCCCGCAGGATGCAGCCTCCGCCAGCGTCGGTGAGCGGAACCGCGGCTGGCGCAGCTCTTGTCGGAAAGCCTCACAAGGAAAACAAAGGTACTTCGAACTTAAAGCAGCGAGGCAACAGTTCTGTGCCGGAGAGCAGGAAGCTGCGTCAGCGGCATGAGCGCATCCTCGGCTAGGACGTGCCACGCATCCTCTGCCGAGTCTAGCCAGTCCCAGCGCTGGCAGTGCTGCAGGAGGTCGAGGCAGCCACGCTCCGCTAGGAGTAGCAGAATGCGGCTCAAAGACTCTTGGCACTCTTGGCCGCCTTGTACAGCACGTAAAAACTGCCCGCTGGCAATGTAGGCGACTGCCCCTGCACTGTCGAGAACGGTCTGCGAGAACTTGCCGCCAGCCCCCAACAGCAGCCGCACTGGCCGAGCCATTGATGCGGCCTGCGCCAAGCACCAAGGTCCCAGGACGGCCGGCAACACGCCGTGCAGGTGCAGCTCGCTAGCTATCCTCAGCAAGTCAGCAAAAGAGTTTGTGAGTCTGATGGAACCTGAAGCATACCGTGCCGTAACGTTTCGGAAACCCTGAGTAAACGATCAGTAAACGAGCCTGAGGCTCCTCATGAAGTCGTGTTCGTCCAAAAGGGCCAGGTGTGGAACCCATTCGCCTCGACGAAAGTGCCGCATGAGCTCCTGCTCTGATTTAGAGAGAAGGTACTTCTTGCACAAGGAGATGCGGAGAATCTCTTCTTGGATCAGCTCTCGGCTGCACGACTGCGCGCCGTGCGTGCCGTGCGCTGCCTCGGAACTCAGGTGACTGCGACATGCTCCGACATGCAGTGTCAGGCAAAACTGGTGTAGTGTCGCTCGACTCCCTTGGCCTTAGCCCCGGGCTTCGGGCCACAGCTGGCGCAGCTCCGACAGGCTCTCCTGCCGCCAATGCAGGCAAACGCAGCCAACGGGCAACGGTCGGGAGTCTAGGCAGGCTCGGCCAGCCGAGCTTTTCCTCGGCCAGGTCATGCAGCTGAACAAGGAGATGCGACCTCGACAGTCGACAAATCTCGGCAAGAGTAAGGACCTTGTGTGCCCTTGTACTGCGACGCAGTAGTGTTGTTCAAGCTTGTTCAACCTTCGCAGCGCAGTGCCATCAGCTGTCAGCTCGACCATTTCTAGAATGCTCCTTTCCACATCATCTTATGTGCTTGGTGCTCTTTCAACTTCAACAACATCCTTGTGCTTGGCGGCGTGTCCCGTACGGAAACCACCCATGAGAGAAAGCCATGACACACAGCCGGTGCAGGGTCGCATGGGTCGCATGTCTTGGGTGCCCGGGCCAAGTCCACGCATCCTCCTCCAAGAACCGAACTGCTTGACAACGGCCCTGCCCATCGATAAACCAAGAAGCAAGAGCAACAATCATGTAACAGTACACTTTCTTACTTCAAGCATCGCCCAACCCTTCCCCCCATAAGCCAAATGCAGGTGCTGAGTTAAAATTCAATGGGCCAGTGAACTTCGCAGCTTCTTCGCCTCGAGCCAACAGTTCTGGCCTCAGATGTGGGAATGGGGAGACGGGATGGAGTGAGGAAAGCCACCGTAGATCGCAAGGCTCACACGCAGAGCGGCTGCAAAGAACGGCGAAGCATCACACAAGGCTTTGCCGTCGCACAGCAGCTCCCACACCTTAGCATGCGCATGCGAAACAAACCCCACTTGCCGCACACAAGAGCCTGCACAGCACCATGTGTCAACGATCAACGACTCCTGGAATTAGACAGGCAGTCGCCGTCGTAATAGCGGTAGCAATAGCAGCAGCAGCAGCAGCAGCAGCAGCAGCAGCAGGAGGAGGAGGAGGAGGAGTAGTAGTAGTAGTAGTAGTAGTAGTAGTAGTAGTAGTAGTAGTAGTAGTAGTAGTAGTAGTAGTAGTAGCAATGGTGGAAAAAGAAGCAGTAGTAGTAGTAGTAGTAGTAGTAGTAGTAGTAGTAGTAGTAGTAGTAGTAGTAGTAGTAGTAGTAGGAGTAGTAGTAGTAGGCCCCATCCCCTGGCCCCATGCCCCTCGACCCCCATGGCCCCCATGGACCCATGGCTCCTGGCCTCATGGTCGCATAGCTCTTTCAGCTGACTTTAAAGGGTCCCAGTGCATGCCAGCCCCCCCATGAAACCCTAAGCCCGAAAGGGGGGGCCCTCAGATCGTCTCGGGGGTATGGGGGTTTGGGGTTTAGGGTTTAGGGTTGTAGAGTTTAGGGTTTAGGACATCGTGAGGTTTTAGGGTTTATGGATTTTGGGGGGGTTTAGGGTTGAGGTTTAGGGTTTAGAGGGGGCTTGCGGTTTAGGGCTTGAGAGAAAATGGATCAGAGCTTAAGGGCCTCACAGCTCGACCAAAGGAGGGTTGATATCAACTTTGGGGCCCCAAACCCCAAACCCCAAGCCCCAAACCCCAAACCCCAAACCCTAAACCTCGAGTAGATGTAGGGCCCAAAAGGGCCCCGAAGCTAAGCTCAAAGCCCCAGCCGAAGTGGCACTGGACTTCAGAGCAAGGTCTCCTTAAACCCCGAAACTTACTATACTATTTGCTTAAGAACCCTTGGGTTAGGGTTTAGGGTTTGGGGCCGTCTTAGGGTGATTTAGGGTTTCGGGTACGCCTAAACCTTAAACCCTTAAACCCGATAACCCGAAACCCTATAACCCCAAACCCTATAACCCTAAGCCCTATAACCCTAAACCCTACAACCAAACCTTTAGCGTGTGGGCTGTCCCCAGGTAGGGTTTAGGGATTGCTCAGAGCCTAGGCCCAGGCCTTCATGGTTCAGTGTCGTGGAAGTTAAGGCTAAAGGGGACTTAGGGGGTCTGGGGGCTTAGGAACTAATGTTGACTTGACATTAATAAAGCCCGCTACAATTATAAAATCCCGCTGCCCGGAACACAATATGTAACCCGCCACAATTATAAAATCCCCGCCCGGAATTTTTTTTTTCGGGCGATGTTGTGCAACTAACTTAAACTGATAAGTTTCAGGGTGTTGGAAGAGAATGAGTTTAGAGCTTGCTGGCTAAAACTAATACTACGTCCTGCCAGGATTTAGGCGGATATTATTGAGGAGGCCCTGGCCGAAAAGATTGATCAATGAAGGGGGGGGGGGTTATTAATGCGAAGTCAACATTAAGGGAGTCAAATGGCACTTATAGTTCATAAGTAACAATGCTGCCCACGTCACTGGCCCTTTTGGGGGTCGGCGGCACTGGCGGTAGCCATTAAATCGGGCAGCGCGAGGTCCCCAAAGGACCGAGCAAATGCGGACCTTTTAGCCCGGGTCGTCCCGGGAATAGCCTTGCTGTCCTCTGGCCTTCTGCGAAGCAGAATTAGGCCGGACGCCAGTGCCGCCGACCCCCGCGTGCCGCCGGTGAACGGTTTTTTTTTCGTTGTTTTTTGCGTCGCCACGGAGGCCCCCAGAGGGCGCGCATCATGAGCATCAGCGGGTCCAGCCCGGGACCCCCAGGCGCGCATCAGGAGCATCAGCGGCTCCCGGGGCGGGACCCCGGGGGCGCATCAAGAGCATGATGCCCCCCAAAGGGCGGGCATAAGCGACGTGTCTAAGCCCGGGGCTAGGAAAAAGGGAGTTTAGGGGCCTTATAAAGTGCTTAGAAACGTTAAGGGAGTCTAGGAGCCTCAAACGCTTAGAGATTTGAAGGGAGTTTAGGGGCCTGAAAATGCTTAGAAACTTAACGCTTAGAGATTTTGAGGGAGTTTAGGGGCCTCAACATGCTTAGAAACTGCTCGCCCCGGGCTTCTGCCTGCGCTGCCCGCCCATGGGCGCAGCCCCTTAAAATCCGGCCCCCGCGCCGCCCGTGGTCCAGGGCGGAGCCCGCGTCGCACTAAAGCGCTAGCTTTAAGGGGCGAGCGCCCGAGCCGCCGACCCCGCCCAAGATTGCTTCAAATTCGCGCGGGGCCCTTCGGGAGGCCTCCGAAACGGCATCCAAGGGGACGCAACACGCGGTGGTGCGAAAAGCACGAAAACCTCGTAAAAACCATGGGTTTTTACGAAAAACCGAGGCCACAAAACACCCGCAGCACCCCATTAAACCCTCACGGGCGCGCATCATCGGCCCTAGCTTTTCACATGGGGCGCGCGGCAGGCCGAAACCACGTTTTTCAAGGTTTGGGGGGGGTACCGGAAGCCCAAAACCAGGCGTGCCCTTGACCCGCCCCCAAAGTGCGCATCATCGAAACCCACGTCCGGGGGGGGGTCTGCTGATGCTGCTGATGCGCGGGGTCCGGGCGCATCATCGAGCCATCGCTTCTCTTGGGCTTCGTGGGGGGGTCCGGGCCCACGGCCCAGAGACCCAGCTGATGCTCATGATGCTCGGTTTGGGGTGTTCCAACAGCAGAAAACCTCGTAAATACCGAGTGTTTTGTGGGTCCACGTAAAAACGCCCCTAAAATCGCTCATTTTACGCGCTCGAACGGCTTCGTGCCTACAAAACACCCGAACAGCAGGACCCCGAGTGCGCTTAAGGGCATTCGGGGTCTTGCTTTTGGGGGTTTGGTGGGCACGCAAGCGTTCCAGGAGGTTTCGGATGGCCTGGGGGAGGCCGCTGATGCTCATGATGCTCTCTCTTCCTCGGTTCCAAAAGGCTTCCCAAGCTCAAAAACACGTGTTTACAGCGTTTTCTGAAGGTTTTTCGAAGGCAAAACTCATGCTTAGAATGTCTTTTGGGCTCCCAAACCAACCCCAATGATGCTCCTGATGCGGGTGCGCGCGCGCGCGCGGGCGGGGGGGGGGGGGGGGGGGGGGGGGGGGGGGGGGGGGGGGGGGGGCGAAGGCAGGAGAAAGAGAGACAGAGAGAAGGAGACGAAGAATGAAAGAGAAAAAGAGACAAAGGTGAACGAAGAAGAGAAAGGTGAACGAACAAGAGAAAGTGAGAAGATAGAGAGGGAGAGAGATTTTAAAAAAAAACAAAGAAGAGAGAGAGCGAGAGAGAGAGAGAGAGACAGACAGAGGAAGACTAACAGCAACAGAAAGAAAAGAAAAAAGAGAGAGGTGAAGGAGAAACAAAGAGGAAAAGAAACAGAGAAAGACCAACAGCAAGAGAAAGAGAAAGAGAAAGAGACAGAGAAAGAGAAAGAGAGAGAGAGAGAGACAGACAAAGAGAAGTAGAAGGAAAAAGATATTGAAGAGACAGAGAATAAAGAGAAAGAGAAACAAAAAAGATAAAGAGAAAGAGAAAATGAAAACAAGGAAGCAGAGGAGAATAAAGATAAAGAGAGACAAAAAGATAAAGAGAAAGATGAAATAAAAACAAGGAAGCGCAGGGAAGTAAGAGGAGAAAGATAAAGACGGAGAAAAAGAAAAACAGGCAAGTAGAGAGAGGAAGAAACAAAGACAGAAAAAAAACACACGCGAGAGAGCGAGAGAGAGAGAGAGAGGAGAGAGCGAAAAAGACAAAGGACAAAGAAAAATGGAAAGAGAGCGAGAGGAGAGAGACAAAGACAAAGGACAAAGAAAACGGAAAGAGAAGACAGTGCCAAGGTTCAAGGTTTCGTGCTTTGGGGGGCGGGGGCCGGCCCGTGCCGCTAGGCCTGAAATAATCATTGTAAATGGAGCAAGCAGTAGCAATAGTAGAAGTAGCAGTAGACAAAGTAGCAATGGCAGCAGTAGCAGAGAATGGAGACAAGAAAGGCATCATGCAACATCGCCGGTTCACCACTCCGCTTCTCGATTGTGCAAGTAGACGAACATCAGCCACCTGCACAACAGCGTTGTAACTTCGCTTTGTCGCAGATGAAGAACCGACCCGGGCAACTTAGCGCCCTGCTGTGGGAGCACAGAAGCAAATGACTCCGATGTCCTGCGCGCTGACAAGCGAGCAAGAATTGTCTGCCAACTGGTCAGGGTTTGACGCAGCTTGGACTCTTGGACGGAAGTTGCGCTCACGATCTCTTCCGCACAGAGAACGGTTTTGACCTGCTGGCTAGTTAGTTGCGCGGGGAATCCGCCTTGCTGGTGAAGAGTCTTGGCTCGTAAATGCTTGAGGCAGGTGGAACGGCGGCCCCGAAGGGGGACCCAGAAGGGCTTGTGGGCCCTTGAAAGTTCTTCTGCCCATGGGTGCGCACAGGCAAAGACGAGCGAAGCCGAGCAAAGCCTTCGAAGACTACTGGCTCCTGAAGACAAAGTGGTGGCGCAGCCACCTGAGAAATAGTAGATTTAGTAGATTCTTAAATCACTGCTTGCTGACTGACAAGCCGGTGCGCAAGAGCTTGCTGATTGCAACTGCGGGAAAATGCTGTTGACTGGGTACGGCACCGGTCCATGAAGGTCTCGTAGTGGGGTGCCGTGCAGTTCTGCCAAGATGCGCCTGGACGCGAAGCAACGTGTCTGAATCAAGACTGGTACGTGGGATGTCGTGGGTTTATTCTTACCATCAGAGGGAACGAATCTGTCTCTTCTGAACCAGTTAATTAACGATGAATGACATCATGCACAGCCAGGACACCATGCCTCCAGGCCGGCAAGTCACCTCCGACGACGTCTTGGAGGGCACTGTCATCCCACAAATTCAGAACGCAGCACTTTGTGGTGGCTTTCGCGGCCTCGCTGCAGGCAAAGTCCTTCGCCTGGTAGAGCATCAAAGAACTCCTGTGGCACAAGCATCGACATTTACGGCTTCCTTCATGGCGCTCGCGAATTCAAGAAGCAGCCCTACAGTCAGGGCCTGGGGGTGGGGTGCAGGTAGTGTGTGTTTTTTAAGCCTTGAGTTTGCTTTAAGACCTTCGCGTGAACCTGAGCACGTGCTTCACGGCATCAGTACCCAGTACGCCCTTCCTGCAACGTCCGGACACCACCTGCCTCCCTCGAGTGCGCTGCCCCGCCCCCGAAGAGTCGCTCCTGACGGCGTTCAGGCTTCCGTGGCAAGTATATGCGCCTCTACACGAATCCCATACTGCATGAAGCCTTTGTGAAGTGGCGAAAGTAACTTGTAGGTGGCACGGTGGCTTGCAGCAAGAGTCATGCTTTGGTGGAATGAGGGAAGGCTTGGGTGTTCCTTGTCTGCTTTTCCGTAGGGTCGGTGTTGTCTATTGGGTGCCGCTGAGCTTGGGGGGTTCCTGCGGGAACGAGGCTGTTCAGAATGATCTCATTTCGGCGGGGGCAGGTGGCTCAGGAATGTACGTTAGTAAGGCACCCCTTCGCTTTGCATGTCCTTTACCAGCGTTCACGCTTCGTTTCCAACTCGTTAAAGCTCAAGGTTCTCGGGATGCAGTTGGATGCAAGATGATGCAAGTGTAGGCAGTACAGGCTTCCAGTATCTTCCAGGTTGCAGAGGAACGGCCCTGGTTTGCATTCTGAGCCTGCATTCTGACATATCTGACCCACAAATCGCTGGCAGTCGAGGTCAAGAGCTGGCCTCTAGGTTCTGGCTGAAGGCACAAACCAGGGAGGCGTCTCCCAACAGCTCAGTAGCCTCGCCAGGGGACTCCAGCCAACCCTGAACGCCAGCTTACCAGCTTTACCACCAAGTCTTTGAAGCTCATGGCTCAATGCTCTGGCCCAGCAGATTCAGCCCAGAGCATAACACAATACTGTTTTGGCAGATTTAGCCCAAGTGCTGGGCAGTCTTCCGGGCATGAACTTCTGAAAGGGCACACTTGTAGGCTTATAATGGCACACACAGTTCCGCTACCAGTAGCCAAGGCCGTAGAGGCATCGATTCGGAAACCAGATGAACCGATTCGCGCATTGGACTTTTGGATTTTCGCACCAGTCCGTAGATTCACATTTCCGCCAGATGCGAGCACCCTAGATTCACCACTCTTCAAGCATGCGTAGCCGACTCGCGCACTAGCTGACCGGCTGCCCGCACCGAATGCAGTCCCCGTAGAACAATGCCACATTCCCGCGACAGCATGTGACACCGAGTGAACCAGGCATTAACACCCGTGCTGGGGACACAGCACGTAGGACGCAGGCAAAGCCCAAGCTTTTGGTTTTTCCCTGTCACCGGCGGTTCGGGAAACCCTGAGCCAAGCACGACTGCCCGTTCAAGCTCTTCCATGAGCTATTTTAGGGTGTCCCCCCCCCCATCTTGTTTTGGGATTGCAGGTTTCGGACCCCCTCATCTGCTCAGGGTTTTCATGAGGGCCTCAGAGAATCGAAGACGCAAGTTGCACGTGTCTGGTGGGCCAAAGCACTCGACCATCACGGACCATCACTCAGCTGTGCCATGGCTCGACCTCCCCTGGCTGTTCCCTTCATGCCAACGGACCCCATCCCGAAATCCGGAAAACCTTCTGCAACGTACCGCCCAAAAGTCACAACGGTTTTCGTGACTCCTGCACTGCACGTCAAAAATGCTTGAGCCCTCAGTGAGGCTGAACAGTCGTGAAGGACTCCAGAAGCTTTCAGAGAACAGAGCCGCTGCGAAATCCCAAGAACACAACGTGAAGGCATGTCGAAGGCTTGAAAGATTTCTGAAGGGGAGCGACTCCTTTGGAGAAAGCAACGCCAGGGAACGTTTGCAATGAGACTCTGGGACCCTCACTCGGAGGTGTCCACATGGTGCCCTCTGAGGCCATCTCGGTCGGCTGTGCTTTGCGCCCTGCTGCAGCGCTTTCCGCTTCAGACACTCAATGAAACTCAAAGAAGCCATCCAATGCCAGCAACTCAAGCGATCCACGAACGCGGCCAAGAGCGCTCTTCGTCACTGCCAGATGCCGCTTTCTCGCTTCGGGCTCGAGCGCTTTGTGCTCGAAAACTCGGGAGTCAATCTGGAGGCTGTTGACGATGTCCGATGAGATTCGATTCATTCGATGGACGTCCGACGACGTCCGATGACGTCCGACTCGAGCCTGGCTCAGAAGGACGACGAACAACTCGCTGCCCCAGTGTCGCAGGGCTCGGACGCCAGGCGGAGTCTCCTTGTTCTGGTACATGACCTGTGTGGTTCCAAAACAAGGTCACGTCTGCTCACAGCACGAAAGGCAGGGGCCTTGGAGCGGCTGAGCCGCTATCTTCCACTCAGCCATCACCCCGGGCCACGGCTGAACCTGGAGAGGCGACCATCAAAGGGGCTGACAGAGCGCGTCGCTCAAATGCTCTGAATGTTTCAAGTTCTCCCTTGTTGGGCTTCAGAACATCACCGCTGCTGGGCCTGGCAAGAATGCTGCGCAGGCGGTCGGGATCGCAGTAGGTGACCTCTTGACCTCGGAGTGACGGAGCGTATAAGTTGATGGGAAGGCTCTGCCATGGTCCGCCGCTCATGTCTAAGAGCAGGGCGATCATCCAACAGAAGCTGAAAGTGCTGCAGGTCAATGGCATCGACATCGTACTTGGCACAGATGCGCTGGAATGCCTTGGGCCAGTCAGCCGGGTCTTTGCCCAGCTGGCTTATCAAGCCCTCCAGCTCACGTTCTTGTAGCACGCCGTCCTCACAGGGAGTTCGTGACATGTTTCAGCTCGGCCAGTAGACGGCTGTCAGCTGTCTAGAAGTACGACTTGTTTCTGTAACACGAGCGATCACGAGCGGTGTGAAAGCTCACGCTGGTGTGCACTTGTCATGTCCCGTTCCAGCCCACAGTGCCTTGTCAGCATCAAGGTACCAGAACAAAGCGTTGATCAGGCGAGACCGTTCCAGCGGTGGGACCTACGTCAGCTGGACAGGTGTTCCCATAAGTTCACAATAAGTTCAAGGGTCAAGTCCCGTTCGGACCAAAGGCTCGAGCATCACACGAAACTCAATATCACGCCGACGACCCTGCGAGCCTCAACTCAACCCTGGGTTCCAATGTGTTCCAATCGTTCCCACACCCTCCCACACCTGCTCGCTGCCAGCGCTGGGCCTTCGACTGCCGGCGGCCTCTCGCAGCTCGCACGAAGGGCGTTGACAAGGTGGTGAGGGGATGTGCTTTCACCAGACTGTCTGGGTCTTGAGAAGCAGGGAGTGAAAAAAGATACTCACCTTCAGGAACTGTCAAGGACACGTTCAATCTGGCAAGCTGTCCGGTCCTCTTCCGCTCGTTGTTCTTGTAAAGTCATGGAACCCCAGACACGAACAAGTCCCGAAACCACACGTCTATGTTCTGCCACTTCTTGGACGACTCTGTCTTCATTCCTGGCCTCGACATTTGCCGGCCGTCGCTTGGCGTGGATGATGTCGTGCAGCTCCGCATCAGAGCAATAGAGGCCCGCATCAGTGTGATCCTGGTGGGGTTTTACAGGTCCAATTCACCTCGGCATCCAGCCGAGAGGCGTCTAGAACAAGCAGACCAGGATCTGTGGATCTGAGTTCCGATGCCAGGTTCCAGGCTTCCACAAAAAAAAACAAACGACCCCTGGCCCCCCCTTCTTCAAATTTCTTCAAGGACCCCCCCCCCCCTTGCCCTTGCTGTCCTGGCACTCCGTTCTGGGCCTCTTCTGCTTGGCACCCCTTGAAACCCTCCCTTTGCGACCTCCGCCCTGGACCCCTCCAGGACCGTTGCGCATGCTACACCTCGCGTTGGGCCGGCTGCCTAGGCGGGGCACGCAAGCGTTTGCGAACCTTCTACGTAGAAGCAGGTTTCAAGATAAAACTTGGACATTGCAAATGAAACGACACACGCATCTGCCTGGGTTACCATCCTTGCAATGTTACAAACCCCAGTGGGTTGCAGTGACATGCCCGAACCCCGTGCAAGAGCAGGAGTGTAAGCTCTGAACTTTGACTAAGCCTCTCCTAGGCCCCTCCTTAGACGCACCGCACCTCCAACAGAGCTTCAAATGTCTGGGCGCTGATGCCCGCCTGGCGGCATTGGCTTGCGGCTTGCGGTGGTGCCAAAACGCTGCCCGACTTGATTCAGTTGGTGCGTAGCAAGCCCGATCGGATAGGACATTGCCACCAGGTGTTGTTATGCCTACAAAACTGCGCAGGAACCATGTGACTGAGCCACTTATGCAAGCGGCGCGCACAATGGTATGCGATGATCCTGGTCACTTCCCGAACCCCTCACAACGCCTCAGGCGCCAGACCCCGCTGTTGACAAAGGACGCGGTATTCCAGCTCCCAGGCCGCCTGGATCTCCAGTACTCTCGGAACTCACAACTCATCTCAGCACAAGGACATGAAAACAGATACAGGGCAAGCAATATCTTCCACACTCTCAGTGAGTCTCGGTGCAAGCGCCTTGTCTCCCTTGAAACCGCTCAAGACCGCAAACGCCTCAATCCATCACGGAACCGGGGGCGAACCCTACACGATCCTACGCATGTCGTAGAGCCTGTCGTGACATGTGAGCATCCGAGGCAAGAACGGACATCTCCTCAGAATCCAGCACCCCATCGGAGTTTGCGTCCATGAGATGAAAGACGGTTCGTATCAGTCTGCTCCTGGACTTGTGGCTGCCTGAACCAAGACTCTGAGATTTTCTGTCGTGGGGCTCTGTGTCACCGGCTGCTGTGAGAGCTTGCTCACGGCTATCGGCGTCGGCAATGTCTCCGACTGGACGAAGGTGAAGGCCACGTTCTGTGTGCACAGTTGCTCGCCGAGCCCCCATGGCCTTCTGCACCAAAGAACTCCCGGCAGTATCATGCGGCATCGGTTGCTCAGATGGTCTTGCACAAACACTGTGCCGTTTCAGTGGGAGGTTGTCGCCTGTGCGCTTCAAAAGCATGCCAGGTCCTCCAGTGCCAAGGCGATTTAAGGCGTCACAGGCGGCAAGCTCCGTCTCATCCGTCTCTCGATTCTGCTTCTGTTTCGTGAATTCGGCAACGAAGCCCTGGAGTTGGGGAACGGAGCAAAATAGACCACTGCCAGAGTTGTCTGCCAGGAGCCTGCTGAACGTTGGCAGGTCAAGGCCTTTGTTGAGAAGCTCCGACTCCTCCGTGTTGTGTTTGTTGTGTTTGGGAAGCTCTTCGCATAGAAGGCGGTACTCCGCTTCCCACTCGTGATGCGAGCCATGGAAGCCCGTCGCTTCCGCCAGCAGACGTAACTCCCTTGCACCCACGAAGCCGTCGCGATCACGGTCCAGGGCCTCAAAAAGCATAACCACCAGTGAAGCACGCTCCCGGTCCTCCGTGTTTCCAAGGTCAAGCAAGGCCACGGCGGCCGTGAAAAGGGAGTCGGTGGTTGACGGGCAGCCTTGCGGGTTCTCCAGCAGAGCTGTAAAGCCTTCCAAGTCAAAGCCTTGGCTTTCATCTACACGGCTGTCAGCGCACAGAGCCCGGTACTCCTGAATCCAATCGACGTCTGTGCCTTCAAACCCCATGAGGTCCGCCAATGCTTTCAACTCTGTGTGCTTCAGGCACTGATCCCGGTCTTGGTCCAGCATCCCGAAGACTTGCTGTATCAACCAGCCACGGCGAGCATGGTGAGCGCTCTCCGAGTCTCCAAGCATCGAGTCGATTGGAGGGCTCGCAAGGCTCGCCGAGCGGCTCGCCGAGCGGCTCGCCGAGCGGCTCGCCTGGCCCGCCTGGCTCGCCCGGCTGAGGCTCGAGTGAGTGAGTGTGGGCAAGGAATGCAACGACTCTTTTGGCTTGGGTCCGAGCTCCCCTTCTCCGGCCCCGCCGAGCCCGGATTGATCGGGCTGCGCGCGCTGCTGCGCCCCTTTCTCGGGGAGGCGTTGGTTCAGGCGGCCAAGGCCGTGGTGCACCTCTTGCTGGCCGGTCAGGAGCAGGCGCAGATCCTCCCGTACTTCTTGCAGCTCTGCATTCTGACTGGTGCTCACTTGCTGCTGCACTGTCTGGAGCTCTATCAGAAGGCTCCGCTGCTGTTCCTGAACAAGCTGCAAATGCTGCTCCTGCAGATGCATTGAAGCCAGAAGCTGTTCGTGGTGCTGCAGTTGCTTCTCACATTTCTCGCTCATTGAGACAACGACTTCCTTGAAGTCCTTGAGGTCCTCACTGAGGTCATCTGCGATGTGGGGGCTTGGGCTTAAGGTGCGAACTTGCACTCCGCCTTCCTGGCCAGCGGCGCCAATGACCGCGCTGGCCACGCTCGGGCAGGAGCTCTCCCTTCGTGCTGCTGCGAGCAATCCGAAGCCTTGGGACTGAATCCCTTGAAGCCCTGTCTCAGGTTCACTGGTGTTGTGATCCTTCTGCCGGTATGCTTCTCGATGCAGTTCGGCCAGCAGCGTCAACGTGTCGTTCTCACATCTCTCGCTGAGGTTGGGGCTCGGACTGAGTTGGCTAAGCTGGCTAAGTTGGCATTTGCTTTCAAATCCGCCCGACCGGGGCTCCTTTTGTGGCAGCTCCACGCTTCGCGATCTGACGTCCGGGGTCTCCACGGAGAAGGCAGCTGAGGAGTCGAGCTGCGCACCTGCAAGGCCCAAGGCCCAAGCGTCTACCCGAGTCTACCCCGAGTCTACCCCTGCAGCCTGAGAGGAAAGGAGATGCAACCATGCCTTGGCAGGCTCCTGTCCCATCGGACCGATCATTGCCGGGAGGCCAGGGGCTCGCTTCCAGACTCGCGACGAGTGGCAACGCCTTACGAAGGGCTTTGATGGTGCGGCTGGTGTCTTAAGGTCACAGGCCCAGCAGGGCCCAGCAGGGCCCAGCAGGGCCCAGCAGGGCCCAGCAGGGCCCAGCAGGGCCCAGCACAGCGCAACTCTTGTGAACATCAGTATGTTTTCGAGCAAGCAACAAAAAAATCAGGAAACCAAAACCTTGTAAACGGCAATCTGTGCGCGCACACAAAAACACACACGGAGAGGACTGATCACAAAGCCAGGATGAGCCCCGGGTCACCGGACCGACTTGGGCGACGCACCGACCTCGTCAGGGCCTTGACCATGGGGGCTTTCAAGGAGTCAAAGAAAGGAAAAAGGCCACGATCCATGGACTTCTACACATGTTCAAGCTTGTAGTGGGCATTGGTAGGGCAAACCGCTTCAGTTCACACATGGGACCTGGAAAGTTTCTGGTTTCTGTTCCATTCCTTGAGCATGGACCTCGCTAGTGATGTATTGGTTTGACAAACCTGCTGACGCCAGCGTTCATGAGCAGCTGAATATCCATGGTTGTCGCTTTTGATGGCAATGGAAGTCTTCTTGGCACAATGCGTTGATCCTTTCCTGCGACTAGTACGCAGGTCCCAGGTTTTGTGATGCTCGCATGGTTTCTGGCCCGGCCTGGTTTCAGCGGCAAGGGGCCTGCCCCATGGCGGCCTGTTTGCGTACGCAGACCCGCGTTGACAGGCAGAGTCTGGTTAGTTCCTTTTGCTTGGCGGTACCAGACCCTACCTGTGGTGCAGCTGCCCGCCGAGCTCCCAGGCACCATCCGCCCCTGCCGAAGACACACAGCGGGATTCTCAGGTTTCCTCATCGGTCAGTTTCTCTCACTCTTGAGCTGAGGAGGTTCTGTTCCCTACGCCTCCAAGCCTCAAAGCCCATGACAGGAGATTCTCTTGCTTGGAAACCGTGCTGGCCTGGTCTGGCCTCACGCTGACTTGCCTTGTTCTACCTCGATGTGCTGAGGATCATCAAGGGTAGCTTCGTAGACCAACTAATGCACGTGGTGAGCATATCCGAGCATACCGCCGAAGTTGCTGTCTTGCTGCGTGGCTGCCTGAACCTCCAAAGTTCTACGTCATTTGATCTGGGAAAGTAAGGGCAAGTCTAAGACAATCAATCGGGCGATGGTTACCGGCACATGCAACGCGCACTGACAGCTCTGAGTCAGACTCAGCCGCCTTGACCGTGTCCCAGTCCTTGATCCCACAATCCGCCAGGCGCCAATGGTCCTGAAATGTGCAAGATTTCCCATCGAGCCAAGCTGCAGTCTCGACTTGAGGTGCCCGGTCATTTAAGTGCTGAAGCAGCAATCTTTGCATAAACTTTCTATGCTGAAATAGCCAGACTGTTGCACCCTCGAAGGCAAAGCAACCACGCCATGGCATCTCGTGAACACCCAACTATACCACAATGATCGACTGAACCTCAGAGCCTGGAGCCTCCCGCCTGACTGTTGCCGCCCTTCAGCTAAGGTCTCAAGGTGGGATCGATGCTGCTGGTCTCGAGCATTAGGAGAAGAGCTCAACGACGTGTTCGTCAGCAGTTACCAGGCTCGCAAGGTGCGACAGAGTGCCATGAGCTTGTGTGGAGTATTCTTGCTTGTTGATTTCAGCTATCAAGCAGCAAAACAGGGACGCAAACGGCTTCAAGAGCACCAATTTCCATGGTTACGCCGTTGTTACAGTAACATTCGACTTGGACAAGATGAAGCAAACCAAACAAGAAACAAAACCTCATGCCTCAAATAGCTGTGCATCTGCAGCTGAAGCCCCAGTCCTTGAGCGAAAGACCCAGGAAGGTCAGTACAAAGTACCGCGCTTGCATGCCACACCTTGTCAATAGACTTGTAGCTTCAGAGTCTGAAGCTTTGTGTGGTTGCTTGCTGCTGTTCCTTGTCCGTTGTTGTGTTTGCTACCCGCACTTCGAAGCCTCTGCCTGGCATCCTGTTCTGAGAAATGGTCGGGGGCACGCCCAGGCAGAAGGTGCAAGGTACTCTGGACCCCCAGAAAGCAGGAAGGTTCGAGGCGGAAGGCCCCGCAGGCGCAGAGGGGTGCTCTGGGTTGTCCTGTTGCTTCTTCGTGCAACTGCAGACAATGCAGATAAATGCAAATCAATGCAGCACAGCAAGCCTGGCACATGAACGCCTACGTAGAGCCGCAGAACTTCCCCTAAGCTCCAGACTGCTCCTGCAGCCGCTGTTTGAGCCGTGCCACAGTAGCCTGCTTCAGAAGTTCCAGGTTTCGTCCAAGAACATTTCGAGGCAAGAAAGCCTCGCGCGAGATGTCGCGAATCCAGGTGGTCTCGCGATCATCGATGTTCACCTGAGCTCTGCTTGCTGCAAGCCAGTCATGTCTCTGTGGATGCGCAAGATTCGCATCGGTCCTATGTTTTGGATGCAACCTGTTTATTCCCACGTAGATACGTGGGTTCACAGCGGCTAGGCGAAGCAAGCTACTGTACTCTCCGCGCTTTGGAGCAAAGGCACGCTAATGTCCACATCGCGGCGCCGAAGGGAGCGCTGACTCCGAAAGCCTTCGGGAAGCAAAGGCAATCAACCAATGAAAATATCAAAGACTGCTGCATCGCGCTTAAGGAGCATAGCCAACTTCTGGAATCGGGCAACGCGACATGAGAAGCACATCACCGACTAGGTCATGTGTCTGTCAGACTCTAAACAGAGATGAAAAGCTGCTGCATGTACACACTGTCGAGACTGTTGGACACCGAGACGGAATGCTACAACTATCATGACGATGCCCGTTCCAACACTCCACTGTCAGTGCGATTCAACGTCATACTTCCTGCACACTATCTATCTGTACGCATATTTCTTGTATTTATTATGTACAGTTTAGAACTGTAATGATACCCATGCTCACTTTTATTCGTATTGACATTTTTTTTGTGAGGACCGGGCTCGCTTCGGAGGGTTGCTTCGGACTGCGGGGCCTGGGTGACAGGACTGGCGCAGTTTTCAAAGCGACGCAATGGAAGCTTGCAAAGTGACATCTGTGATCTTCAAATTAAAGGCTCTATTGCGGGGTCGGGGGGGAGGGGGGAGTGCCTGCCGTATGCGAAGGTGTGCTTCGAGCAGAAGATGTAGGGGTGCTCACAGACTGTAACACTTCCGTGTGTGTTCCGGTCAACACTTTGGTCTCTTCATGTGTACCCACCTGCATCCCACGACACGAACAAAGACACGAACAGTAATGATAAACACACGCCCAAAACCTGCCCTGGAAGACACTTGCCAGTTGCAGTTGACAGCCGCGCTTGGGCCAGCACAGGGCACTCGACAGCATGGCTTCGAAGGCGGCGCCTCCAAAAGCAAAAAGCACTGCTCGTTGGTGCTCTTTGGGCTGGGCCACTTTGCAAATCCAACAGAGACAAATTCCCATGGTTGGACAGTTGGACCAAACTTGCAGCATGTAGTTCGTCGCTTCTCATCCGGGGTGATCCCGGCCGGGGGACCCCAGGCAGGCATCACCATGAGCGTCAGGAGGGTTTGCTGTGTAACAAGCCGATGGCTCGATGCTGCACAGGCCTCTCTTCGGCGTGCAGGGTCTCCGGTGCCGAGTATAGGCAGGGCCAACAGCCAGGGCATCAGCAGCTGCAATGAGTCGTTGCAGCCGTAGACTCGATGGTCCAGTTGTATGGTCGCAGCAGGAAAGCGAAAGCTTCCACAGAAACTATCAAGATCGTTGCAGCAAATGCCAACTGTGGGGCCTTGTTAGGAACAGCAGGCGTTGCAGACGTGACGGGGCACATGGTGAAAGCAGAGCAAGACCCACAAAGGAAAGCGCTGCCTTGACACAGCAGAAACGCAACGAACGCTGATTCTGCTAGCCTCGAAAAATGTGTTGGTATGTCGTTTCTGGGCCTGGCCCATCATATACCCCCATCCAGGCCTGTCTCCCGGCCGTCTTGCTCCTCGTGACCAAGCACACCATCACACAAAGGTGTACGAGGAAGGGCGGGGAGCATTAATTAAGTTTGCCTTCAGACTGCATTGGCATGGTATGCAGAGAAGCCCCGTTCGATCCTCAAAGTCCTCCACTGTCGGCTTGGGGGGCAGACTCAGCACCCCAGTGGTCAACGATTCCTCCCGAGAGCTTTGTCGGACGGACTTGGTTCGGGTCTCGTACGAAGCTGTGGTTTGGCGCATCTTAGCCGTAGCCCGACCCAGATCAAGGCCTCTAAATGCAACACCTGCTGTTATCACGAAGCATGACAAGCAACATAGACCAGGCAGGGCAGTATCTGAATAAGCCAATTCTCAAGTCACATCCTGTGCTAGCAGTTTGCTAGCTTCGTAGTAGCTTGCTTCGTGCACAGCGCCCCACGGGATGCAATCTCAGCGCAAAACGTGTTCAATTCACGAATCGTGAATGATTTGACGTCCTCCCGTCCGCTGGAGCCAGAAGGGGTCGGTGGTTCCATCCCACCTGCCGGCCTCATGAAACTCTCATCACGTTGCGTCCTTTTCTTGCGTTTCAACAAGTAGATAGATGTGATCTGTTGGCTCTGATTCACTCGTACGCGAGCATCTCATCCCGGCTGCTTATTTTTGTCCGTCACACACTAGTCCCCGCAGTCACCCTGACATACAAACTTGGAAACCGTTTGCTACAACCTGAAGAGCTCAGATCTCTCCTCACCCAAGCTTCAGCTCAGCTCCATGCTGGCGGAGGTCCAACTGTGGGCCGCTGGTACTCTCAGCACCTCTGACTCTGACGGACTCTCATGTTGATTCTAACTGACTCTACAGTACTTCCAGTCTTGCATGACACACCTGTCAAGGGCTGCAGAAGGCTTGGCGCCGATTGTAGTTGCAGGTTCTCAGCCCGGCAGTTCTTGCCCCTTGTCACTAGCTCTTGTGAGTCTCTTATGACCCGGAGACCCCGTCGTTTGGTTTTGAGATGTTTCGAGTTCTCCGCGTTGCCCCAAGGCTCCTGCCCATGCTTCCCTTGGCAGTGCATTGTTCTCGGGATTCTGGCACCAGCGATGATGCTGCCAGCCTCGTTCTGGTTTGCAGTTTCTGCGAGCCTAGTGCTGGCTTTCCAATAGACGGACTGTTGAAAGCCGCTGCGTGTGTTCAACTCGTGCAGCTTTTTGCTTGTGACTTGTGTCTCTTGGTCTTGGTTTGATCCTGACGGGCAATTCGAATGCGTCGTTGTGCACTCGAGAGCTGATCCGCCGTGGGAGTGCCCGGTTTGTTCGGTCAGAGGCATTCTTGGCCCTCGCATTGGTTTGTAGACGCTTTTGCTTTTCAGGGGGTGCTTCGTCGCTTTCCCATCCCCGAGACTCAGCTGTGCCTGTCGGGGTCGGAGAGCTCTCGAGCTGTGGCCGCAGCTGCTCCTGGGACGGTTTCCTTTGGGTAGCAGGCGTTGGGGGGCGAGGGGATCCCAGAAGAGCCTGTGTTTCTGGTGGTGGTTCCAAACGCTCGTACAGATTTTGAAGAGGCCCCAGGCCAGGAGATCAAATTCGTCCTGCAGAAGAAGCTGCTGCTGAATGATCTCCTGGATCGTCTGCTCCTGCCAAGAAAACCATGTCAAGAGTTCTTTGGGATAGAGCAAGCGAGTGCGTGCAACAGACCCGGTCCCTGGACCGCGTAGCAGTGGTACACTTCTGCCTTCTCTCAGCCTGGCGAGCTCCAACAGCAATGAGGGCAACACACAGCACAGCCGAGCAGCTTGCGAGTAAGAACTTGTCGGAACACAGAAACTTGCGTTGTCTGATAGGCTACCCAGGCACTTCGCTAGATGCAAAGGATGATCAATACAGTCGTGTCACCGTCACTTCCTCCAGCACTCTTCAGCTGTCAGACCTCAACTCCCGGTTGAAACCCTCAGGTTGCTGCCTCAACAACATCAGGCGAGGGCGCGCGCAGCAGCTTGGACTGCTTTGGCGACTGCTTTGGTGACTGTTTTGGCGACTGCTTTGGCGACTGCTTTGGTGACTGCTTTGGGGAGCTCCGCTGCTGAAGTTGGTGCTGCAAGTCAAGCTGTTGTTCGACAACAGCCTTGATGGATTGTTCGGGCTCTTCCTTCTCCCTTGTTGGTGGCGAAGAGCACGGGGCATGCACGGGATTCGATGTCTCGCGCAGGTGTGCTCTCGGTGGGACGGCGAAGTCCTGCCGTGTATACGAAATCGCAGGGCGTGCCATAACCACTACTTTGCATGCTCGGGAACGGTACCTTCATGGGCTAGTTCGAAACATAGAAATATCAGGCCACTCTCCCGGAAACTTGTCCTTGGCCGATGCTGATTCCTTTCGCACCCGCAGCGTCGGAGGCCCCACCGCAGCTTGGACAGCTGGACCCCGCCTGTGTGCACAGGGCTCGCCAGCTGAGCAGCTGAGACGTCGCGCACTTTACAAACCACGAAAGGTCTGACCGAAAGCAAGACTTGTCGTCGACGGCCCGCTTCAGCAGCTGAACTGTAGCGCATGGGACGTGTAATGATGTATAATGATGTAATTTGATGTAGTGCTGTTGCCATCCGCTGCTGGCATGCCTGAGTCCCAAAAGAAGTCCACAAAGTCCAAAACGACTCATTCACTCCTAGCTATCGGCTGAGACCTACATTTGCCGGGCGTTCGTCCGAGGGGGGAAGGTGCACCACCACCACCACCCCCCAAGACCTCCCTTTCGTAGCAGAGGCTGAACTATCCGTTTCCGGACGTTAGCATGGCGCGTTTTGTCCCTACAGCTGGGTTGTGCAACTAGAACTGCTTGCCCGTTCAAGAACCTGCTCTCGATCCACAAAGCGGAGGGCCTCTGCTCCAGGTAGCGCAGCCACAGCGAGAGGGGCGAACTGCTGGTGGCTTTGCTGCGCTGTCCGCGGCTTGGGGAAAGGCTCACACGTCCTGGAGCGCATGAGTGATGTAGAGTGACGTGCTGGAGCTTTCTGAGATTTTCTGAGTGGAATGCACCTGGAGCACGAATAACCACAGCCAGAGAATAACCATGAAATAACCATAGCGCCATCGCCATCCCAGGCTAGTCCTTGGCCCCAGGTGCCACAAAGGCCTGGCGTGGCCTTGAAGGGACCCGACAGCGAGGTGGCAAGCGCAAGCCGCCTCAGACCGGCTTCCAGCATCTTTCATACACATTCGACAGCTTCCCAACCCCACCTCACAACTCAGAGCCGTGATGCCACTCCAGAGGTTGCATTACGCATGGCATGCGCGTGCAATCTAGCTCTTTTGCGGCTCCTGCCCAAGCCTTGTCAGCCTCATTCGTATGTTGATTTGTGGCATACGTGTGGGGTGCGACGGTGTGTGTGGGTGTGCCCAGAGGACCCGAACAATCCATACTTACGAATCTGCAGAGCAAACACATGATGCAACAGAAGATATTCGATTGTTTTCTCATTTCAGGAAAAGAGCGAGCAGAGGAAACGGATGGAGCTGATATGCAGGCAACACCAACAATGTCGCTAAATATAGATGCTGGACACTCAACGGCTGATGAGTAGCTCTGTGAGTGTCTGCCATGAAGCAGATGTAGATCCTCTCGCGCTAGGTGCGAAGGAAAACATGAGAAGCCCGTGGTCACCGTCTGAGCGACGGGCCAACCTTCCGGCCAGCTGGGGCAGAAGTCTGCGACGAGCAGCGCGAGCTCCTTGAGGAAGCACAGGACCCCCTTCACGCTGCCCATGTGCAGGCAAGGCAATTCTGAGCTTCGCCGAGGCTCTTCGGAATCAACCATTTGAGACACCTTCAGCAGGTAGGCCAAGACCTGGCCGAAGACAAGTGCAATCGGCCTGCTGTGCAGCTCAACTAAACAAGCGGTAGTTGTGGTAAATTCTCAACGCTTGACGAGGTGTTCTCTCAGTGCTTTGTAGTCCCGCCAAGGTTTTTTTGGTGCTGTGCGTCACAAATCGCTCTCTCGCAGAGGTCCCGTGCGCATTCCGTGGTCGAGATCGCGCTCCCTACTCGGTCCCATGCACTTTTTGTTTTCTCTTTTTTTTTTTTGTGTGTGTGTGTGTGTGGGGGCAGTTGGAAGCCTTACGTGGCGGTGTGCTGTGGGCCCGGTCTTTGTTGCTGTGTGCATTGGCTGGCATTCCTGAAGATGACGTTAGGTGATGTCTGAATACATGGTTTTACCATGTCTTACCCATTTGCCACTGCAGACCAAGGGTGCATGCACCCTACATGCCTGCGCACCCAGTATGCCGCCTGCGCTGCTTGCCGCTGCTGACCCCTATTACTTAGCTGGACTTGCAAGCGCAGGGACTGGGCGAATGCTTTGGAACCAAGGAAGGGGGCACGGCACCTCCCCATTTGCAAGCAGAATGATCCCAAAATGAGCTTACTTTCAGGTTCAGGGTTGCAGCCCGGCCCGTGTGACCACAGGTCCTGGAAGCCTACTTGGTGCGGCACTCGCTGGGAGACCTCGCCTCGTCATCGAAAGGCAGAGGGGCGCCGATCCAGCTCTCGAGCTCTGCACGCTGCCTGCTGCCTGCGTGGGTTCACGCTGGATTTACCGCCAGGATTGCAATGCCCACTGCTCCGAGCCCGAGGCTCCCACAACTCACGTGCTCCACCGCGTCCGCATTATCCGCATTCATGGCTCATGCTTTGTTGGATCACGGCTCTGCTGGGATTGCAGGATGCCTGCGGAATGCCTGCAGATCCCTTCTGTATCAGCTTCTTTCCAACAGCAAAACAGCGGATGCAACGAAGACGCAATTATGAGCATGCAACGAGTAGACACCTCGGCGACAACACTTTTGCTTCAGCAATCCGTGTAAAACATGCCAACACTTTGGCTTCGGCTTGGGGTCTTGAGCTAACGCTTCCTTCTATTTGCAACATGTGAACAGAAATGAGTTAGGTAGTTCAGCAGGTACATCGTGGAGAATGCGCCAGAATGGCGACAACTCAGTAGCCCCAGCGCGGGCCGCCGCCGAAGAGGTGCACCGGGGTGTGGTGCACGAAGTACCAGATGCAGCGGCCGATGAAGCCGTAAGCGCACTCATCGGTCTTGGATGCCTCAATGACCTCCTTCTGGACGGCGCAGACCTGGCCCCAGACGCACATGAGGCCAGAGTTCTTCTCCCAGTTGGCGCCGGCCACGAAGCAAGCGTCATCAGGGCCCAGCGAGGTGGCGAACATGCCCGCCCCCCAAGGCCAGTGCAGGTCGGCGACCTTCAGCGGGTCGCCGCAGCAGTCGACGGTCTTGTTCTGGAACAGCAGCCGGTCCGTCTTTTCGATGTTCGTGCACGCCACAATGCACATCTCCTCGCCCGGGTAGGAGATCTTGGGGATGGGCGGGATGGGCCACTCGTTGGGCTTCTTGCCTGGCTCCTCAACGCAGGAGTAGTTGCAGTCGCCCACCGCATAGATGCGCGGGAAGCCCTTCTCGTCAGCTCCCCACCTCTTGCCGTCGCGGGTCTTCACGGCCAGGTTCTGCTCCTAAGAAAAGGGTCGGCGCGGACTCGAGCACTGTCAGCATTGACTGTGTGGTGGTGAGGAGGGGAGATGTAGTCTACAGTAGCTGGCACGTGTGGGGCTGAGTGTGATGTACATGCGAGTACATGCGAGTACATGCGGGTGCATGTACATGCAACGTGCGTGTGCATGTAGGTGCGCCGGACAAGACATCTGTCAGAATGCCACAGATGGTTACTGGACCGGTCGATCTTGCCAACCCTTCGCCAAGGCACCATGAGGATCCAGCCACCACCACCAGGGCCCTTCTCGCTGAGTGTCTCCTTGGGCATGAAGTAATTCGATGCCTTCACACCGATGCACACGTACTCCTTGTCGGGCCCACTTGGCAGATCGATCTTCTTCCAGAACTCGGGGTCTTTAGCATCGTACTTGGTGTTGTAGAACTGCTTGATGCCCACCTTGTTCATGTACTTTTCCTCAGAGGGCGCGGGAGCAACCGAACAAGAGCAACAAAGATGGAAGCAAAGGAAAGAAACTCAATGAGAGAAGGCACACACACGCACAGAAGACGGACGGTGAGAGAGAGTGCTGCCGGGGCTCGCAGTACTTGGCCGCGTTGGCCGGCAGTGGGCCGAGGGGCTGTGGCAGGAAGTCGATGATCGTCAGCTTCAGCCTCGGGAAGAAGTGCTGGAGCTCCGTGACCCACTCCACGCCAATGAAGCCCGCACCCACCACCAAAATCGTGGCACTCTTGTCGTTCAGGCTCTTGATGAAGTTGAACCTTGCGAGATGTGCTCCGTTCGTGCCGGCGTATGACTTGCAGGATAACACAGGCTAGGCGCGCGGAAACGTTACCCCTCAACAATCACTAGGCTAACCACATCTAGGCATGTCGACCTAGATTGCTGCCGCGCGTCTCTTCCAGGATGTGGCGGCGTCGACCCTCCAAGAATCGCTCATCGAGGTGCGGCCAAGAGCCTGCAACATGAAAATCGAAGGCACACGATTTTGATCGATTTTGGGCCTGGAGTCTGGGCAGGCTCAGAAGCCGTCAGCTCTGGTCTTCCGCTGGCCTTCAGGCCGCGCATCCTCATGGATGGTGGGGAACCACAGAGACTCACCCCACCTCAGCGACCCAGCAGAAGCAAAGCTGTGCAAAATGCACGCAGCAAAGAAGCACACCAGGCGTCAAGGGGGGTCGAAGGGTTGATTGTTGATTGGTTGGCCGGTTGTCACTGTGGCCCGGGCTTGTGGAAAGGGCCGAAGTTGCAGCCGGCGCAGATGAGGCAGTAGTCGAAGTCGATGGTTTCCTTGGTCCGAAGAAGGCTCACAGCTGAGCACGGATGCCCAAAGGATGTCCAAGGCGCCCGTCCCGACACGAACATGGGCTTGTAGGTGGCGGTCTTCTCGTCGCCATTCAGCTCCTTAACCTCGCCCCAGATGAACTTGCAGCCCATGCGGGTCTGGCAGGGGTCGCACGAGCGAAGAATGACAAATCTGCAAATGTATCTCTCGTTCCTTCACTCTTCCTTCCCTTGCCTGACCTACCCCAACCCACCCTCCCACACCTCGATCACTGGCTGCAGCGTGAAGGTCAAGGCATCCAAGTGCTTCGGCTTCACGTAGGCCCGCAGCACGCCCGGAGTGTACTCGAAAAACTCCTGCCGGGACGCTCACGGTGCAACTCCCTGCTTTGCAGAACCTCTTGCCATGGTCCCTTCCCTGGCAGGACCGAACCTTTTCATTTCCCCTCGCCCCACGCTGCTGTCTCCGCGAAAGGCTCCTTGGCATCGATGATCGTCACCAGGAAGTGGTTGGCCAGGTCACGGCCGGCGGCAAGGCCGGAGAAACTGCCGCCGATCACCAGCACCCGTCGCCTCAACCGGAGCCAGGCCAGCATGGGGTTGTCAAACAAACAAGAGACAGGTTGGCAGGCTTTGCACTTTAAAGGGCACATCTTGTGTCAGAACATCAGCTGCAGCTCTTCCTACAGTAGGTATGCAGCTGCAGGGATGCAGTTGCATGAGAGTGCAACCGTTTGCACAGAGCAAAGCGATAGCAGGATGTAGCAGGCAAATACTCAGGCCAGGGCTGAGCGGGCGGCATGATGTCGTCAGTGAGTACCCACGAATTGCACCGGGGCTGAAGCAAAATCTTCACAACATGCAAGATCAACACATGGAATGCAAGATGAGCGTTACCGTGCGCCGTTGTTCAAGTTTGCAAAGCAGTGGGGCTCTGCTACTCTACCACTCGCAAGCGGTCAATTTCGAGAAAGAGCGGCCTCCCGTCGAGGTCCCATACGCTGGGAAAGAGTCGACTAGCCTGGCGTTAACCTACGGAGCCACTCAGTAGCCCCAGCGCGGGCCGCCGCCGAAGAGGTGCACCGGGGTGTGGTGCACGAAGTACCAGATGCAGCGGCCGATGAAGCCATAAGCGCACTCATCGGTCTTGGATGCCTCAATGACCTCCTTCTGGACGGCGCAGACCTGGCCCCAGACGCACATGAGGCCAGAGTTCTTCTCCCAGTTGGCGCCGGCCACGAAGCAAGCGTCGTCAGGGCCCAGCGAGGTGGCGAACATGCCCGCGCCCCAAGGCCAGTGCAGGTCGGCGACCTTCAGCGGGTCGCCGCAGCAGTCGACGGTCTTGTTCTGGAACAGCAGCCGGTCCGTCTTTTCGATGTTCGTGCACGCCACAATGCACATCTCCTCGCCCGGGTAGGAGATCTTGGGGATGGGCGGGATGGGCCACTCGTTGGGCTTCTTGCCTGGCTCCTCGACGCAGGAGTAATTGCAGTCGCCCACCGCATAGATGCGCGGGAAGCCCTTCTCGTCAGCTCCCCACCTCTTGCCGTCGCGGGTCTTCACGGCCAGGTTCTGCTCCTAAGAAAAGGGTCGGCGCGGACGCGAGCACTGTCAGCATTGACTGTGGGGTGGTGAGGAGGGGAGATGTAGTCTAGCTGGCACATGTGGGGGTGAGTGTGATGTACATGCGAGTACATGCGAGTACATGCGGGTGCATGTACATGCAACGTGCGTGTGCATGTAGGTGCGCCGGACAAGACATCTGTCAGAATGCCACAGATGGTTACTGGACCGATCGATCTTGCCAACCCTTCGCCAAGGCACCATGAGGATCCAGCCACCACCACCAGGGCCCTTCTCGCTGAGTGTCTCCTTGGGCATGAAGTAATTCGATGCCTTCACACCGATGCACACGTACTCCTTGTCGGGCCCACTTGGCAGATCGATCTTCTTCCAGAACTCGGGGTCTTTAGCATCGTACTTGGTGTTGTAGAACTGCTTGATGCCCACCTTGTTCATGTACTTTTCCTCAGAGGGCGCGGGAGCAACCGAACAAGAGCAACAAAGATGGAAGCAAAGGAAAGAAACTCAATGAGAGAAGGCACACACACGCACAGAAGACGGACGGTGAGAGAGAGTGCTGCCGGGGCTCGCAGTACTTGGCCGCGTTGGCCGGCAGTGGGCCGAGGGGCTGTGGCAGGAAGTCGATGATCGTCAGCTTCAGCCTCGGGAAGAAGTGCTGGAGCTCCGTGACCCACTCCACGCCAATGAAGCCCGCACCCACCACCAAAATCGTGGCACTCTTGTCGTTCAGGCTCTTGATGAAGTTGAACCTTGCGAGATGTGCTCCGTTCGTGCCGGCGTATGACTTGCAGGATAACACAGGCTAGGCGCGCGGAAACGTTACCCCTCAACAATCACCAGGCTAACCACATCTAGGCATGTCGACCTAGATTGCTGCCGCGCGTCTCTTCCAGGATGTGGCGGCGTCGACCCTCCAAGAATCGCTCATCGAGGTGCGGCCAAGAGCCTGCAACATGAAAATCGAAGGCACACGATTTTGATCGATTTTGGGCCTGGAGTCTGGGCAGGCTCAGAAGCCGTCAGCTCTGGTCTTCCGCTGGCCTTCAGGCCGCGCATCCTCATGGATGGTGGGGAACCACAGAGACTCACCCCACCTCAGCGACCCAGCAGAAGCAAAGCTGTGCAAAATGCACGCAGCAAAGAAGCACACCAGGCATCAAGGGGGGTCGAAGGGTTGATTGTTGATTGGTTGGCCGGTTGTCACTGTGGCCCGGGCTTGTGGAAAGGGCCGAAGTTGCAGCCGGCGCAGATGAGGCAGTAGTCGAAGTCGATGGTTTCCTTGGTCCGAAGAAGGCTCACAGCTGAGCACGGATGCCCAAAGGATGTCCAAGGCGCCCGTCCCGACACGAACATGGGCTTGTAGGTGGCGGTCTTCTCGTCGCCATTCAGCTCCTTAACCTCGCCCCAGATGAACTTGCAGCCCATGCGGGTCTGGCAGGGGTCGCACAAGCGAAGAATGATAAATCTGCAAATGTGTCTCTCGTTCCTTCGCTCTTCCCTTCACTCTTCCTTCCCTCGCCTGACCTACCCCAACCCACCCTCCCACACCTCGATCACTGGCTGCAGCGTGAAGGTCAAGGCATCCAAGTGCTTCGGCTTCACGTAGGCCCGCAGCACGCCCGGAGTGTACTCGAAAAACTCCTGCCGGGACGCTCACGGTGCAACTCCCTGCTTTGCAGAACCTCTTGCCATGGTCCCTTCCCTGGCAGGACCGAACCTTTTCATTTCCCCTCGCCCCACGCTGCTGTCTCCGCGAAAGGCTCCTTGGCATCGATGATCGTCACCAGGAAGTGGTTGGCCAGGTCACGGCCGGCGGCAAGGCCGGAGAAACTGCCGCCGATCACCAGCACCCGGCGCCTGGAACAGAGAATTGAGCAGAACCTAGTCATCTTCACGTTCAGCGGTTTACGATGCTGCGTGAAGGACTGAGCGCTGCACTGGGCTGGTGGCATGTTGGGAAGCCGCTCTAAAAGACTATGGCCGCACCAGCGTTAAAAGACTTCGAGCCACTCCTCCGGCCGGCAGCGATCAGTGATCTGTCAGCTATCAAATCTCGGAGTTCCCCTCATCATACCTGAACACATCCTTAGCGAGGAGGCCCTGAGACAGAGAGGGAGGAAGTCTCCCATCCCAATGCTCCGAATCACTGTTGGCTTCATCTTCCTCGCGCTGCTTTAGCGCTTGAGATGCTGGACAGGTCTTGACGGATCTACGAGTCGGTGTTGTTCGGCCTAATCAACTCTTCATGCAGGAGCAGTGAGTGCGCGATGGAGGAGGCAGAGGAAATCGGCTCGGGAAGCATCTGCTGCGTAATGCGACTCCCAGGGTGGAAAAGGAAGGACCAAAAAAAACTGCCGCCGTTGAAACCGTACCTGATGTTTATTGAAAGTTAGCGTTTCGCCTAGGTGAAATGCATTTTTTGGCAGGTTTAAAAAATGCATGATTTTGTATGTTTTTGCAACATGTTCAGGTCTTTTTGTTGTTGGGGCCTTCAGCGCTGTACCTATGTTCATTGAAACTTAGCGTTTCGCCTAGGTGAAATGCTTCTTTTGGCAGAAAAAACAAGGGTGATTTTGTTTGTCTTTTTTGCGAAACGTTGGGTTTTTGCAAAATGTTCAGGTCGTTTTGTTGTTGGGGCCTCGCTGAAGGCCCCAACAACAAAACAACCTGAAAATGTTGCAAAAACCCAACGTTTCGCAAAAAAGGCTTACAAAATCAGCTCTGTTTTCCTGCCACAAGAAGCATTTCACCTAGGCTATGGAAGACCCCGAAAGTGTTCTAAAGGCCGATGCGTCAGAGTGGGCGCAGTAGGAATGACGTAACCACCCCCCCCCCCCAAAGAAAACTAGCAGAAACCAGGTACGGTTACACCGCCGCATGCAAAAATAAGGCCGAATAGGCATGCAGCATCAAAAAACTCGAGCGGCAAAGGGGCCACACTTCCTTCGGACATGTGATGTGCACCGGCGCTTGTGCCCACGAGCCGAAGCATCCCTGGCACTGGCGTGCTGTATGAGATGCCGGACCTTGGATCTCGGACGTGGACTCATCTCCCCCTTTTTTCTCTCCTGTTGTTTCATCAAGCCCTAAAGTTCCAAAGCCCACTATGACCCCAAAGCATCCCAACATCAGCCCAACAGAACGAGCGGAAGCCTTTTCCCATCTTTTCTGCGTGTTTGTGCTCTGAAATCTCCCCGGGTCTGAGGCCTGGAATGAATCAAAGGGGAGAATGGTCTGCCTCAAGTGAGTGCGTTCGCAACTTTCAGCAGACCTCCTACCTGCCAACCGCAAGCTGGAAAGTTGCCTATCAAGACCTATGTGCAGCAGAAACTGCGGGGAGCCGCTCCAATCCACTCAGTAGCCCCAGCGCGGGCCGCCGCCGAAGAGGTGCACCGGGGTGTGGTGCACGAAGTACCAGATGCAGCGGCCGATGAAGCCGTAAGCGCACTCATCGGTCTTGGATGCCTCAATGACCTCCTTCTGGACGGCGCAGACCTGGCCCCAGACGCACATGAGGCCGGAGTTCTTCTCCCAGTTGGCGCCGGCCACGAAGCAAGCGTCGTCAGGGCCCAGCGAGGTGGCGAACATGCCCGCCCCCCAAGGCCAGTGCAGGTCGGCGACCTTCAGCGGGTCGCCGCAGCAGTCGACGGTCTTGTTCTGGAACAGCAGCCGGTCCGTCTTTTCGATGTTCGTGCACGCCACAATGCACATCTCCTCGCCCGGGTAGGAGATCTTGGGGATGGGCGGGATGGGCCACTCGTTGGGCTTCTTGCCTGGCTCCTCGACGCAGGAGTAATTGCAGTCGCCCACCGCATAGATGCGCGGGAAGCCCTTCTCGTCAGCTCCCCACCTCTTGCCGTCGCGGGTCTTCACGGCCAGGTTCTGCTCCTAAGAAAAGAGTCGGCGCGGACGCGAGCACTGTCAGCATTGACTGTGGGGTGGTGAGGAGGGGAGATGTACGTAGTCTAGCTGGCACATGTGGGGGTGAGTGTGATGTACATGCGAGTACATGCGAGTACATGCGGGTGCATGTACATGCAACGTGCGTGTGCATGTAGGTGCGCCGGACAAGACATCTGTCAGAATGCCACAGATGGTTACTGGACCGATCGATCTTGCCAACCCTTCGCCAAGGCACCATGAGGATCCAGCCACCACCACCAGGGCCCTTCTCGCTGAGTGTCTCCTTGGGCATGAAGTAATTCGATGCCTTCACACCGATGCACACGTACTCCTTGTCGGGCCCACTTGGCAGATCGATCTTCTTCCAGAACTCGGGGTCTTTAGCATCGTACTTGGTGTTGTAGAACTGCTTGATGCCCACCTTGTTCATGTACTTTTCCTCAGAGGGCGCGGGAGCAACCGAACAAGAGCAACAAAGATGGAAGCAAAGGAAAGAAACTCAATGAGAGAAGGCACACACACGCACAGAAGACGGACGGTGAGAGAGAGTGCTGCCGGGGCTCGCAGTACTTGGCCGCGTTGGCCGGCAGTGGGCCGAGGGGCTGTGGCAGGAAGTCGATGATCGTCAGCTTCAGCCTCGGGAAGAAGTGCTGGAGCTCCGTGACCCACTCCACGCCAATGAAGCCCGCACCCACCACCAAAATCGTGGCACTCTTGTCGTTCAGGCTCTTGATGAAGTTGAACCTTGCGAGATGTGCTCCGTTCGTGCCGGCGTATGACTTGCAGGATAACACAGGCTAGGCGCGCGGAAACGTTACCCCTCAACAATCACTAGGCTAACCACATCTAGGCATGTCGACCTAGATTGCTGCCGCGCGTCTCTTCCAGGATGTGGCGGCGTCGACCCTCCAAGAATCGCTCATCGAGGTGCGGCCAAGAGCCTGCAACATGAAAATCGAAGGCACACGATTTTGATCGATTTTGGGCCTGGAGTCTGGGCAGGCTCAGAAGCCGTCAGCTCTGGTCTTCCGCTGGCCTTCAGGCCGCGCATCCTCATGGATGGTGGGGAACCACAGAGACTCGCCCCACCTCAGCGACCCAGCAGAAGCAAAGCTGTGCAAAATGCACGCAGCAAAGAAGCACACCAGGCGTCAAGGGGGGTCGAAGGGTTGATTGTTGATTGGTTGGCCGGTTGTCACTGTGGCCCGGGCTTGTGGAAAGGGCCGAAGTTGCAGCCGGCGCAGATGAGGCAGTAGTCGAAGTCGATGGTTTCCTTGGTCCGAAGAAGGCTCACAGCTGAGCACGGATGCCCAAAGGATGTCCAAGGCGCCCGTCCCGACACGAACATGGGCTTGTAGGTGGCGGTCTTCTCGTCGCCATTCAGCTCCTTAACCTCGCCCCAGATGAACTTGCAGCCCATGCGGGTCTGGCAGGGGTCGCACAAGCGAAGAATGATAAATCTGCAAATGTGTCTCTCGTTCCTTCGCTCTTCCCTTCACTCTTCCTTCCCTCGCCTGACCTACCCCAACCCACCCTCCCACACCTCGATCACTGGCTGCAGCGTGAAGGTCAAGGCATCCAAGTGCTTCGGCTTCACGTAGGCCCGCAGCACGCCCGGAGTGTACTCGAAAAACTCCTGCCGGGACGCTCACGGTGCAACTCCCTGCTTTGCAGAACCTCTTGCCATGGTCCCTTCCCTGGCAGGACCTCTTCATCTGACGACGCCTCCCCCCCTTCCCCGCGCTCCACCCTGCTGTCTCCACGAAAGGCTCCTTGGCATCGATGATCGTCACCAGGAAGTGGTTGGCCAGGTCACGGCCGGCGGCAAGGCCGGAGAAACTGCCGCCGATCACCAGCACCCGGCGCCTGGGGGTACGGAGCATTGCTCAAGCTCAGTCAGGCAAAAAAAGAAAACACATCACAGCATCGCATTTCTGGGAAACGGGCTGCGCAGGTGGCATTGTGCTGCGAGTGAGGGACGAGACAAATAAACTTCAGCTTGGCTGTGATCGGAAAGCACACGTTTACGGTAAAGTTTGGTGGCGCTCTGCGGAACAGTTGCAACACAACATGCAAATTAACAACTCTTAGTATCTCTAACCCATGCACCCCACGGCACTTTTAATGCGCAGGCTGCTGAAAGATAGCAGTGTTTAGGGTTTAGGGTTTAGGGTTTAGGGTTTAGGGTTTAAGGTTAGGGTTTAGGGCTTAGGGTTCAGCATCTCTGATCCAAGCATTCACTAAGGGTGTTTGGCATCATTATGTATTTGGTATCACCCCTCCCTCCCAGAATCCCTTTTCATCTGAATTACATTTCATTTTCTTCTTTAGCTATTTGTGACCAACGCATCGTTGTCATTTGGCTCGCAACACGACCTGGGAATCGGAGTTCAGCTCTTGAATTCGCAGCGATCAGTAGACCCCCAAACAAAAGACATGGCACGAGGTTCTCGCGTCTTTCTCTTCCACGCAAAAGCTTGCATGCACATGCACTGCAACTTCGTGCCTAAACTGTAACCGAAACCCTGAGCGCTAAACCCAGGGCCCAGGCCCCTACAGAAAGTCCCCCAAACCCTAGACTCAAGCTTAAGGTCCAAGCCTCCTAGGGGTATGCGGGCCTTCGCTTCAAGGCGTTCGTTCTCTTACGTAGTTCCTTCTCATGTCATGTCCAGAGCGTGGTCCAAACAAACAGAAGGGGAGACAGCGAGAGACGGAGACAGTGCAAGCACGGGTGTTTAGGGTTTAGGGTCTTGAGGCCTTAGGGTCTTAGCGTCTTCAGGATGTTTTAGGGCTTAGGGTCGGACTTACAGTTGGGTTCCTAGCCAGAGGCAGGTTAACCGCCTTGCAACGGTCGGAGGCGTCTTCGACTGTTGCTGTGCTCTAACCTGTTTAGAACGGCTAGAAGAAGAGCCGGGTGGTAAACCTGGCACTGCAACAAGCGCACAAAAGCTAGAGACCTCCAGGGCTCCGTGGCTGAGGGTTTGAAACCAGGTTAGCGAATGGCGTCTGAGGGCTGTAGGGCCGAGGAGTGTCAAATCCGAATACGGAGTAGGGCCGTAGGGTAGCCAGGACAATGCAAGGGCAGCCAGGGCCGGCATCTAAAAATGAAGCCTGAAGCAGCGCCTTTTTTGCTGGATCGGGTCTGGGTCTTTGTATGTCTTTGTCGATATGTAGCGAGCACGGATGAGAAGGTAGCGGCACATGTTGGCACATGCCTCCATGCTCATGAAGCACAGCCTGGACGGCTGGGCTCTTTCAAAGGTGAGCAAGGCACCTGATCTGCTACTGCTGCTGCTGCTGCGTTTTCGCGCACGCCCCTCTGGGTGCTGCTCACACATCTCACACTCGCAGGGCACCTTGCTTCGCGATGCTTTTTGCACATGCTAATCCGAGATGTATACTCACATGTTCCACGTGCTCCGCATGCCGAGCGCTGGGTTCCCCGCCTTCCCCGGCAGCTCACTCGGGACAGCCCAGGCTGTCACGGGTCGCAACGCCTGTCTTGGGATTGACGCCTTTCGCGAGTGGGCATATCACGTCCAACTGGTCTTTGCGGAAGGGTGTGTCAGTGAAGTCGGCACCCTCGATGCTCTTGAACTCAGGGAGAGGCCGCAGTAAGCATGGTCACAGCCTAGAGGAGAAACCAGGGAAACAATATGAACTCACCCTATTTGTCGCGAGCGTAGCAGAAAATGGCCGGGGTTACCCCTGCTGGACCGGATAAACCCCTAAACACTCCACACCCGAAATATCTGATCTATCTGATGATACACAGCAGCCTTGCCGGATCTTTCTGGCCATGAACACCGACCCTTTCCCCAAGAGCGGCCCTGAGCTACAGCCGAAAGCCTCCACTCCCGTCGTGCTATTCATGTACATTTCTGTTGCGATGGCATTGTCGAAGATGGCATTGCGCAGCTTCGCCAGCTCAAAGTTCGCCTGGCTTCAAAACACATTGTTTCAGGCAGGATGGGTGTTTGGGGCTCAGGCTTCAGGGTGTAGACCCTAACCCCAATCCAGCCGAGCTTCTGACATTCTACAGAAAGGAGAGGGCTTGCAATTCATGAAGGTCTGCGATTTGCCACCAAAAGGTTGGAGTGTGTGTGTGTGTGTGTGTGTGTGTGTGTGTGTGTGTGTGTGTGTGTGTGTGTGTGTGTGTGTGTGTGTGTGTGTGTGTGTGTGTGTGTGTGGTGTGTGTGTGTGTGTGTGTGGTGTGTGTGTGTGTGTGTGTGTGTGTGTGTGTGTGTGTGTGGTGTGTGTGGTGTGTGTGTTGTGGTGTGTGTGTGGTGTGTGTGTTGTGTGGTGTGTGTGTTGTGTGTGTGTGTGTGTGGTGTGTGTGTTGTGTGGTGTGTGTGTTGTGTGTTGTGTGTGTGTTGTGTGTGTGTTGTGTGTGTGGTGTGTGTGTGGTGTGTGTGTGTTGTGTGTGTTTGTGTGTGTGTGTGTGTGTGTGTGTGTGTGTGTGTGTGTGTGTGTGTGTGTGTGTGTGTGTGTGTGTGTGTGTGTGTGTGTGTGTGTGTGTGTGTGTGTGTGTGTGTGTGTGTGTTGTGT